GGCTCACAGCCATGAATTTATCGAGGCCCACTGAAGAGTCTAAGTGGGAAGTCACGTATGCCGCTTCAACCTGTCCACCACTAACAGCAGGAGCAACCTCCTCCAGTTTGTCACGGATGGATGTAATTTTAATAATTAAAGAAGTGGAGAAAGTCGACACTGCTCAGTGAGCTTGGAATTTTAGGCTCGATTGCGCTATGGCAGTTTGTGAGTTTAGCGACGGTGCTAAAAAAAAATGTACTGTTATTTTTATTCGCTTCTAATGAAGTTGAATAGTATTGAGTTCGAGCCCTGCGAAGGGCATTCTTGTAGTTTCGGAGACCTGCTTTCCACTCCCTGTGGACAGGCTCCGAGTGGGAGTGGCGATATAGTCTCTCCAGTTTTCTGACGTCCTGTTTTAAAGTGTGGAGTTGAACACTGTACCAGGGCGACAATGATCTAATCCTAATAGTTTTCTGTTTTAAAGGAGCTGCTGCATTTAATGCAGATTTTAAAGACTCCATAGTGTTGTCCACGTTTGGTCAATGACTGAGGGACTGCAGCTGCTGTGAACAGGTTCACCTGCAGCAGTATTCAACATAGGCTGTATTAGTTCTTTGAACCTTGTGATAGATTTATCATTTAAGGTTCTTTTCATTATGGTTTTATCTTACGGCGCAGGAAAGTCCTCCAAATCGAGATCAAACGTGATCAAGAAATGGTCAGACAGCAACGAGCTTTGACGCTGGATGTCAACATTGGAGACATCACAGCCGTAGGTCAGGACAAGGTCCAAGGTGTGGTTATGAATGTGAGTAGGTTCCTCAACATTCTGAGTAAAACCAACACCGTCTAGTACGAGGTCATGTGTTGTGCTGATTATTAGGTCCATCCATCCATTTTCTTCTGCTTCATCCGTTGCCAGGTCAGCAGTCTAAGCAGAGACGCCCAGACTTCCCTCTCACACACTTCCTCCAGCTCGTCTGGGGGGACCATATAAGGCGTTCCCAGAGAGAAAGACATAGGCCCTGTCCCAATTAACCAGAAAAGTGCCTTCCCAGTGGGGAGTGCACTCACAGGACATCCTCCCTAAGAACTGGGACACCCCTGGATCTAGGGGACAATATGCAAATGAGGCAGCAGACGTGTTCCACGTCACACACATGATCAAAGTGTCTGATTTCACCACAGATAAGATCTGACACAGACATGACTTTATGAAACACAGGATTCATTAAAATGAGACGTTTTTATTCTATTTCATATGATTTTTTTTATAATTAGGTACAGAACTGCTGACAGAGACAGACACATGTACACGCACAGAGACAGACACATGTACAGTGCCTTGCGAAAGTATTCGGCCCCCTTGAACCTTTCAACATTTCGCCACATTTCAGGCTTCAAATATAAAGATATAAAAAAAAAAATTGTTGTCAAGAATCAACAACAAGTGGGACACAATCGTGAAGTGGAACAAAATGTATTGGAAAATTTAAACGTTTTAACAAATAAAAAACTGAAAAGTGGGGCGTGCAATATTATTTGGCCCCTTGCGCTAATACTTTGTAGCGCCACCTTTTGCTGCAATTACAGCTGCAAGTCGCTTGGGGTATGTCTCTATCAGTTTTGCACATTGAGAGACTGGAATTCTTTCCCATTCTTCCTTGCAAAACAGCTCGAGCTCAGTGAGGTTGGATGGAGAGCGTTTGTGAACAGCAGTCTTCAGCTCTTTCCACAGATTCTCGATTGGATTCAGGTCTGGACTTTGACTTGGCCATTCTAACACCTGGATACGTCTATTTGTGAACCATTCCATTGTAGATTTGGCTTTATGTTTTGGATCATTGTCCTGTAGGAAGATAAATCTCCGTCCCAGTCTCAGGTCTTTTGCAGACTCCAACAGGTTTTCTTCCAGAATGGTCCTGTATTTGGCTCCATCAATTTTAGCCATCTTCCCTGTCCCTGCTGAAGAAAAGCAGGCCCAAAGCATGATGCTGCCACCACCATGTTTGACAGTGGGGATGGTGTGTTCAGGGTGATGAGCTGTGTTGCTTTTACGTCAAACATATCGTTTTGCATTGTGGCCAAAAAGTTTGATTTTGGTATCATCTGACCAGAGCACCTTCTTCCACATGTTTGGTGTGTCTCCCAGGTGGCTTGTGGCAAACTTTAAACAAGACTTTTTATGGATATCTTTGAGAAATGGCTTTCTTCTTGCCACTCTTCCATAAAGGCCAGATTTGTGCAGTGCACAACTGATTGTTGTCCTATGGACAGACTCTCCCACCTCAGCTGTAGTTATCTGCAGTTCATCCAGAGTGATCATGGGCCTCTTGTCTGCATCTCTGATCAGTCTTCTCCTTGTTTGAGATGAAAGTTTGGAGGGACGGCCGGGTCTTGGTAGATTTGCAGTGGTCTGATACTCCTTCCATGTCAATTTAATTGCTTGCACAGTGCTTCTTGAGATGTTTAAAGCTTGAAATCTTTTTGTATCCAAATCCGGCTTTAAACTTCTCCACAACAGTATCTCGGACCTGCCTGGTGTGTTCCTTTGTCTTCATGGTTCTCTCTGCGCTTTAAACAGAACCCTGAGACTATCAAAGAGCAGGTGCATTTATACGGAGACTTGATTACACACAGGTGCATTCTATTTATCATCATCAGTCATTTAGGACAACATTGGATCATTCAAAGATCCTCACTGAACTTCTGGACTGAGTTTGCTGCACTGAAAGTAAAGGGGCTGAATAATATTGCACGCCCCACTTTTCAGTTTTTTATTTGTTAAAAAAGTTTAAAGGATCCAATAAATTTCGTTCCACTTCACGATTGTGTCCCACTTGTTGTTGATTCATGACAAAAAATTAAAATTTAATATCTTTATGTTTGAAGCCTGAAATGTGGAGAAATGTTGAAAGGTTCGAGGGGGCCAAATACTTTCGCAAGGCACTGTACACACACGTACACGCACAGACAGACACATGTACACACACGTACACGCACAGAGCCAGACACATGTACACACATGTACACGCACAGACGGACACATGTACATACACGTACACGCACAGACGGACACATGTACATACACGTAATCACACAGAGACAGACACATGTACATACACGTACACGCACACAGAGACGGACACATGTACATACACGCACACAGAGACGGACACATGTACATACACGTACACGCACAGACGGACACATGTACATACACGTACACGCACACAGAGACGGACACATGTACATACACGTACACGCACACAGAGACGGACACATGTACATACACGTACACGCACAGACGGACACATGTACATACATGTACACGCACAGAGACAGACACATGTACACACACGTACACGCACACAGAGACGGACACATGTACATATACGTACACGCACAGACGGACACATGTACACACACGTACACGCACACAGAGACGGACACATGTACATACACGTACACGCACAGACGGACACATGTACATACACGTACACGCACACAGAGACAGACACATGTACATACACGTACACGCACACAGAGACGGACACATGTAAATATACGTACACGCACACAGAGACAGACACATGTACATACACATGTACACGCACACAGAGACAGACACATGTACATACACGTACACGCACAGACACATGTACATACACGTACGCACACAGAGACAGACACATGTACATACACGTACACGCACAGACACATGTACATACACGTACGCACACAGAGACAGACACATGTACATACACGTACACGCACAGAGGCAGACACATGTACATACACGTACGCACACAGAGACAGACACATGTACATACACGTACACGCACACAGAGACAGACACATGTACATACACGTACACGCACAGACAGACACATGTACATACACGTACGCACACAGAGACAGACACATGTACATACACGTACACGCACACAGAGACGGACACATGTACGTACACGTACACGCACACAGAGACGGACACATGTACGTACACGTACACGCACACAGAGACGGACACATGTACATACACGTACACGCACACAGAGACGGACACATGTACATACACGTACACGCACAGAGACGGACACATGTACACGCACAGAGACAGACACATGTACATACACGTACGCGCAGACACACATGTACATACACGTACGCGCACAGAGGCAGACACATGTACATACACGTACACACACAGAGACAGACACATGTACATACACGTACGCGCACAGAGACAGACACATGTACATACACGTACACACACAGAGACAGACACATGTACATACACGTACACGCACAGAGACAGACACATGTACACACACGTACACGCACAGAGACAGACACATGTACATACACGTACACGCACAGAGACAGACACATGTACATACTAAAATTTGGCATTTTTGCTTTATCCATTTATCTTGAAATATAGATTTTTCACTTAATTTTTGCCATAAATGTAAGAAAAATATTGTAGGTATATTTTTGACCAATATATTGATAATCGTTGCATTGTCATATCGTGAGATAATCCTTATTGTGAGCTTTGTATCGCACACCGTATCGTATCGTGAGGTTCCCTGAGGTTCCCACCCCTAATGTACACGTACGTGCACAGAGGCGCACCACACAGAACCAGAGCGATAAAAGCTCCACAGATGCATATTGTGTTCAAGAAACGGCGTCTCCATGTTTACATTTACAGGAACAGGTCTGCGTACAGGCCATGTCCGCAACTTAATACTTCCCTCTGGAAACACACACACAGTAGTTCTGACCAACGGAGCTGGAAACAGAAACATCAAATCCAAACACACATTCTCTGAATACTGTAAACTCTGCCTCACAAATATATTTATTTCCATTTAAAAAAACAGTCTTTGGATTACTTTGGCAGCTAAAAAATAAGTATGATGATAGTTAAATAATAAAAGTTTTGTCCTCACGCCTCATGCTGATGTTCTAGAACACGTGTCTAATGTCACCGCTCTCCCTCATTTCAGCTCTCCCGCCTCCATTACATTTTAAAGCGGTTTTCTTTCGGACGCTGTCGGTGCGGCTCTAGTCTCAAGGTAAATACGTCTGTTTCTCTCTTTACCTCTGACGAGTTTATTTGACTGTTTTGTCTCTGCAGGTTTTAAGATGGAGCAGGAAACCACAGAGAGGCCGTGGATCAAAGAGGAGCCCTCCCAACAGGAGGAGGGGGGCGCCAAGGGAGGCGCCAAGGGAGGCTCCGAGGGAGGCGCCGAGGGAGGCGCAGAGGGAGGCGTGTCCTCGGACTCGGACTGGGACCCTTCGCAGACAGAGGCCGACGAAGAAGCTGCGCTCCTGAACTGTCCGTTCTGTCTGAAGGGATTCCCCAGTGTGGACAGCTACGAGCTCCACATCAGCGTCCACACGGGGGACAAACCTTACAGCTGTTCTCTGTGCGACAAAACCTTCAGCACCAAAGGGAACCGCCACACGCACATGAAGATCCACCGCGGAGAGAAGCCACACAGCTGCGTCATGTGTGTGCGCGCCTTCTCCTCCAGCTCCGCGCTCAAAGTGCACATGCGCTGTCACACGGGAGAGAGGCCTTACAGCTGCTCACTCTGCGACAAAACCTTTGGACATAAAACGGCTTTAAACGACCACACAAAAACTCACAGCGGCGTCAAACCCTTCAGCTGCACCATCTGCCAGAAAGGATTCACCAAGAAGGGGAACTGTGACTCACACATGCGCCGCCACCTCGGGGAGAAGCCCTACAGCTGCTCAGTCTGTGACAAGGCCTTCGCCGTTAGCTCCGCCCTTGGCGTGCACATGCGCACACACACTGGGGAGAGGCCTTACAGCTGCTCAGTCTGTAAGAAGGCATTTGTGTCACGCTCTGCACTCAATGTTCATACACGCACTCACACAGGAGACAAACCTTACAGCTGTTCAGTCTGCGACAAGAAGTTTGTAAGGCGTGGCCACATGGAGACGCACTTGCGGACCCACAAGACTGAGAGACCTTTCAGCCGCTCAGAGCAGAGACCAGAGACCGGGAGGCCGGAGACCAAGACGGCAGAGACCGAGACGGCGGAGACCGAGACGGCGGAGACCGAGACGGCGGAGACCGAGACGGCGGAGACCGGGACGGCGGAGACCGGGACGGCGGAGACCGGGACGGCGGAGACCGGGACGGCGGAGACCGGGAGGCCTTTCAGCCGCTCAGACCAGAGGCCACATACAGAGACTCTCGCTGGTCAGAGTGAAGAGCCGCCTGTGTCCGCACCAGTCCCAGGGCAGACGTGGCGTGGAGGTATTATACTCTGTAACTTGCAGCAAAGACTGAATGTCAGCCGCAGGAAACGTCCCCGACCTGAGACCCGCCCTGAGGCCGACGACTGAAGAAGAGCAAAGATACAAGTCCCTTTGGACGGTTTTAATGTCGAAAAAACTCTAACTCTAACGTCACATGATGTTTTAAAGACTGTCCCCCGGGTTTAAGACCAGAGAAGGCCCTGTGCTTTGGGTTTAAGACCAGAGAAGGCCCTGTGCTCTGGGTTTAAGACCAGAGAAGGCCCTGTGCTCTGGGTTTAGGACCAGAGAAGGCCCTGTGCTCTGGGTTTAAGACCAGAGAAGGCCCTGTGCTCTGGGTTTAAGACCAGAGAAGGCCCTGTGCTCTGGGTTTAGGACCAGAGAAGGCCCTGTGCTCTGGGTTTAAGACCAGAGAAGGCCCTGTGCTCTGGGTTTAAGACCAGAGAAGGCCCTGTGCTCTGGGTTTAAGACCAGAGAAGGCCCTGTGCTCTGGGTTTAAGACCAGAGAAGGCCCTGTGCTCTGGGTTTAGGACCAGAGAAGGCCCTGTGCTCTGGGTTTAAGACCAGAGAAGGCCCTGTGCTCTGGGTTTAGGACCACAGTCCATGTTCTAGTTCATTCGAGCCAAAATGTCCTGTCCATTCACACACTGCTGAGACACCTCTACTCCCTCTGTTTTTATTCAGCTAAAAACCATCACCGATCGTTCACTTGCTCTGTGTTCTGAGCGGAGCCTGCAGGGACACAGCTGTGGTTGTCATTATTATTATTATTATTATTATTGTTTTATCATTACACAGTTAGTTTTTGAATCTGAAAAGTCCTTATATTCTGTCATGAGAAAATAATTCTGTTTTTTGTTTTGTTAAATGATTTAAAGCTGAGCTACATAAGTTTAGTCTCATAAAGATGTGGTTTGAACAGAAAGAGAGTTAAAGTCAAATCTTTTGTGAAAAGCTTTAGTTCTGTTTGTTCAGCTTCAAACAGATCAGTTTGATTTTGGAAATAAAAGCTCTCAACGTCAGTGACTTCAGTCTCATTTTCTTCTCACATTGTCGAGACCAAAGAGAGAGACCAGAGAGAGAGAGACCAGAGAAAGAGAGAGTAGAGAGAGAGTGACCAGAGAGAGAGAGACCAGAGAGAGAGAGACCAGAGAGAGAGAGACCAGAGAGAGAGAGACCAGAGAGAGAGAGACCAGAGAGAGAGAGACCAGAGAGAGAGAGACCAGAGAGAGAGAGACCAGAGAGAGAGAGACCAGAGAGAGAGTGACCAGAGAGAGAGAGACCAGAGAGAGAGTGACCAGAGAGAGAGAGACCAGAGAGAGAGAGACCAGAGAGAGAGAGACCAGAGAGAGAGAGACCAGAGAGAGAGAGACCAGAGAGAGAGAGACCAGAGAGAGAGTGACCAGAGAGAGAGAGACCAGAGAGAGTGACCAGAGAGAGAGTGACCAGAGAGAGAGTGACCAGAGAGAGAGTGACCAGAGAGAGAGAGACCAGAGAGAGAGAGACCAGAGAGAGAGACCAGAGAGAGTGACCAGAGAGAGACCAGAGAGAGAGAGACCAGAGAGAGGCCAGAGTCTTTGCTTCATCTTGAAGCTTCTTTCAGCTGTTCCAACTCTGACGCACAAGACCATAAAACTGGGCTGAGTTTGGACTCACTCTTTCCCTCTGACCTGCAGGTGTTCAGACCGACTCACTCTGTCCTGAAATGAAAGAAGAACCAGAGGAGCAGCCGCTGCCACAGATCCTGACTGTGAGCACGAAGAGAGAGCCACAGGACGATGAAGACTGGGAACCTGCAGCTCGTGGCTCCAGGAAATCTGCTGAGAGAAAGCTGTCGGGGGCCGGGCCCTCAGGGGCCTCTGTCCCGGAGAGAAAGTACAAATGTTCTTCATGTGATAAAAGGTTTACACGTAAACAGAACATGGACAAACACAGCAGAGTCCACACTGGAGAGAGACCCTTCAGCTGTCCAGTTTGTCACAAAGCTTTTTCTCACAAGTACAACGTCACGTCTCACATGATGACGCACACAGGAGAGAGACCTTTCAGCTGTTCGCTCTGTGACAAAGCTTTTTCTAAAAAGGTCAATCTGGACGCACACATAAAAATCCACCGAGGCGAGAAACCTTACAGCTGTTCAGTGTGTGAGAAAACCTTCTCAAAGAGCGGGAACCTGCGCTGCCACCTGCGGGTGCATCAGGCCGAGAACCTCCGCCGTCTGTACGTCGAGGAGCACATGAGGAAGCAGAGCCAGTGACCTTACAGCTACTCAGCTGGGGAACGCCATGCTTAAGTTCATGATTACAGGTTTTCTGATGAGATGAAGACAGCGTGTCGTGGTCTGATCTGTTTCTGTGGTCAAAATTTTACTTCAAGATTCTGTCTATTATTGTCTTAGTGTTATTTATGAGACTAAAGTTACGGACCTCAGCTTTAATTCTCTGCGGCTGTTTGTTTTCGCTCCATAAACCACAGACTGAATATCTTCAGTTTGTGGAAAATAAAACACATTTAAGATTTAAGAATTATTTTCACTTTTCAAATTCCACAATCCAGAGAGAGACCAGAGAGAGAGAGACCAGAGAGAGAGAGACCAGAGAGAGAGAGACCAGAGAGAGAGAGACCAGAGAGAGAGAGACCAGAGAGAGAGAGACCAGAGAGAGAGAGAGACCAGAGAGAGAGAGAGAGAGACCAGAGAGAGAGAGAGACCAGAGAGAGAGAGACCAGAGAGAGAGAGACCAGAGAGAGAGAGACCAGAGAGAGAGAGAGACCAGAGAGAGAGAGAGAGACCAGAGAGAGAGAGAGACCAGAGAGAGAGAGAGAGACCAGAGAGTTCTGTCATCACCGTGAGGAGGGAACGGAAAACTGATGTATGAGACCTTGGCCTGTGTAAGGTGTAAACTTTTCCTCATAATAAAGACAGAGGTTCCCAAAGTGTGGACCCGCGCCTCCTCTCACAACAGCACGAACTTATATCGTGTCCTCTGGCGCCGGACACAGGTACTGCAGCCAGACAGGATATGATACTGATTAGTGTGTTTGTCCGTGTGTGTCTGTGTGTGTTTTAATGTGTGTGTGTGTGTGTTTGTGTCTTTCTGTCTTTAAGTGTGTTTCTCTGTGTGTGTGTCTGTGTCTGTCCATCTGTGTGTGTGTGTGTGTGTGTGTCTGTCCATCTGTGTGTGTGTGTGTCTATGTCTGTCCATCTGTGTGTGTGTGTGTGTGTGTCTGTGTCTGTCCATCTGTGTGTGTGTGTGTGTGTGCGTGCGTGCGTCTCTTTGGTGTGTGTACTGTATGTGCGTGTCTATGTGTGTTTGTGTGTAGCTCTTCTGGTTCGTTGTCATTTCAGTATTTATTTGTTCTATTATGTTTCTGTAAATGGCAGATTCTCCTCCTCTCGGTGCAGTTCCCTAAAGCTGCGGTAGGGGGCGCCACAGTAAAACACATACAGTCTCATGAAGAGCAGGCTGTTTTCACACTGACTCCTGGAGCAGTCACTTTGACCGAAGGCTTTATTTCAGTTTCTTTAGTCACAAAATGATGAAGACCAAACATCTACATGAGTCTGAGTTACTTATCGTTGTGTTTACTAAACTAAAAAACGTCAAATTGACTGCTTTGTGTGTTAAACATGTTCATCCAAAAGAGGGTTAGAGCTCTGTGTTTCCCTCTGGTTCTCCTGTACTCCTGTAGTTTCTCTCTCTCTCGTTACATCACATGACCTCTCCCTCGTTAGCGCTGGGACACTTCCTGTCGCTAACAAGCGTCTGTTCCGCCGTGACCTCTGACCCCGGCGCACAGGGGCCTGGGACGGACGCCATGTTTCCTCCAGGCGCAAAAACTACAAACAAATCCCTCATCGTCTCCGACCTGCGGCTGTGTTTAGCGCCTTCCTCCTTCTGTCTCCAGGTCTTTCCATGTTTTATCAGGGTTAGCAGTAGCTCATTTCACATGCTACAACTGTTGTATATCTCTACTTTAGCTTAGAGCGCTAATACACTACGACATATTCTTTTATGGGTTTAAGACTGCATTGTAAAAAATGCTAAAAAAGTTTGAATTACCCAAATTTGGCTACGGTCAAAAAATTTGCCAAAGGACCAAACACATGAAGCTAAAGATGTTCAGACGGAAATAACTAAGCTCCTCCCACTGTCGCTAACGGCAACAGCATCTGTCAATCACACTGCCCTCACCTGGCAGCATCTGGCACTGCCCGCATCAAGCTTCATATCACGCAGAAGCTTCATTTAAACAGCAGCTTCACTCAAGCCGCAACCCTCCTCCTCCCCGTCTCCATTTCATCCTTCACCTGCAGCGACCGTCACCACCACCAGGTTCTAGGCCCCAAGGGATTTAAACTCATGATCTTTTTCCTCTTAGCACCAAATCCTAACCACATTCTGCACTTCATAATAATGTAATCTTGAAAATATTGTCCTCAGAGTCGCATATGTCATTTATGTCGTGTCCGATTTTGCCGATAATAAACCATTCTAATAACATCATGTTGTTTGTTCGAGTCTCTCCAGATTGAATTCCAGGATTGACATAAAACTAAAGCTGCTTGTTCCATTTGAAAATCCTAAGTTATGTTTATTTATATAGCACATTTTACAGACCAAGGAGAGACCCTAAGCACTTTACAAGGTTCAGATATTGTTCCAATCCCTCCACACGATGATGACAGAAGCGAGTCCAGAACACACTGGACCAACCCAACCAACACCATCCATTCAGACCTATTGTGCATGTTTTTAGTGGTAGGGGAAACCGGAGCACCCAGATGAAACCTACACAGGCACGGGGAGAACATGCAAACTCCACTCAGAAAGACCCTGTTCCGACCGGGATTCAAACCCAGGACCTCCTTGCGAGAATGTGAGAAATTAATGTAGTGTTTGACAGCAGAGTGTTTGCACAGAAGGGGTGGGGGGACCTGGTTATTTTGGATCTCACGTTTCGGACACAAATCTGGACGTCAGTGATTTCTCGTCGGTGAAAAAGCCGTCGGTCTTTGATGCGACTCGTAAATGGAGCATTACGGCGTTTAGCGGCGGCGGCTCCGGGCCCCGGCCTCAGGATCAACGTCTGGTCTTTACGCTGCTTTAGACACTTAGCTCCAAACATATGTTCATCTGTTCCACTGCTTTAGTCCTGCTTTAGTCCTGCTTTAGTCCAGCTTTAGACCTAATATAGACCTTATTTAAAACCTGCTTTAGCCCTGCTTTAGTCCTGCTTTAGACCTGGTTTAGACCTGCTTTAGTCCTGCTTTAGTCCTGATTTAGACCTGCTTTAGACCTGGTTTAGTCCTGGTTTAGACCTGCTTTAGTCCTGCTTTAGTCCTGATTTAATCCTGCTTTAGTCCTGCTTTAGACCTGCTTTAGACCTGCTTTAGACCTAATATAGTCCTGATTTAAAACCTGCTTTAGTCCTGCTTTAGACCCGATTTAGAACTGATATAGACCTGATTTAGACCTGCTTCAGACCTGCTTCAGACCTCCCCCTCTGTGCCCGTGTTGTGTCTGACCAGGCCTGCACAGTATGGTCCGGTCTGGCACACTGGCAGCCGCAGTCGCCCTGGGACGCGCTGCCGTTGGGACTGGCGTCTGCTTCTTCACGCTCCTTTAGGCTTCAGCGCGTGCTTCACATGTCGCTCACTTTCACCTCCACTGAGTCCGGCTCCGAGGAAAGGTCACGGCCAGAACCAGGACCAGGACCCACACACACCAGCAGCAAACTTAGACCATGTGTGACTGACCATGTGGGCCATTTAAGCTGAGGTACGTAAATTTAAACTCAGAAACAACATGTGTTATTAGTGTTATTAGTGTTATTAGAAAACATGTGTAAGAGTCACTGTTTGACTCTTTGAGCTGATTGGTCTCTCTGGTCTCTCTCTGGTCTCTCTCTGGTCTCTCTCTGGTCTCTCTGGTCCCTCTCTAGTCTCTCTCCGGTCTCCCTCTGGTCCCTCTCTGGTCTCTCTCTGGCCCTCACTGGTCTTTCCATGGTCCCTCTGGTCTCTCTCTGGGCTCTCTCTGGTCCCTCTCTAGTCTCTCTCCGGTCTCCCTCTGGTCCCTCTCTGGTCTCTCTCTGGCCCTCACTGGTCTTTCCATGGTCCCTCTGGTCTCTCTCTGGTCTCTCTCTGGCCCTCACTGGTCTTTCCATGGTCCCTCTGGTCTCTCTCTGGTCTCTCTTTAGCCTCGCTCTAGCCTCGCTCTGGTCAAGTCTCTCTCTCTGGTCTCTCTCTGGTCCCTCTGGTCTCTCTCTGGTCTCTCTGATGTCTGAAAGTGACGTACCGCAGCTTTAAGGGAGAACTCCAGAGTTCTACATTTGCTTCAATCCTTCAATGCAACGTTAACAACCTTTAGACAAACGTGTAAGAATCCGGATCTTTGAGAGCGCTAACAACGCTAACAGTGCTAACGAACGCGGTGTTGCCAAAGACACTCCCAAAACCTGGAACTCGGCCACTTCCCGCCAAAACAACATCCTGACGGTGACAGCGGCATCTGGCTCCAAACACGAGGAGAGACGACGAGACAACGTAAGGAAGAAGAAGAAGAAGGTTTAAAACTATAGTCTCAGTCCTGTGCTTAAAGACAGTGTAACGAGCCGTGGAGCTGGGTTCGGGTGAATGAAGCTCTCAATGTAAGAGTTGGGGCTGTTGCAGGCGCTCTCTGATCTCTCTCTCTGGTCTCTCTCTGGTCTCTCCCTGGTCTCTCTCTGGTCTCTCTCTGGTCGCTCTCTGGTCTCTCTGGTCTCTCTCTCTGGTCTCTCTCTGGTCCCTCTCTGGTCGCTCTCTGGTCTCTCTGGTCTCTCTCTCTGGTCTCTCTCTGGTCTCTCTCTGGTCGCTCTCTGGTCTCTCTGGTCTCTCTCTCTGGTCTCTCTCTGGTCTCTCTCTGGTCTCTCTCTGGTCGCTCTCTGGTCTCTCTGGTCTCTCTCTCTGGTCTCTCTCTGGTCTCTCTCTGGTCTCTCTGGTCTCTCTCTCTGGTCTCTCTCTGGTCTCTCTCTCTGGTCTCTCTCTGGTCTCTCTCTGGTCTCTCTCTGGTCTCTCTCTGGTCTCTCTGATCTCTCTCTCTGGTCTCTCTGATCTCTCTCTCTGGTCTCTCTCTGGTCTCTCCCTGGTCTCTCTCTCTGGTCTCTCTCTGGTCTCTCTCTCTGGTCTCTCTCTGGTCTCTCTCTGGTCTCTCTCTGGTCTCTCTCTGGTCTCTCTCTGGTCTCTCTCTGGTCTCTCTCTGGTCTCTCTCTCTGGTCGCTCTCTGGTCTCTCTGGTCTCTCTCTCTGGTCTCTCTCTGGTCTCTCTCTGGTCGCTCTCTGGTCTCTCTGGTCTCTCTCTCTGGTCTCTCTCTGGTCTCTCTCTGGTCCCTCTCTGGTCGCTCTCTGGTCTCTCTGGTCTCTCTCTCTGGTCTCTCTCTGGTCTCTCTCTGGTCGCTCTCTCTCTCTGGTCTCTCTCTGGTCTCTCTGGTCTCTCTCTGGTCTCTCTCTGGTCTCTCTCTGGTCTCTCTCTGGTCTCTCTCTCTGGTCTCTCTCTGGTCTCTCTCTGTCTCTCTGGTCTCTCTCTCTGGTCTCTCTCTGGTCTCTCTCTGGTCTCTCTCTGGTCTCTCTCTGGTCTCTCTCTGGTCTCTCTCTGCTCTCTCTGGTCTCTCTCTCTGGTCTCTCTCTGGTCTCTCTCTTGGTCTTCTCTCTCTGGTCTCTCTGTCTGGTCTCTCTCTCTGTCTCTCTCTGGTCTCTCTCTCTGGTCTCTCTCTGGTCTCTCTCTGGTCTCTCTCTGGTCTCTCTCTGGTCTCTCTCTGGTTGCTCTCTGGTCTCTCTCTGGTCTCTCTGGTCTCTCTCTGGTCTGGTCTCTCTCTGGTCTCTCTCTGGTCCTCTCTGGTCTCTCTGGTCTCTCTCTCTGGTCTCTCTCTGGTCTCTCTCTGGTCTCTCTCTGGTCTCTCTCTCTGGTCTCTCTCTGGTCTCTCTCTGGTCTCTCTCTGGTCTCTCTCTGGTCTCTCTGGTCTCTCTCTCTGGTCTCTCTCTGGTCTCTCTCTCTGGTCTCTCTCTGGTCTCTCTCTGGTCTCTCTCTGGTCTCTCTCTGGTCTCTCTCTGGTCTCTCTCTGGTCTCTCTCTGGTCTCTCTCTGGTCTCTCTCTGGTCTCTCTCTGGTCTCTCTCTGGTCTCTCTCTGGTCTCTCTCTCTGGTCTCTCTCTGGTCTCTCTCTGGTCTCTCTCTGGTCTCTCTCTGGTCTCTCTCTGGTCTCTCTCTGGTCTCTCTCTGGTCTCTCTCTCTGGTCTCTCTCTGGTCTCCTCTGGTCTCTCTCTGGTCTCTCTCTGGTCTCTCTGGTCTCTCTGGTCTCTCTCTGGTCTCTCTCTGGTCTCTCTCTGGTCTCTCTCTGGTCTCTCTCTCTGGTCTCTCTCTCTGGTCTCTCTCTGGTCTCTCTCTGGTCTCTCTCTCTCTCTCTTGGTCTCTCTCTGGTCTCTCTCTGGTCTCTCTCTGGTCTCTCTCTGGTCTCTCTCTGGTCTCTCTCTGGTCTCTCTCTGGTCTCTCTCTGGTCTCTCTCTGGTCTCTCTCTGGTCTCTCTCTGGTCTCTCTCTGGTCTCTCTCTGGTCTCTCTCTGGTCTCTCTCTCTGGTCTCTCTCTGGTCTCTCTCTGGTCTCTCTCTGGTCTCTCTCTCTGGTCTCTCTCTGGTCTCTCTCTCTGGTCTCTCTCTGGTCTCTCTCTGGTCTCTCTCTGGTCTCTCTCTGGTCTCTCTCTGGTCTCTCTCTGGTCTCTCTCTGGTCTCTCTCTCTGGTCTCTCTCTGGTCTCTCTCTGGTCTCTCTCTGGTCTCTCTTCTGGTCTCTCTCTGGTCTCTCTCTCTGGTCTCTCTGGTCTCTCTCTCTGGTCTCTCTCTGGTCGCTCTCTGGTCTCTCTCTGGTCTCTCTCTGGTCTCTCTCTGGTCTCTCTCTCTGGTCTCTCTCTGGTCTCTCTCTGATCTCTCTCTGATCTCTCTCTGGTCTCTCTCTGGTCTCTCTCTCTGGTCTCTCTCTGGTCTCTCTCTGGTCTCTCTCTGATCTCTCTCTGGTCTCTCTCTGGTCTCTTTCTGTCTCTCTGGTCTCTCTCTCTGGTCTCTCTCTGGTCTCTCTCTGGTCTCTCTCTGGTCTCTCTCTGGTCTCTCTCTGGTCTCTCTCTGGTCTCTCTCTGGTCTCTCTGGTCTCTCTGTCTCTCTGGTCTCTCTCTGGTCTCTCTCTGGTCTCTCTCTGGTCTCTCTCTGGTCTCTCTGGTCTCTCTCTGGTCTCTCTCTGGTCTCTCTCTGGTCTCTCTCTGGTCTCTCTCTGGTCTCTCTCTGGTCTCTCTCTGGTCTCTCTCTGGTCTCTCTCTGGTCTCTCTCTGGTCTCTCTCTGGTCTCTCTCTGGTCGCTCTCTGGTCTCTCTCTGGTCTCTCTCTGGTCTCTCTCTGGTCTCTCTCTGGTCTCTCTCTGGTCTCTCTCTGGTCTCTCTCTGGTCTCTCTCTCTGGTCTCTCTCTGGTCTCTCTCTGGTCTCTCTCTGGTCTCTCTTTCTGGTCTCTCTCTGGTCTCTCTCTGGTCTCTCTCTGGTCTCTCTCTGGTCTCTCTCTGGTCTCTCTCTGGTCTCTCTCTGGTCTCTCTCTCTGGTCTCTCTCTGGTCTCTCTCTGGTCTCTCTCTGGTCTCTCTCTGGTCTCTCTCTGGTCTCTCTCTCTGGTCTCTCTCTGGTCTCTCTCTGGTCTCTCTCTGGTCTCTCTCTGGTCTCTCTCTCTGGTCTCTCTCTGGTCTCTCTCTCTGGTCTCTCTCTCTGGTCTCTCTCTGGTCTCTCTCTGGTCTCTCTCTGGTCTCTCTGGTCTCTCTCTGGTCTCTCTCTGGTCTCTCTCTGGTCTCTCTCTGGTCTCTCTCTGGTCTCTCTCTGGTCTCTCTCTGGTCTCTCTCTCTGGTCTCTCTCTGGTCTCTCTCTGGTCTCTCTCTGGTCTCTCTCTGGTCTCTCTCTGGTCTCTCTCTGGTCTCTCTCTGGTCTCTCTCTGGTCTCTCTCTGGTCTCTCTCTGGTCTCTCTCTGGTCTCTCTCTGGTCTCTCTCTGGTCTCTCTCTGGTCTCTCTCTGGTCTCTCTCTGGTCTCTCTCTGGTCTCTCTCTGGTCTCTCTCTGGTCTCTCTCTGGTCTCTCTCTCTGGTCTCTCTCTGGTCTCTCTCTGGTCTCTCTCTGGTCTCTCTCTGGTCTCTCTCTGGTCTCTCTCTGGTCTCTCTCTGGTCTCTCTCTGGTCTCTCTCTGGTCTCTCTCTGGTCTCTCTCTCTCTGGTCTCTCTCTGGTCTCTCTCTCTGGTCTCTCTCTCTGGTCTCTCTCTGGTCTCTCTCTGGTCTCTCTCTGGTCTCTCTCTGGTCTCTCTCTGTCTCTCTCTCTGTCTCTCTCTGGTCTCTCTCTGGTCTCTCTCTGGTCTCTCTCTGGTCTCTCTCTGGTCTCTCTCTGGTCTCTCTCTGGTCTCTCTCTGGTCTCTCTCTGGTCTCTCTCTGGTCTCTCTCTGGTCTCTCTCTGGTCTCTCTCTGGTCTCTCTCTGGGTCTCTCTCTCTGGTCTCTCTCTGGTCTCTCTCTGGTCTCTCTCTGGTCTCTCTCTCTGGTCTCTCTCTGGTCTCTCTCTGGTCTCTCTCTGGTCTCTCTCTGGTCTCTCTCTGGTCTCTCTCTGGTCTCTCTCTGGTCTCTCTCTGGTCTCTCTCTGGTCTCTCTCTGGTCTCTCTCTCTCTGGTCTCTCTCTGGTCTCTCTCTGGTCTCTCTCTGGTCTCTCTCTGGTCTCTCTCTGGTCTCTCTCTGGTCTCTCTCTGGTCTCTCTCTGGTCTCTCTCTGGTCTCTCTCTGGTCTCTCTCTGGTCTCTCTCTGGTCTCTCTCTGGTCTCTCTCTGGTCTCTCTCTGGTCTCTCTCTGGTCTCTCTCTGGTCTCTCTCTGGTCTCTCTCTGGTCTCTCTCTGGTCTCTCTCTGGTCTCTCTCTGGTCTCTCTCTGGTCTCTCTCTGGTCTCTCTCTGGTCTCTCTCTGGTCTCTCTCTGGTCTCTCTCTGGTCTCTCTCTGGTCTCTCTCTGGTCTCTCTCTGGTCTCTCTCTGGTCTCTCTCTGGTCTCTCTCTGGTCTCTCTCTGGTCTCTCTCTGGTCTCTCTCTGGTCTCTCTCTGGTCTCTCTCTGGTCTCTCTCTGGTCTCTCTCTGGTCTCTCTCTGGTCTCTCTCTGGTCTCTCTCTGGTCTCTCTCTGGTCTCTCTCTGGTCTCTCTCTGGTCTCTCTCTGGTCTCTCTCTGGTCTCTCTCTGGTCTCTCTCTGGTCTCTCTCTGGTCTCTCTCTGGTCTCTCTCTGGTCTCTCTCTGGTCTCTCTCTGGTCTCTCTTGGTATAAACAACTGGTACAACATGACACTTATCTTTATGAAAGAAGAAAACTGAAAATCTCTCGCTCTCTGGTCTCTCTCTGGTCTCTCTCACTGGTCTCTCTCACTGGTCTCTCTCTCTAGTCTCTCTCTCTGGTCTCTCATTGGTCGCTCTCTCTCTCTGGTCTCTCTCTCTAGTCTCTCTCTCTCTGGTCTCTCTCACTGGTCTCTCTCTCTAGTCTCTTGCTCTAGTCTCTCTCTCTGGTCTCTCTCACTGGTCTCTCTCTCTCACTGTCCTCCCTCTCTCTGGTCTCTCTCTCTCTCTAGTCTCTCTCCCTCTCTGGTCTCTCTCTCTCTCTAGTCTCTCTGGTCCCTCTCTAGTCTCTCTCTCTGGTCTCTCTCTGGTCTCTCTCTCTCTAGTCTCTCTCTGGTCTCTCTGGTCTCTAGTCTCTCACTGGTCTCTCTCTCTCTGGTCTCTCTTGTCTCTCACTGGTCTCTCTCTGGTCTCTCTCTTTCACTGGTCTCTCTCTCTCTGATCTCTCTCTGGTCTCTTTCACTGGTCTCTCTCTCACTGGTCTCTCTCTCTCTCTGATCTCTCGTCTCTCACTGGTCTCTCTCTCTCTGATCTCTCTCTTGTCTCTCACTGGTCTCTCTCTCACTGGTCTCTCTCTCTCTGATCTCTCTCTTGTCTCTCACTGGTCTCTCTCTCACTGGTCTCTCTCTCTCTGATCTCTCTCTTGTCTCTCACTGGTCTCTCTCTCTCTGATCTCTCTCTTGTCTCTCACTGGTCTCTCTCTCACTAGTCTCTCTCTCTCTGATCTCTCTCTTGTCTCTCTCTCACTGGTCTCTTTCACTGGTCTCTCTCTCACTGGTCTCTCTCTCTCTGATCTCTCTCTTGTCTCTCACTGGTCTCTCTCTCTCTCTAGTCTCTCACTGGTCTCTTTAACTGGTCTCTCTCTCTCTGATCTCTCTCTTGTCTCTCACTGGTCTCTCTCTCTCTCTAGTCTCTCACTGGTCTCTCTCTCACTGGTCTCTTTCACTGGTCTCTCTCTCTCTGATCTCTCTCTCTCTGATCTCTCTCTAGTCTCTCACTGGTCTCTCTCACTGGTCTCTCTCTCACTGGTCTCTCTCTCACTGGTCTCTCTCACTGGTCTCTCTCTCACTGGTCTCTCTCACTGGTCTCTCTCTCACTGGTCTCTCTCTCACTGGTCTCTCTCACTGGTCTCTCTCTCACTGGTCTCTCTCTCACTGGTCTCTCTCTCACTGGTCTCTCTCTCTCTCTCTCTCTAGTCTCTCACTGGTCTCTCTTTCACTGGTCTCTCTCTCTCTGATCTCTCTCTTGTCTCTCTGGTCTCTCTAGTCTCTCACTGGTCTCTTTCACTGGTCTCTCTCACTGGTCTCTCTCTCACTGGTCTCTCTCTTTCACTGGTCTCTCTCTCACTGGTCTCTCTCTCACTGGTCTCTCTCTCACTGGTCTCTCTCTCACTGGTCTCTCTCTCTCTGATCTCGCTCTTGTCTCTCTCACTGGTCTCTCTCTCACTGGTCTGGGGACAACTGTAGCGTGTTTTGGACCTAGATTCTGTTTTTAAAAGTAGTGTTTTGCATCAGAGTTATTCTTAATCACTTTGGGATCCGTCTAATTCAGGTGTAGTCTGGACTACAGAGGTCTGGACCGGGCTCTGCCGCAGGACCAGGCCTCGGTTCCAGAAGGTTCCATGGTGCTGCTTTTCTCTGGCGCAGTGACGTGTGCAGTGCTGTGGTCGAGTCTCCTGCTGTTTGAGCTTTTCTCGTGTTTTGGTTCAGAGACGACGTCCCTTTAATCACAGGGTTTTATAGAAACGACGTCAGAGAAGCGTCATTTGGCACCTGGTGAACCGTGGTTTAGATCCTGAGCTCCATGGTTCCTCACTTTACCAGGATAGTGAGACCAGAGAGAGACCAGAGAGAGAGACCAGAGAGAGACCAGAGAGAGACCAGAGAGAGAGACTAGAGAGAGACCAGAGAGAACCCAGAGAGATACCAGAGAGATACCAGAGAGATACCAGAGAGATACCAGAGAGCGACCAGAGAGCGACCAGAGAGCGCGACCAGAGAGAGCGACCAGAGAGAGCGACCAGAGAGAGCGACCAGAGAGAGCGACCAGAGAGAGCGACCAGAGAGAGCGACCAGAGAGCGCGACCAGAGAGCGCGACCAGAGAGAGCGACCAGAGAGAGCGACCAGAGAGCGCGACCAGAGAGAGCGACCAGAGAGAGCGACCAGAGAGCGCGACCAGAGAGAGCGACCAGAGAGCGCGACCAGAGAGAGCGACCAGAGAGAGAGACCAGAGAGAGAGACCAGAGAGAGAGACCAGAGAGAGCGACCAGAGAGAGCGACCAGAGAGAGCGACCAGAGAGAGCGACCAGAGAGAGCGACCAGAGAGAGCGACCAGAGAGAGCGACCAGAGAGAGCGACCAGAGAGAGCGACCAGAGAGAGAGACCAGAGAGAGAGACCAGAGAGAGAGACCAGAGAGAGAGACCAGAGAGAGAGACCAGAGAGAGCGACCTGAAAGAGGGAACAGAGAGGGAGAGAAAAGTGAGAGACCATAGAGGGAGAGAGACCGTGGAGCTCTATGGTTCCTCACCGTCCTCCACTGGTATGAGGGTTCCTGGTGCCTGATCTCGACTGCGGCCCTGGTTTTCTCTGGAGCGCTCCAGCTTAGAGTGAGGTTATCCTGGGACCATCGCACGGACAGTCTCTGCGGCCTGTCGAACCTGACTGTGACAGAGCAGAGGTCTCTGAGTCTCACAGTGGTCACGGAAACAGCCTCATGGAGGGTGTATGTGAGCTGCACAGTGTCTAAGTCCTCCGTGAACCAAACAGAAACTGAAGAAAGTCACTTGGTTTTTGTCTATGTTGATTATTTGTCAATGGAGCAAGTATCTGGTCTCTCTCTGGTCTCTCTCTGGTCTCTCTCTGGTCTCTCTCTCTGGTCTCTCTCTCTGGTCTCTCTCTTTGGTCTCTCTTTGGTCTCTCTTTGGTCTCTCTCTGGTCTCTCTCTGGTCTCTCTCTGGTCTCTCTCTGGTCTCTCTCTGGTCTCTCTCTGGTCTCTCTTTGGTCTCTCTTTGGTCTCTCTCTGGTCTCTCTCTGGTCTCTCTCTGGTCTCTCTTTGGTCTCTCTCTGGTCTCTCTTTGGTCTCTCTCTGGTCTCTCTCTGGTCTCTCTCTGGTCTCTCTCTGGTCTCTCTATGGTCTCTCTCTGGTCTCTCTTTGGTCTCTCTCTGGTCTCTCTTTGGTCTCTCTCTGGTCTCTCTCTGGTCTCTCTCTGGTCTCTCTCTGGTCTCTCTATGGTCTCTCCCTCTCCCTCTCCCTCCCTGGTCTTGTGCAGTGGTCTTACTTGTGTGAGCCAGTGTGATGTTGATCTTGGGGGAGGCACAGCTCGGTCTCCCCTCCGGCTCTACCCACACCTCGCCCTCTGAGCTGGTGAACACTTTCTCTTCTCTGACCATGATGCAGTTCTCTCCAACTACAGGGAACTGTTTTTCTCTGTGCATCAGAGGAAACATGTCAGCACGCCCAGGATCATCCAACTGTGAGAGCCGTCATTTTGACTGCTCCATTCAAACCAATGGAATCCTGAGACATTCATCAAACATGTGAAGGTTTTATTATCTTCACTCACGTTCAACAAGTGCTAAAACTAATGACAGAGACTTCCGTATGCTAACTGCTGTAAACAGTGTGTTGCTACGGTAACAACAAAACTTCATTAAAAAATTATGTATCAAATAAACTACAGAAAAAGATTCAGAAAAAGTCACGTCATAATATTTTTAAATAAAGCTCTTTATGGACTCTCAAAGACGCTTCAAACACTGGTGATAATCTACTACTGCAGCCACAGCTGCCCTGGGGCCATCAGCCACACACACACACACACACACACTCTAAAGTGTCTTGCCTAAGGACACAACCACAGTTTGGCTCTTTGCAGCCGCCCCACTGTGGCACCTGCTGTTCCCAGAGGTCTCCCATCACAGCACTGACATCCAAACCAAAAGCCGTCAAATTGACTGCTCTGGTAGTTCTAGTGTGTGATGTGACATCACTCACTTTCCGAAGTGGATGACGTGGTTCTGAGCGCTGGAGTTCCATTCACAGAGATACACGTTCTCACTGCTGCTGCTGCGGAAACACTGAGGAGCAGACTGGATCTGGCAACCTGAGGGAGGAGAGACCGTGAGAGACCAGAGAGAGACCAGAGACCAGGGAGAGACCAGGGAGAGACCAGAGAGAGAGACCAGAGACCAGAGAGAGACCAGAGAGAGACCAGAGAGAGACCAGAGAGAGACCAGAGAGAGACCAGAGAGAGACCAGAGACCAGGGAGAGACCAGGGAGAGACCAGAGAGAGAGACCAGAGAGAGACCAGAGAGAGACCAGAGAGAGACCAGAGAGAGACCAGAGAGAGACCAGGGAGAGACCAGAGAGAGACCAGAGAGAGACCAGAGAGAGACCAGAGAGAGACCAGAGAGAGACCAGAGAGAGACCAGGGAGAGACCAGAGAGAGACCAGAGAGAGACCAGAGAGAGACCAGAGAGAGACCAGAGAGAGACCAGAGAGAGACCAGAGAGAGACCAGAGAGAGACCAGGGAGAGACCAGAGAGAGACCAGAGAGAGACCAGAGAGAGACCAGAGAGAGACCAGAGAGAGACCAGAGAGAGACCAGAGAGAGAGACCAGGGAGAGACCAGAGAGAGACCAGAGAGAGACCAGAGAGAGACCAGAGAGAGAGACCAGAGAGAGAGACCAGAGAGAGAGACCAGGGAGAGACCAGAGAGAGACCAGAGAGAGAGAGAGAGGACCAGATAGAGACCAGAGAGAGACCAGAGAGAGACCAGAGAGAGACCAGAGAGAGAGACCAGGGAGAGAGACCAGGGAGAGACCAGGGAGAGACTAGAGACCAGGGAGAGACCAGAGAGAGAGACCAGGGAGAGACCAGGGAGAGACCAGAGACCAGGGAGAGACCAGAGAGAGACCAGACCAGAGACCAGGGAGAGACCAGGGAGAGACCAGAGACCAGGGAGAGACCAGGGAGAGACCAGAGAGAGACCAGAGAGAGACCAGGGAGAGACCAGGGAGAGACCAGAGAGAGACCAGAGAGAGACCAGAGAGAGACCAGAGAGAGACCAGAGAGAGACCAGGGAGAGACCAGAGAGAGACCAGAGAGAGACCAGAGAGAGACCAGAGAGAGACCAGAGAGAGACCAGGGAGAGACCAGGGAGAGACCAGGGAGAGACCAGGGAGAGACCAGGGAGAGACCAGGGAGAGACCAGAGAGAGACCAGAGAGAGACCAGAGAGAGACCAGAGAGAGACCAGGGAGAGACCAGAGAGAGACCAGAGAGAGACCAGAGAGAGACCAGAGAGAGACCAGGGAGAGACCAGGGAGAGACCAGGGAGAGACCAGGGAGAGACCAGAGAGAGACCAGAGAGAGACCAGAGAGAGACCAGAGAGAGACCAGGGAGAGACCAGGGAGAGACCAGGGAGAGACCAGAGAGAGACCAGAGAGAGACCAGAGAGAGACCAGGGAGAGACCAGGGAGAGACCAGAGAGAGACCAGAGAGAGACCAGAGAGAGACCAGGGAGAGACCAGGGAGAGACCAGGGAGAGACCAGGGAGAGACCAGGGAGAGACCAGGGAGAGACCAGGGAGAGACCAGAGAGAGACCAGAGAGAGACCAGGGAGAGACCAGGGAGAGACCAGGGAGAGACCAGGAGAGACCAGGGAGAGAGAGAGACCAGGGAGAGACCAGAGAGAGACCAGGGAGAGACCAGGGAGAGACCAGAGAGAGACCAGGGAGAGACCAGAGAGAGACCAGGGAGAGACCAGAGAGAGACCAGGGAGAGACCAGGGAGAGACCAGAGAGAGACCAGGGAGAGACCAGAGGGAGAGACCAGGGAGAGACCAGAGAGAGACCAGGGAGAGACCAGGGAGAGACCAGAGAGAGACCAGGGAGAGACCAGAGAGAGACCAGAGAGAGACCAGAGAGAGACCAGGGAGAGACCAGAGAGAGACCAGAGAGAGACCAGAGAGAGACCAGAGAGAGACCAGAGAGAGACCAAGGAGAGACCAGAGAGAGACCAGAGATTTGAAAGTTACAGACCCCAGCTTTAAACCCGTGTTTGGTCCTGGCTTTTGTCTTGTCTGATTGAGTTGAGCACAGACAGAGGAAGTCCCAATGGTTTTAAGAATGGCAGCTTCGGCCACACATGGTTTCATATCAGATGGAAGTGGTTAAGCAGATGGTATCAGCACAAAGACAGACACCACAGAGACAGACGCTACTGCTGTTTCAGAGACCAGAGAGAGACCAGAAGGAGACCAGAGAGAGACCAGAGGGAGACCAGAGGGAGACCAGAGAAAGACCAGAGAGAGACCAGAGAGAGACCAGAGGGAGACCAGAGGGAGACCAGAGGGAGACCAGAGGGAGAGACCAGGGAGAGACCAGAGAGAGACCAGAGATAGACCAGAGAGAGAGGGACCAGAGAGATACCAGAGAGAGACCAGAGAGAGACCAGAAAGAGAGATCAGAGAGCGAGCAGAAAGAGACCAGAAATAGAGAGAGCAGAGAAAGAATAGAGAGCTACAAAAACAATCGGAGAAAATACAGAGAGTGTATATTACCTCCACAGAGCAGGACCAGCAGGAGCAGAGGCACCATGGGGCCTGGCACACACCATGGGGCCCAGCCAGAGAGCCTCATGCGTTCAGTGGGTTCAGGAGCTGCTTTAACTTTACTCTACACCTGCTTCTGAGAAATGTGCAGCTCTGAAACCACAGCCGGAGGTGGGACCAGAACGAGTCAAAAGGAAAGTGACACAGCCTCAAATGTTTGTTCCACTGCGACAAAGGGACCAGTTCTGAAAAATCTAGTTAAAGGTTTTGATTGGTCGCCCTGTTCTCTCTCTCTAGTTTCTATCTCTGGTCCCTCCCTGGTGTCTTTCTCTGCTCTCTCTTTCGGGTCTCTAATCGGTTTCAGTCTTGTCTCTCTCTGGTCTCTCTCTAGTCTCTCTCCCGTCTCTCTCTGGTCTCTCTTTGGAATCTCTCTGGTCTCTCTCTAGTCTCTCTTTGGTCTCTCTCTCTGGTCTCTCTCTCTCTTTCTGGTCTCTCTCTGGTCCCTCTCTCTGGTTTCTCTCTCTTTCTGGTATCTCTCTGGTCTCTCTCTGGTCCCTCTCTCTCTCTCTGGTCTCTGACTGGTCTTACTCTGGTCTCTCTCTAGTCTCTCTCTGGTCTTACTTTGCTCTCTCTCTGGTCTCTCTCTAGTCTCGCTCTGGTATCTCTGGTCTCTCTCTCTCTGGTCTCTCTCTGGTCTTACTTTGGTCTCTCTCTGGTCTCTCTCTAGTCTCGCTCTGGTATCTCTGGTCTCTCTCTCTCTGGTCTTACTTTGGTCTCTCTCTGGTCCGTCCATCCATCCGCAGCAGTTTAAGCAGAGATACCTGGACTTCCACACACCTCCTCCAGCTCATTCTGAGGTGTTCCCAGGCCAGCTGAGAAACTCTCTCTAATCAATCTCTCTGGTCTCTCTAGTCTCTCTTTGGTCTCTCTCTCTGGTCTCTCTCTCTCTTTCTGGTCTCTCTCTGGTCCCTCTTTGGTTTCTCTATCTTTCTGGTCTCTCTCTCTGGTCTCTGACTGGTCTTACTCTGGTCTCTCTCTAGTCTCGCTCTGGTCTCTCTCTCTCTCTGCTCTCTCTCTGGTCTTACTTTGGTCTCTCTGGTCTCTCTCTGGTCCGTCCATCCATCCGCAGCAGTTTAAGCAGAGACACCTGGACTTCCACACACCTCCTCCAGCTCATTCTGAGGTGTTCCCAGGCCAGCTGAGAAACTCTCTCTAATCAATCTCTCTGGTCCCTCTCTTTCGTTCTCTCTCTCTCTCTCTGCTCTCTCTCTGGCCTTTCTCTCTCTCTCTCTGTCAGATCTCTCTGTTCTCTCTCTCTGGTCTTTCTCTCACTCTCTCTCTTTCTCTCTCTGGCTCTCTGTTTCTGTGTGTCTGTCTGTCTGCCTGGTCTCTCTTTCTCTCTGTCTGTCTGTCTGATCTCAAATTACACCTTACCATTTTATTTTGAAGGCGCGTTTATCTAAACTTTTATTCTGAAGGCGCCTGTATGAGACCGGAAGTCAGCTGTTAGCTCCGGAGCTAAAGCTAAAAACAGTCAAATGTGAACTGGGCGAGTCTGCTGAGAACTACCGTGAAGGAGCAAAGCGGAGTCTGAGGAGGTGCAGGAGGAGGACCAGAAGAACCAGGAGGAGGACCAGAGGAACCAGGAGGAGGACCAGAAGAACCAGGAGCAGGTTTGTCCATTAAAGCTGAGGTCCCCAACTTTAGCCTCATTTATAACACATGTAGTGTGTCCGACAGAAAGAGTCTTGGAAACTGTTTTAGAGCCAGGATCTAGAGCCGCGGATTTTATTAGAGTTTTATTGGTGTGACCTGAAAGTTACACACCCCAGCTTTTATAGTTAGTCCTGCTTCAGTCCTGCTTTAGTCCTGCTTTAGTCCTGCTTCAGTCCTGCTTTAGTCCTGCTTTAGACCTGCTTTAGTCCTGCTTTAGTCCTGCTTTAGTCCTGCTTTAGTCCTGCTTTAGACCTGCTTTAGACCTGCTTTAGTCCTGCTTTAGTCCTGCTTTAGTCCTGCTTTAGACCTGCTTTAGACCTGCTTTAGTCCTGCTTTAGTCCTGCTTTAGTCCTGCTTTAGACCTGCTTTAGTCCTGCTTTAGTCCTGCTTTAGTCCTGCTTTAGTCCTGCTTTAGTCCTGCTTTAGTCCTGCTTTAGACCTGCTTTAGACCTGCTTTAGTCCTGCTTTAGACCTGCTTTAGACCTGCTTTAGATCTGCTTTAGACCTGCTTTAAATCTGCTTTAGTCCTGCTTTAGTCCTGCTTTGGACCTGCTTTAGTCCTACTTTAGTCCTGCTTTAGTCCTGCGTTAGACCTGCTTTAGACCTGCTTTAGACCTGCTTTAGACCTGCTTTAGACCTGCTTTAGACCTGCTTTAGACCTGCTTTAGACCTGCTTTAGACCTGCTTTAGACCTGCTTTAGTCCTGCTTTAGTCCTGCTTTAGACCTGCTTTAGTCCTGCTTTAGTCCTGCTTTAGTCCTGCTTTAGACCTGCTTTAGTCCTGCTTTAGATCTGCTTTAGACCTGCTTTAGACCTGCTTTAGACCTGCTTTAGACCTGCTTTAGACCTGCTTTAGACCTGCTTTAGTCCTGCTTTAGACCTGCTTTAGACCTGCTTTAGACCTGCTTTAGACCTGCTTTAGACCTGCTTTAGTCCTGCTTTAGACCTGCTTTAGACCTGCTTTAGACCTGCTTTAGTCCTGCTTTAGACCTGCGTTAGACCTGCGTTAGACCTGCTTTAGACCTGCTTTAGTCCTGCTTTAGACCTGCTTTAGACCTGATTCAGGCTCTCTGGTCTCCCTCTTTAACTTTTCTGTCTGAAAAAGCTGTGTGACTGAGCTCTGAAACTACTTACATGAATCCTCTCAGTGTAGTTCTGTGCAGTGGTCACTAAACAGCATCATGAAGGCCAAGAATCACAGCCGCCTCCTCACGCTCAGCCCAGTCCATGGTCTCTGTCATCACTGTGGGCTCTCTGTTTCCAGATCAGCAGCAAATCAGACCGAGTCCAGCATGAAGCAGGAGCCTCCAGAGAGTCCAGGGCCCAGAGTGAAGCAGGAGGAGCCTCCAGAGAGTCCAGGGCCCAGAGTGAAGCAGGAGGAGCCTCCAGAGAGTCCAGGGCCCAGAGTGAAGCAGGAGGAGCCTCCTGAGAGTCCAGGCCCCAGAGTGAAGCAGGAGGAGCCTCCAGAGAGTCCAGGGCCCAGAGTGAAGCAGGAGAGTCCAGGGCCCAGAGTGAAACAGGAGCCTCCAGAGAGCACTGAGGAGCCGTCAGAACAGAGCTCACTAAACATCGTTATCAGTAATGTTTTTTCACTGTGTGGCAGCAGCAGTGAACCTGTGCCCTCACAAAGACCTTTCAGCTGTTCAGGGACCAGAGACCTGTCTATTCACAGTGAAGAGAAACCCTACAGCTGCTCCATTTGTAAGAGACATTTTGCTCAACAAAAGACTCTGAAGGTGCATGAGAAAACCCACTCAGGGCAGAGGCCTTACAGCTGCTCAGTCTGTGAGAAAACATTCACCCGTCTGCCACATCTCAACAGACACATGGAGACGCACACAGGGGAGCGGCCTTACAGCTGTCCAGTTTGTGAGAAAACGTTTTTACGGAAGCAGTACATGAAAGAACATGAAAGAGTCCATACACAGGAGAGACCTTACAGTTGCTCAGTGAGTCCAGATCGAGTAGCAGCAGTCCAGACTACCACGCCCTATCCGGATCATTCCACTTTGAATTCTCTTGTGAGTATGAAATGAATAAGTGTATTACCGTTTTTTAACTCCAGCGTTGACCTCTCTACTGTCCTTGTCATGGTAGGATTTGTGATGACATTGCTTTAATCATACAGGCTTTCATTCATGGTTACTCATAATGTGATGCTGTATAATTGTTATTGCGAGATTGACATTTATCTGTTTAGTCTTATGTTAATTGAGCCCATTTAGCATCATACACCCGTGTATTGTCATCCGTGGGGCCCACACACTCTTGTTTGTAGAATAATCTTTATGAATCCTGGAAACACACCACTGATGACTTTTACACACTCATGGGGCCCTCCGTCTGGAGCTAACACTGAGTGATCACATGACTTAAGGAAAGCATTTCCTTGGACTTAAACTTCACTAAAGAGCTCTGTTATGTTGTTGTATTTTCTATGAATTACAGGTGGCAGTGGGTCCAGATATTGTAGCAGCAGTCCAGACTACCACGCCCTATCCGGATCAGACCTCCCAAGACTATTCAAAGAGGGATGGAGTTAAACAGGTGATACACTCATTCATTCTGTAGTCAAGTATGTGTTGACCTCTCTACTGTCCTTTTCAAGGTAGGATTGTGATGACATTGCTTTAATCATACAGGCTTTCATTCATGGTTTCTCATGATTACCACATTATCTGTTTAGTCTAAATATTAAAGAAGTAAGCTACATTTTTCAGTTAATATAAGTCTTAAATAGTCATGTTGCAATTGCAATCACTTATATAGTGTTTGGAAAAGTAGATTTGGTATGAATGACAATGTGTCATTACATTTGATAATCTCATTTGACTTCAATTGGAGTGGATTTGAAATAGAATGTTAAAAATGCAATTAATCTTGAGGTAACTCACCATTGCTATATGATTAATCAACAAAAATACATTAATCGCTTGACAGCCTTAAGTAAAGTAAATTTTAATGAACAATTTAAAAAATAAATCTGGTCTAGCTTCTTTTAACGGTGCGTCCGCATCGGCAAACAGGCTATAGCTGCACTTGTTTATAGTCACGGGAGAATGAGAACCAAGGCTGGAGGCATATGTTCACAAGCGCTAACCCCCATTGTCAATCTTGGTTTAGTCCTGGTTTAGTCCTGGTTTGGCTGTTTACTAGTGTCTTCAGTCTTCTTGCTCTGACCGCTAGTGTCCCCTTGACCACTGTGCCGCACTCTGATTGGTTGCCACAACCATAGACTGTACAGTCAAAGAGGACCATGTGTAGGGATGAGGGTGAGTCTGCAAGCTTACTGCTGCTTTAAAAGCAACTTTAGCATCACACTCATTGTCATCCGTGGGGCCCACACACTCTTGTTTGTAGAATAATCTTTATGAATCCTGGAAACACACCACCGATGACTTTTACACACTCATGGGGCCCTCCGTCTGGAGCTAACACTGAGTGATCACATGACTTAAGGAAAGCATTTCTTTGGACTTAAACTGCACTACGGAAGAGCTCTTGTTTGTAGAATAATCTTTATGAATCCTGGAAACATCACGTTGATCCAGATGGTGGGCGAGTGTGCAAAAGTCATCAAAGACAAAGTGCTCACAGTTCTGAAGGAATGCATTTCTTGCTAAATTACTACCAGCTAATTTGGCGCATATTCTTGACGTCACCCACATCTATCTACAACACTCGCGTTTGCTGATTGGTCGGAGGGGATTCAACCCATGTAATTCCAGACACTAGGACCAGCCCCAGACAGTACTTTTAGGGAAATGATGAATGATCGGAGTTTACGGTCAATATGGTCTTTATATTATTAGAGAAAATGTAGCATCATACTCATATTTTGTCATCCGTGGGGCCCACACTCTTTCTTCCTTTTTGTACACAAGATGCATGATTAAAGAGCTCTTAGTTATGTCCTTGTATTTTCTCTGACTTACTTTCAGGTTTCAACTTCCCAAAACTTTTCCCTTGTCAATTATTCAGACAGTGAAATTGATGAGGATTGTTTAAAAGAGCAACCTCTCACTAGAGGAGTTGCCCTTAAGAACTCTTCAATAGAAAATGTTCTGGTAAGCCTTTTATACCTTGAACATAATATTGACAGGCAAGTGGCTTTATTTTGCTTCCTCTGTGATCTTTTTTTGTTAGAGAAGGACAAAAAGCATTATAGTATGTGTGCTATCTCCATATTGTTTACTTTTTATTTGACTGTAATAAGTGAAAATTATAACTTTACACAACTCCTTTTTTAGATGAAAAGTAGAGTACCAGAATTTTCTGACTCCCTTTATGATTCAAGTGATGAATGTCCAGCGGAATCACTTGCTTCTAGGCCTTCTCGTAGGCCAAAGAGAGTCGCATTCTGCCCTGTAAGCAATTTTTACATCTTTATAATTTATATCTTTTAAAGTGTTCATTTCCTAGAACTAATGCTCTCATCCATTTGTTTCTGTCTTTAACAGGCTATAGTAGAATCAGATGACTCATATGCAGGTAGCGAAGATGACTACATTCCAGACAAAAAGGATGAAAGTACAGACTGCAGTAGTGATGAATACCTGGAAAATAAACAAAAAGCATCTGCTAGTACAAGCAGAAGTAAATCATTTGGTCAGAAAAGACTTGAGTCCAGTCAGAGCAGCAACAGAGACGCAGGTGCTTCATTATCTCTTGACAAAAAATTCTCTAACAGTGCACCCATAAGTCAGTCATCTGTTTTTGTCAAGCCAGTTTCTAAGAAAGGTGATGCGAGAAATTATGATAAAAAACATCACTGCCTCTACTGTGGAGTAAAAGTACAGAAGATGTCAAGACACCTGATGCGTAGACACAAAGATAAGGTTGAAGTTGGAAAAATTCTTAGTCTCCCAAAGAATTCTAAAGAAAGGCGGCTGCAATTCGACTATATCCGGAACAAGGGGAACTATGAATTTAACTGTAATGTCATGGAGAAGCAAACAGGAAAGCTAATTCCAAGTCAGCAACCAAAGAAAAAAACAGAAGGACATGAGTACATGCATTGCTTGCACTGTTTTGGATTATTCAAAAGAACTTTGATGTGGCGACATTTTCAGAACTGTAAATTGAAGCCTCTGGATAAATCCAAAGGTAAACAAAGAGTCCAAGCATTGTGTGCGTTTGCTGAGCCCACTCCAACTGGATTTAGCGACACTTACTGGAAGTTTTTAAGTGAAATGAATCAAGACAAAATTTCACTTACTGTTAAAGAAGACCGGTTCCTTTTAGAGTTTGGTTACAGACTGTTCAAGAAGAATCAGAGGGTAACCAGTCAATACCCACATATTCGCCAAAAACTAAGAGAGCTTGGCAGACTGGTTATTGAAGCTAAAGAAATTCACCCAGTACAGACAATCATGGAACTCATTAAACCGGAAATGTATAATGTTGTTGTCAGTGCTGCAAGACGCCTGGCTGGAGTAGTAGAAGAAACCGGCAGATATCTACGACCATCTCTTGCTTGCAAAGTTGGACATAGCATGCATTCTTTGGCCCTGTTTCTAAAGTCTGAAGCACTGAAAATGAAAGACCAACAAATTCTTCAAGATGCCACACAGTTTGCACAGCTATACATAGAAAGTTGGAAATATGACATTGCAAGCCAAGCACTTACTCAACTGAACCAGGATAAGTGGAATGTTCCTGAGCTCCTACCATTCACACGGGATGTCCAAAATCTCCATTCTCTTTTGTCTAGGAAACAGCAGGAACACATAAATGCCCTCAAAGAAAAGTCTTTGACCTCACATTGGAGAGAGCTTTCTAAAGTAATCCTGGCGCAAGTGATCCTGTTCAACCGTCGTAGATCAGGAGAAGTGTCCAGGATGCCCCTGTCTTCGTACTTGAATAGGGATACATCAGAAACGCACGAAGATGTAAATCTGGCTCTTACAGTAGTCGAGCAGAAACTTTGCAAATACTTTGTGAGAATAAGCATTGTTGGAAAGAGGGGAAGAAAAGTTCCTGTTCTCCTCACCCCGCTTATGAGGGAATCAATTGATCTTCTTAATGAAAAACGTGAAGCATGTGGTGTGTTGAAAGAAAATGGATTTTTGTTTGCGTTGCCCCATTCTCACAATTGCCTCAGGGGTTCTGACTGTATTAGACAGTTTGTAAATGAATGCGAGGGCCTCAAAACTCCCCAAGCTCTGACCTCGACGAAACTCAGGAAACACATTGCAACCCTTTCCACCATTTTGAATCTCAAGAATACAGAACTTGACCAATTGGCTGATTTCCTCGGCCACAACATTGCTGTCCACAGAAAGCACTATCGTCTTCCAGAGGCTACTCTTCAGATAGCCAAGATGAGCAAAGTGCTCCTGGCTATGGAACAGGGTCGTCTCGGAGACTTCCAAGGGAAAAGTCTGGATGAGCTCAACATCTCAGTGAATGGTATTAAGTCTATTCAAATACTCATGTTCACTATTGCCTGTTAGTGATATCATTCTCACCCCCAGTTTAAAGTTTAATTTGCAGTGAAGTGTAATACAAAACAGGTGTTTCCATTGATTATACTGAATGATAATAATACTTTTCTATACTCTTGTAAGAGTTATTACAAGCTCTCCAACTAATTCATATCCTGTCATTATCTCTTTAGAGACAGTTTGCATGAAGGAGGTTCCAGAAGAGGACATGGATGGTGGGTATGATTGTGTTTGAATAACATTATTGATTATTGATGTACAATATTTGTATTTTTTTCCTCTGATGTGATGACTAATTAGTCTATACCTATTACTATTCAGAATATAAACCTATCCAGCAATAGATGGATAGTTAGATACTTTATTGATCCCCGTAGGATAAATTCAGGTGTCCAGTAGCCACAAAAAAGATCATTCTAATAAGCAAACAATCGTAACAATAAGCAACAACTCTTCAGGTCACAGCAGCAGAGGTGGAGTAGTCTCTTGGTTCAGACCATTTTCTCTGCTCTGGTCTGGACCAGTGTAAAACCATGAATCCCCTCTGCTCTGGTTTGGACCAGTGTAAAACCATGAATCCTCTCTGCTCTGGTTTGGACCAGTGTAAAACTATGAACACTGTACTGCAGCAACATCTTGAGTAGAAAAAAGCAATTGAAGTTGTAAAGCACAAAACAACTGTTTCAGAGACACTTAGGACTTGCCACTGTTTCCAGCACATTAAAAAACAGTAGTAGTAAACAGTAGTAGCACTGAGCAGGAGTGTGAACTTTTGAGATTGAGGTTTAGGACAGGAATTGGGATTGCCCTTGCACTACAAATATATGGTTTGGTATAACTCATATATACTTCACAAATAAGGTCTGTCTGAACAAACTTCTTTTTGTACCCAGTTGCCAGTATGCCAGAGGAGCAGGGGTCAGAGCTCGACTCAGGAGATGAACCTACTTCAACATCTTACTTGCGTAGTCCAAAGCGGGGGAAAAGACCAAAGAAGAGAGGTGAGCTAGGAACAGTGGCTCTCAACCTTACACCGAAAACGCACTAGACGCAGAACGGATGTGGAGGGAAAGTGCAGCGCCCTGGAGTGGATTCAGGTTCTGATCGGCCCATGTTCACTATTGCCTGTTAGTGATATCATTCATCACCTCCAGTTTTAAAGTTTAATTTGCAGTGAAGTGTCATACAAACCAGGTGTTTCCATTGATTATACTAAATGAGGCCGACTCCTTACATTCTACGTCATGGTGCTCCGCCCCTTAGAGAAGGCTTCGCTATGGATAACTCAGAGGCTCTCAGCCTCCCGCCAGAGAGAACTAAATGCTCCAATCATGTGCCAGTCCCATCTATAAATAGCCCTCTACAGCCCGCACCTGCCACTTTGAACTCTGGCGCCATAGAGAGATCTACTCACTGTTAGAATGAAGACTGAGGATATCGCTGCCTTCTGCTTTCGTCCGAGTTCCACTTTGCCCTCCGGCGTCGGACGAGAAAGTGCAGGGCTTGCCCAGGTAAGCTTATCTAAGAAGAGAAGAGCGCTGTCCAGAGTGTGCTTCTTTCTTCCCAGTCAGGAGAGGGAGCACCGCGTGGCTCATGCTAGCAAGACTGCCCAAACTTCTCATAGGAAGAGGAGTCTGAGATTCATTTGTCCCTCTCGACCTGTCTCCTGCACCCAGGGAGTGTAGAGGCGGTGTTGTGGAGTCCAAGTTGTAAGAGACGAGGGGTCTCTCGTCACTCGGGAGGAGACCATTCTGAGGAGAGCGCTGCCCACAGAGCGTTCTGCTATCTCCCCAGGGAGGAGAGGGAGAGAGAGAGAGAGAGCACTGCGTGACTTATGCTAGCGGCGCGGAGTCACAGCTACGTTCAGACGCTCTGACCAGCTGTTCGTTTATTTGGATCCTAGGAACCAGGGCGCCCCGCTGTCCCCTCAGCGGCTAGCGCACTGGGTTTCCCGAGCGGTCCGCATGGCGTACCAGGCTCAGGGGTTGGTTCCCCCGGTGGGATTCAGGGCGCATTCCACGCGGGGGGTTGCGGCCTCCAGAGGTGCTACGGTGGAGGACGTCTGCCAGGCGGCGTCCTGGGCATTGTCCTCTACTTTTGCTCAGTCGTATCTGGTTGACGTGTCAGAACAGTCGGTTGCTCACTCCGTTCTGAACGCCGGGATCTGATCGGGCCCGTGAGGTGCTCTTGGGTGAGGCAACCTACGGTCTGTGTGGGTTTTAATTATATATATATTCCTTATATATCTATAAATATGTTGGTGTGGGTCAGAGCCATCCCATTCAGGTGCTCTTGATAGAGGCGTCCTGGGATTGGTCTGCCCTAAATGTTTCCTCGTGGGCAGCATGTGGTCCTTCAGGAACTCTTGGTAGAGGCGTCCTGGGACTCTGTCTGACCTTGTCCCTCTGGGGCGTTCTGGCCTTCCCTTCGGGAACTCTTGGTAGAGGCGTCCTGGGAATACGGCCCGCCCTTTTTCGCAGGGGAAGATTGACAGGGGTCTTGGGCGTCCTTGATCGGCCTAGAGTTTCGTCAGTGTCTTTACGGGCGTCCTTGGTAGGAGCGGCCTTTAACACCTTTAAAACTTAACATTCCTTGGATGCCCTGAGGCCACTCACCTTGGAGGTGTTGGGGGTATCTCGGGCAGGGCTCCAATCACTCTACGCTGGCCTGATGGGAGTACATTTCTCCTCCGACTTACGCATGGTTACCCATAGCGAAGCCTTCTCTAAGGGGCGGAGCACCATGACGTAGAATTTGTAGTTACCTAATGAAACTTCTACGAATGGTGCGTAGCCCCTTAGCTATGGGCCCATCAGTCCAGCCTAGCTTTGGCAGAGTTTAAAGTAGCAGGTGCGGGCTGTAGAGGGCTATTTATAGATGGGACTAGCACGTGATTGGTGCATTTAGTTCTCTCTGGCGGGAGGCTGGGAGCCTCTGAGTAACCCACAGCGAAGCCTTCTCTAAAGGGCTACGCACCATTCGTAGAACCAATAATGCTTTTCTATACTCTTGTAAGAGTTATTACAAGCTCTCCAACTAATTCATATCCTGTCATTATCTCTTTAGAGACAGTTTGCATGAAGGAGGTTCCAAAAGAGGACATGGATGGTGGGTATGATTGTGTTTGAATACGATGATATTGATTTTAGTTTGCTACTGTTATTGTTATTTGATTTCGATATTTGTATTTTTTCCACTGATGTAATGACTGATGTGATGATTATTTTCCACATATAAGGTCTGTCTGAACAAACTTCTTTTTGTACCCAGTTGCCAGTATGCCAGAGGAGCAGGGGTCAGAGCTCGACTCAGGAGATGAACCTACTTCAACATCTTACTTACGTAGGAAAAGACCAAAGAAGAGAGGTGAGCTAGGAACAGTGGCTCTCAACCTTACACCTCCACATCTGATGATGTCACAAATGATGACGTACTAGATAATTTACTAATTGAGTTGTCAGAATTTTTCTTTCATTGCCAGCATGATGTGCTCAGATGATTTAAAATGTGGTTGAGCTATATCTTTAGATTTTTACAAATATTATATATATATATATATATATATATATACACAAATGTCTTCCACCTCTTGCAACCGTGCCGTAAGTGTCCAACTCTCTGATTGTGATAGGTAAAGTGGAGCCAGTAAAAAGGACCTGGACACAAGAGGAGTGTGCTGCAGTGGAGAGGCATCTGAAGAAATTCATCGTTTTAATGAAGGTTCCAAAGAAGATGGACTGTCAGCAATGCATTATAGCAGAACCACAAACATTAGCAAACAGAGACTGGAAAGCGATAAAAAACTTCATCTATAACCGTATACAATCTCTGAGAAGAAGACTTGAGCAATAGAGCCTGGGTTGTTTTACATTGTTAGTTGGCAGTATTTTCAAGTACAGCATCTATTTTATATGTTCTGAAGTGTATCAGTGAGTTTGCCAAATGTTTCAGAGATTGCAGGTTTCAGAAAAAACAAACAAACCAAAGGACAGGTTTCTGTCCACTTAAAAGTACACCACAGTACTAGTATTAGACTCTATGCCCAGAATAACTTTTTCAATGTTCAAATCTTACATAAAGATAGTTTGAAACTGAACCCATGTTTATTTTTATTTTTACTGTCCTCTAGTTATAGTGTAAAAAAATCGTATTTACTACAGTATAACGTAAGGTGAGGGATTACTTTCGATTCACCTGCAGGTTTAAATCATGATCAAATGATAGTTGGGGATTCGCCATGAAACGGGAAGTTGTTGTAACTCAAAAACAAATTTCTCATGTATTATAAGAGCCCCAACTTCAACACGTGTATGACAAAATAAGGGCAAACTCATAGCACCACTTGCTGGCAACAGGAAGTTTCTGGTGCATCATTTTTGATAACCAACAGATTCTCCAGATTCACATCAGAAGCTTCATAAGACCTTGGTGATGATATGAAGCTTGTGTGTTTCCACTGAATGCAATCGCTGTGGCATCAGGATACATTCTCAATGTTCACCATGAAACAGGAATTTGCCATAACTCCAATGTATTTTGTCTTCATAAAATGATCATGTTTGATATCAAGTTTGGTCTAACAACAGTCCAGATTTTTGACTTATAATAATAATGTCCCAGCGTTCATACGAGGATCAACGCTGTGTACTCATTTCCTCTGCCAGACACAGCAACTGTGAAAATGGGAACTGAACCTAGAGCTTCGCGTGGTCTCGTTTGGACGAACGAAAGAGAACAATCCTCCTCTGTGCTGTGCTCGAAGCCCGCAAAGCAAGTTAGTTTACCCGCCGCCATTGTTGTTTACGTTTGTTCTACGCATGTCCAAATATACGTGTGGGGAGCAGCAGGAGGTGGGGGTCAGATCAGGCAGGGAATTCACACCTTTTTCCCTCACGCGGGTGTGAAAGAACGCCCCGCTGAGCAGTGTTTCTGTGGCTGAGTTTATACTAAGACGCTGCGCAGACGTTTCCAGGCTATTATCAGAAACGACCAGGCCCTAATGCAAATTTCTCAGCGTACATAAGAGTTTCTCCGTAGTGTACTCACTTCTTCTGGAAATACACGGAAGAACAGGGGAAGAACGCACCAACATCATTCTGCATTTTAACAGCAGCTGTGAAAATGGAAACTGAACCTAGAGCTTCGCGTGGTCTCGTTCGGACGAACGAAGGAGTAGAATTATCCTCTTGTGCCGCGCTGGAAGCACACAGAGCTAGTTATTGTGCACGGCGCCATTCTCCGCTACTGCGCATGTCCAAATTTGGGGGTCAGAGCGGAGGGGGATTTACACCTTTCTCCCTCTCGCGGGTGTGAAAAAGCTCCCTGCTGTGCAGCGGATCTGAGTTGTCCCACTCTGAAGGGCTCGACACACGGGAGGCGACAAATGAGAGCGATCAGCGAAACTCAACGCTGTCGCTCAGATAACATGACAGACGGGGCGCGATGCGGCTTGACGACAGCGTCGAAAAGTTGAGCCGATTTCAACTTTCTGGGATCGCGTCACTGACCTGCGCGTGCACGATACATGCACGAGCAGGAGGATTTCACACGCACGTTTTTCGCCCGTCGCTGAGCAGGAGGCTCGCTAGCGATTGACGCTATGTCGCGCACGTCCCATTGAAATGAATGGAGGCGATGCGATGTCGCCTCCCGTGTGTCTAGCCCATCATGGGCTAGACACGCTGCTCAGCGACGGGCGAAAAACGTGCGTGTGAAATCCTCCCGCTCGTGCATGTATCGTGCACGCGCAGGTCAGCGACGCGATCCCAGAAAGTTGAAATCGGCTCAACTTTTCGACGCTGTCGTCAAGCCGCATCGCGCCCCGTCTGTCATGTTATCTGAGCGACAGCGTTGAGTTTCGCTGATCGCTCTCATTTGTCGCCTCCCGTGTGTCTAGCCCATTCCGTTTTGACCCCCCTGGAACACAGTCTTCGTATGAACGGTTGGTAGAAACCGACATCCAACTATACCGTTTTACTGCCACATTGTCTCCGTGTGAATGGCCCCTTATATGCCTGTAAAATAACCTGCATCATATTCCTCCTGAGATGCGAGGTCCTGCTCAATGCTGCTTGCAGCTTTAATTAAGCTTGGTTTTGTTTACAGGAAGCAGACCAAAATAAGTGTTGAATACAGACTGGTCGGGTGGATTTAGACTAAAACACCTTTTAAACATAATCTATGTTTTGGTTTGTGTCTAGATGATTATTATAGATGACATGCTAAGCCTGTATCTTGTTACTAAATATCCTCCATTTAATTTGATTTACATCATCACCATATTTAGATATAATCACCCCAAAATTATGAACCTACTAATTCTGAACAGTCTATATGGTCCCTGCTAACATAAAAACTAGGAATATGTGTGTGTTTGGCCCCATTGAAATATAAAAACTAGGAATATGTGTGTGGGGGGGAAGGGCGAATGTTAAAAACAATGGATCCTATAGGTGGGTAAAACACTTTTTTCAACAAAGTTTAGAAATCAGTCATTTTGAATAGCTGGTAATTTTATAGATTTTTTTTTCTGACTTCCCTGATTTTTTTCAAAGCTGTAGAACCACTGGAAAGGGTGGACCCTGTGACTACACAAAGATGCTTTTGGTCCAGCGAGTATATAAATGCAAGAATGTGTGTGCGTGTGTGCGTGTGTGTGTGTGTATCTGTGTGTGTGCGTACTGTTGTATGGTCTCCCTGGGGTCGTGTCGATGGTGACACTGGCTCGGGGCCCCTCTCCCTCTGCTGTGGCCCCTGACAGAGTTACGTTGTACTTGGCTCCTGGACTCAGGTCGACAAGATGTTGATGCTCGGCTTGGTCAGGACCAGAGCTGGAGGATTTTACCTAGTGAGCATGTTTTTAGTGGTAGGGGAAACCGGAGGAAACCTACGCAAGCACAGGGAGAACATGCAAACTCCACTCAGAAAGACCCCGTTCCGACCGGGATTCAAACCCAGAACCATATTTTGATCATTATTATTATTATTATTATTAATATCATGATTATTATTATTATTATTATTATGAGACAATACATGTTGGGTCTCTCTGGCCTCTCTCTCTGGTCTCTCTCTCTGGTCTCTCTCTGGTCTCTCTCTCTAGTCTCTCTCTGTGGTCTCTCTCTCTGGTCTCTCTCTCTGGTCTCTCTCTGCATGGTCTCTCTTTGATCTCTCTCTGGTCTCTCTCTCTGGTCTCTCTCTCTGGCCTCTCTCTCTGGTCTCTCTCTCTGGTCTCTCTCTGGTCTCTCTCTCTAGTCTCTCTCTGTGGTCTCTCTCTCTAGTCTCTCTCTGTGGTCTCTCTCTCTGGTCTCTCTTTGGTCTCTCTCTGGTCTCTCTCTCTGGTCTCTCTGGTCTCTCTCTGTGGTCTCTCTCTGGTCTCGCTCTCTCTGGTCTCTCTCTCTCTGGTCTCTCTCTCTGGTCTCTCTCTGTGGTCTCTCGCTCTCTCTGGTCTCTCTCTCTCTCTCTGGTCTCTGTCTGGTCTCTCTCTGGTCTCGCTCTCTGGTCTCTCTCTGTGGTCTCTCTCTCTGGTCTCTCTCTCTGGTCTCTCTCTCTGGTCTCTCTCTGTGGTCTCTCTCTCTGGTCTCGCTCTCTCTGGTCTCTCTCTCTCTGGTCTCTCTCTCTGGTCTCTCTCTGTGGTCTCTCGCTCTCTCTGGTCTCTCTCTCTCTCTCTCTGGTCTCTGTCTTGTCTCTCTCTGATCTCTCTGGGCTCTCTCTAGTCTCTCTCCCGTCTCTCTCTGGTCTCTCTTTGGAATCTCTCTGGTCTCTCTCTCTGGTCTCTCTCTCTCTTTCTGGTCTCTCTCTGGTCCCTCTTTGGTTTCTCTCTCTTTCTGGTCTCTCTCTCTGGTCTCTGACTGGTCTTACTCTGGTCTCTCTCTAGTCTCGCTCTGGTATCTCTGGTCTCTCTCTCTCTGGTCTTACTTTGGTCTCTCTCTGGTCTCTCTCTGGTCCGTCCATCCATCCGCAGCAGTTTAAGCAGAGACACCTGGACTTCCACACACCTCCTCCAGCTCATTCTGAGGTGTTCCCAGGCCAGCTGAGAAACTCTCTCTAATCAATCTCTCTGGTCCCTCTCTTTCGTTCTCTTTCTCTCTCTGCTCTCTCTCTGGCCTTTCTCTCTCTCTCTGTCAGATCTCTCTGTTCTCTCTCTCTGGTCTTTCTCTCACTCTCTCTCTTTCTCTCTCTGGCTCTCTGTCTCTGTGTGTCTGTCTGTCTGCCTGGTCTCTCTTTCTCTCTGTCTGTCTGTCTGATCTCAAATTACACCTTACCATTTTATTTTGAAGGCGCGTTTATCTAAACTTTTATTCTGAAGGCGCCTGTATGAGACCGGAAGTCAGCTGTTAGCTCCGGAGCTAAAGCTAAAAACAGTTAAATGTGAACTGGGCGAGTCTGCTGAGAACTACCGTGAAGGAGCAAAGCGGAGTCTGAGGAGGTGCAGGAGGAGGACCAGAAGAACCAGGAGGAGGACCAGAGGAACCAGGAGGAGGACCAGAAGAACCAGGAGCAGGTTTGTCCATTAAAGCTGAGGTCCCCAACTTTAGCCTCATTTATAACACATGTAGTGTGTCCGACAGAAAGAGTCTTGGAAACTGTTTTAGAGCCAGGATCTAGAGCCGCGGATTTTATTAGAGTTTTATTGGTGTGACCTGAAAGTTACACACCCCAGCTTTTATAGTTAGTCCTGCTTTAGTCCTGCTTTAGTCCTGCTTTAGTCCTGCTTTAGACCTGCTTTAGTCCTGCTTTAGACCTGCTTTAGACCTGCTTTAGTCCTGCTTTAGTCCTGCTTTAGACCTGCTTTAGTCCTGCTTTAGTCCTGCTTTAGACCTGCTTTAGTCCTGCTTTAGTCCTGCTTTAGTCCTGTCCCTAGACCTGCTTTAGTCCTGCTTTAGACCTGCTTTAGACCTGCTTTAGTCCTGCTTTAGACCTGCTTTAGACCTGCTTTAGACCTGCTTTAGTCCTGCTTTAGACCTGCTTTAGTCCTGCTTTAGACCTGCTTTAGACCTGCTTTAGTCCTGCTTTAGTCCTGCTTTAGACCTGCTTTAGACCTGCTTTAGACCTGCTTTAGTCCTGTTTTAGACCTGCTTTAGATCTGCTTTAGTCCTGCTTTAGTCCTGCTTTAGACCTGCTTTAGTCCTGCTTTTGACCTGCTTTAGTCCTGCTTTAGTCCTGCTTTAGTCCTGCTTTAGTCCTGCTTTAGACCTGCTTTAGTCCTGCTTTAGTCCTGCTTTAGTCCTGCTTTAGTCCTGCTTTAGTCCTGCTTTAGTCCTGCTTTAGTCCTGCTTTTGACCTGCTTTAGACCTGCTTTAGACCTGCTTTAGACCTGCTTTAGACCTGCTTTAGACCTGCTTTAGTCCTGCTTTAGACCTGCTTTAGACCTGATTCAGGCTCTCTGGTCTCCCTCTTTAACTTTTCTGTCTGAAAAAGCTGTGTGACTGAGCTCTGAAACTACTTACATGAATCCTCTCAGTGTAGTTCTGTGCAGTGGTCACTAAACAGCATCATGAAGGCCAAGAATCACAGCCGCCTCCTCACGCTCAGCCCAGTCCATGGTCTCTGTCATCACTGTGGGCTCTCTGTTTCCAGATCAGCAGCAAATCAGACCGAGTCCAGCATGAAGCAGGAGCCTCCAGAGAGTCCAGGGCCCAGAGTGAAGCAGGAGGAGCCTCCAGAGAGTCCAGGGCCCAGAGTGAAGCAGGAGGAGCCTCCTGAGAGTCCAGGGTCCAGAGTGAAGCAGGAGCCTCCAGAGAGTCCAGGGCCCAGAGTGAAGCAGGAGGAGCCTCCTGAGAGTCCAGGGCCCAGAGTGAAGCAGGAGGAGCCTCCTGAGAGTCCAGGGCCCAGAGTGAAGCAGGAGGAGCCTCCTGAGAGTCCAGGGTCCAGAGTGAAGCAGGAGGAGCCTCCTGAGAGTCCAGGGCCCAGAGTGAAGCAGGAGGAGCCTCCTGAGAGTCCAGGGCCCAGAGTGAAACAGGATCCTCCTGAGAGTCCAGGGTCCAGAGTGAAGCAGGAGAGTCCAGGGTCCAGAGTGAAGCAGGAGGAGCCTCCTGAGAGTCCAGGGCCCAGAGTGAAGCAGGAGGAGCCTCCAGAGAGTCCAGGGTCCAGAGTGAAGCAGGAGGAGCCTCCAGAGAGTCCAGGGTCCAGAGTGAAGCAGGAGGAGCCTCCAGAGAGTCCAGGGCCCAGAGTGAAGCAGGAGGAGCCTCCAGAGAGTCCAGGGTCCAGAGTGAAGCAGGAGGAGCCTCCAGAGAGTCCAGGGCCCAGAGTGAAGCAGGAGGAGCCTCCAGGGAGCACTGAGGAGCCGTCAGAACAGAGCTCACTAAACATCGTTATCAGTAATGTTTTTTCACTGTGTGGCAGCAGCAGTGAACCTGTGCCCTCACAAAGACCTTTCAGCTGTTCAGGGACCAGAGACCTGCCTATTCACAGTGAAGAGAAACCCTACAGCTGCTCTATTTGTAAGAGACATTTTGCTCAACAAAAGACTCTGAAGGCGCATGAGAAAACCCACTCAGGGCAGAGGCCTTACAGCTGCTCAGTCTGTGAGAAAACATTCACCCGTCTGCCACATCTCAACAGACACATGGAGACGCACACAGGGGAGCGGCCTTACAGCTGTCCAGTTTGTGAGAAAACGTTTTTACGGAAGCAGTACATGAAAGAACATGAAAGAGTCCATACACAGGAGAGACCTTACAGTTGCTCAGTTTGTGAGAGGACATTTTGTAAAAAGCAGACCATGATAGACCACGAGAAGACCCACTTTGGGCAGAAACCATACAGGTGTTCAGTTTGTAAGGAAACTTTCACCCATAAGGGAAATCTCAACAGACACATGGGGAGGCACAAAGGGGAGAGACCTTACAGCTGTTCAGATTGTGAGAAGACCTTTTTACAAAAGCAACACCTGAAAGAACACCAGAAAACCCACACAGGGGTGAAACCTTACAGCTGTCCGGTTTGCGGGAAATCGTTTTTGCAAAAGCAGAACCTGAAAAAGCATGGGCGGGTCCACACAGGCGAGAGACCTTTCAGCTGTTCACTCTGCAAGAAGAGGTTCACGTGTCGGGCACATCTCAACAGACACATGGGGTCGCACACCGGGGAGCGACCTTACAGCTGTTTGATTTGTAAGAAAACATTTGTTCAGAAGGAGCACTTGCAAGCTCACCTGAACCGTCAGAAAGACTGCAGCCTCACAACGGGTTCTGAGGAGGAGCCATCAGATTTCCACGACTCAGAGGTCAGAGGTCAGGGAGAACATTTCGCATAGCGCTGTTCAATCCAATGTGAACCGTAAACTTACCAAGACACGGCCGTCTGCCCAAACTCACTGCTCCAACGTAGCCTGGCATTTGTAAACTCAAAAATGTCCAAAATGATGTGCCCTGACATGCTGCAATACCACTCCTGGCCAGTGGGGGTGGACCCGGGATAAGTTAGCCAATGGTAATGTACGTATCCTCTTTACGTCTTTTACGGGATGGTCCAAAAGTGGCTCTTGACCCAACGCTACGTTCCAGATGCTGTCGATGCTGAGGGGAGTGAATGTTTTTGGACCAGTCTAGTTTAGTCGCTGTGGACTTCAGAATGCACTCGTTAAAGTGGTTCTCACCCCCGCTCCTCGGAGCTTACGTCACTCACATTTCCTGTTCAAATCTTCCTCTAAATGGGCGTAGCCTGGAGGACTGAAGGGGGCGTGAACGAGACTGGGCCGTTTACATTGCTCTGGGCGGGGGGCTGCAGACGTCAGGTCTTGCTTCAGACGTCAGGTCTTGCTTCAGACGTCAGGTCTTGCTTCAGACGTCAGGTCTTGCTTCAGACGTCAGGTCTTGCTTCAGACGTCAGGTCTTGCTTCAGACGTCAGGTCTTGCTTCAGACGTCAGGTCTTGCTTCAGACGTCAGGTCTTGCTTCAGACGTCAGGTCTTGCTTCAGACGTCAGGTCTTGCTTCAGACGTCAGGTCTTGCTTCAGACGTCAGGTCCAACTTGCAGACGTCAGGTCTTGCTGCCGCGCCAGTGTTGGCGCCAGTGTTGGCGCCAAATTTTGAATCTACTCATAGACGGCGAAAGTGATGTCACATTAGTTTGAACGGCGGAGATAGGAGTGACTACGTCTGTTTATAATTACAGTCTATGGTCTGATCCTAGTGGCTGCAGTGTCCTCGGTTGAATCTCCTCCGACCAATCAGAGAGCAGGGGAGGCGGGTGATGTAGGTCTGTGTCTGTGACGTCAAGAGTTTGTGAATTTGCAGGTTGTAGTTTGTCGGTGAATGCGATAGTAGAATAATCTGCTCTGGTTCTGCTTAAAATATAAAGAAATTGAAGCCAGAGCAAGAGGAATGTTTTGCTGCATAGATGTTGTGGCTCTACTCCCCATGGGCTCCGTTATTGGCTAAGGAGATGGCTAAAGCTAGGCTAAATGCTAAATGCCTCTCTCACTCGGGCTCATTACATACGTGACGGTAAACTCAGAGTTAACCCCTCCCACCTGTTCACAAAGTCAGTGGAGCAAATCCAGACCTTAGTACGAAATGAAATGAGTACAATGGTGTGGTAAGACCAGGCTAGCTCCAACGTGGACTCTGTGTTTTCTTATAAACTGAGCAAAATTAAATAGTTGTTTGTGGCCGAAAACATGAGAAATATTTGAAAACCTGTGAGTGGTATGAATACTTTTGCAACACACTGTAAATACATGAAGCCTTTCGTTGTATCTGACTCTTTCCTAAGTTACATTTATTTAAATAAAGTTTAAATCTTGAAGCAAAATCTTCTTTAAAGCTTTGTGTTTGTGACGATTTGTGACCAGTATTTTCATAGATATTTATAATACTCTTTGATACTTCAGCGAATGGAAGATAAATGCACCGTACATTGGGTGAAATGCATCTTAAAGTCTGAGATCTCCTGCATCTGCGTAGGTTTTCTCCAGGTGCTCCTGTTTCCCCTAACACTAAAAACTGTGACAGATAACACATTCATCTAAACAGATTTCAACTTTATCTGCTTTGTCCTTGTATATATTGTATATTAACAGATCTGTACTCCAATTATCTCTGGATTTTGTACTGTACATATGTACAGATTCTCACAAATACCTTATCAGATTGTTACTTTTATGTTTTATTGTGAAATAGTATGCAAGCCATTAGACTATATCTAAACAGGCTTTGCAGATGCCCTAATGGCCTTAAGATGGGTCAAATGCAGACACATTTCACAGCAAGGACGAGGAAGTAACGTTACATGAAACCATCTCAATATTACGGAACAAAAGGCTTTTATTTTGGAGGCGCCTAATGTGGGCGGGGCTAAACACGGAAGTCAGATCGCAGCGTTAGCTCCTGAGCTAAAGCTAAAAACATGAAAATAACGTGGATCCAGTTGAGAGCCGCCGTGAAGGAGCGTCTGTCTGCGGCTGTGGAGGAGATCTGTGTCCTGGTGGAGAGGAGCATAGCGGAGTATGAGGAGGAGCTGAGGAGGAGCAGGAAGGACCGGGACCAGGAGCAGACCCGGAGGAACCAGCAGCTCGCAGGTTGGTCTCTGAAACCTGGTGTATGTCACTTAAGTCTCATAAACAACACATGGAGTTTGAACAGAAAGTAAAGAAAGAGACCGGATGTGAAAACTATCGAACAGAGTGATCCTTAAACACAGAGAGGATTAAAACTGTGATTCTGAAAACATATTTATAATAAACTCTTTAAACGGATTCAGGCTTCATGCTGCTGAACCATGAACGTGTAGCGTGAGTCCGGAGTGTTTGTCTCCAGCTGTGACCATCACTGTCCCTGTCTCTGTGTGACTCATGTGTCGTTCTGTTCTGCAGACGCTGAGATCCACTGGTTCAGTCCTGATCCCAGAGTGAAGCAGGAAACCACAGAGAGGCCACACATCAAAGAGGAACCGTCAGAACAGCGCCTCCTACAGGAGCAAGAGGAGCTCTCAGAGGTCACCTGTGTGAAGAGGGAGGAGCTGTGTCCACAGACCACAGTCCACAGACCCAGAGAGGAGGAGACGCAGGGAGGAGCAGGAGGAGCAGTCAGCTCACAGGGACACTTCCACTCAGACACTGAGCAAAGGGACATCTCTCCTGACACTGAGGATGATGAATCCTGGGAACATCCTTCTCCTGCTCAGACACAAGACCCCACTGCACACAACTCTCTGTTCATCAGCTACGAGACTGTCCCAGAGGGACTGTCGGGGACCAGAGACCTGTCGGGGACCAGAGACCTGTCGGGGACCAGAGACCTGTCGGGGACCAGAGACCTGTCGGGGACCAGAGACCTGTCGGGGACCAGAGACCTGTCGGGGACCAGGGTCGGGACCAGAGACCTGTCGGGGACCAGAGACCTGTCGGGGACCAGAGACCTGTCGGGGACCAGAGACCTGTCGGGGACCAGAGACCTGTCGGGGACCAGAGACCTGTCGGGGACCAGAGACCTGTCGGGGACCAGAGACCTGTCGGGGACCAGAGACCTGTCGGGGACCAGAGACCTGTCGGGGACCAGAGACCTGTCGGGGACCAGAGACCTGTCGGGGACCAGAGACCTGTCGGGGACCAGAGACCTGTCGGGGACCAGAGACCTGTCGGGGACCGGGCCGTACACGTGTCCGCTCTGCAGCTGCGTGTTCCGCACGGCGTGCACGCTCCGCTCGCACAAACGTAAACACGGAGACGGGACTCACTTCTGTTGCCCCGTGTGTGGTAAGAAGTACCCCCGCTTCTGCAGCCTGAGCGACCACTACAGGACGCACACCGGACAGAGACCTTTCTTCTGCTCAGTTTGTGGAAAGAGCTTCACAGTGAAACACCATCTGACTGAACACACGCGAGTACACACAGGAGAGAAACCCTTCACCTGCGCTCTCTGCGGCAAAGGCTTCACCCGCACCTTCTCCCTGAAGACACATCTGCGCCAACACAGCACTGTGCCAGGACCAGGTCTAGGACCAGGTCTGGAACCAGGTCTGGGACTGGACCAGCTCATGGACCTCCAGTGATCTTGCAGCTGCTCACAGGGAACTTTACAGTCGCCATAATCCCCATAAATATATAATTATGTATTTACAAGATGCACAAACCCAAAGAGACATTGGAGAGAGGGAGGCTCTCTTGGTGTGGATGTTTCCACAGACCAAGAGCCTCCTAAACCTCCCAGCTCCATAGAGCCTGCTGTGGGGGTCGCCAGGATCTCTCCAGTGGAAACATCAGCTGATCAGGGAAAAGGACGTTTATCAAACTACATTTAAATCACAAATGAACAGTGTTTAAGCCCATCCATCTTCTCCCTTGAATCCATGTAGCTCTACTCTACTCTACTCTACTCTACTCTACTCTACTCTACTCTACTCTTGAATGTACTGTGAGGATTTCTTACCTTCACTGAGTTGTTTCTGTCTTGTGTAATACACTTTAAATGACCTTTTGTTTGAACTCTGCTATACAAATAAACTTTCCTCATACTTTCTCACATTACGTTTCAAGGTTGAAAAAAGAAAAAAAAATGTGTATTCTTAAAAAGATTCTATTTTTTTCTGGTTAAATGCAGCTTTGACTTGTTTTACAAAAATAAACAACAAATCATTGAATATTCACTGAACATGTTTTATTTAATCATTTAGTGAGGTTGTGGTTTTTAAATATTTTTTAAATTTACCTTTAAGTTTTATAAATAAACAGTAATTCACATTTATATATTTGGGCGTCACGGTGGCGTTCGAATCCTGGTTGGAACAGGGCCTTTCTGAGTGGATTTTGCATGTTCTCCCTGTGTTTGCGCAGGTTTCCTCCAGGTACTCTGGTTTCCCTTTCCACTAAAAACATGTACAATAGTTCTGAATGTAATGAATGGATGGTGTTGGGGACTTTGATGCTCCAGTGTGTTCGGCGTCTCGCTTCCGTCATCACCGTGTGGAGAGAATGGAACGATATCTGAAGGGAAACCTTGGGCTGTATAAATAAATAATACTTACTTACATTCTAGGTATTGTAATCAGTATCACAATGTATGTTATTTCCATCTGTAACCACCAGGTGTCGCCTCTGCTCAGGATCACGCAGGCCCCTCCCCCAGGCGCTGAGCATCTGAGGCTGTGACCGGAGGCTATGCTAGCTCTTGTTTACACCGGGAAACCTATCATTTCACAACCGCGCGAAGCTCCAGGAGAGGCCCGTGTCCAGAGCTGAGGCCGGGGGACAGGTCTGCTCCGGCGGGGAGAGGGAACCGCGACGGCAGGAGCGACTTTAGCGCTAATGCTAACAGCTAATGCTAACGTCCGTCCGTAAACATGTGCAAACTGAGCGCGCTCCGGGCCGCGGTGAACGAGCGTCTGGCGGCGGCTGCGGAGGAGATCTTCGCCCTGGTGGAGAGGACCATAGCGGAGTATGAGGAGGAGGTGAGGAGGTGCAGGCAGGAGAGGGACCAGGAGGAGCGCAGGAGGAACCAGGAGCTCACAGGTTTGTCTCATCCGCATCAGCTTCGCACTGAACACTTTTCCATCACTGGTTTTCACATGTATTTTTATGTGTGTCACATCTTTAGATCAGATTTATCAGACAGAAAAGTGATAAAGAGAGGACCACCCTCCCTCAGCCAATCAGCTCTCAGACAACTCTTTCTTTGGGCTGCATGCTAATGTTACTGTAACAATAACAGTAAAGAGCAGATTCAGTGACAGACTGCTCCACCCTCGCTGTGGACGGAGAGGTTCTTCAGGTCTTTTCTTCCTGCTGCTGTCAGACTGTACAACAAGAACAGCTGACCCTGTACATGTGCCACTCGCCTGTGCTGACAATCCTCCAGGCACTTTATCTGCCACGATGATTGATTCTGGTCATTTTCTCTGCTGCTAACCATTGGTTGTATTTAGATGGACAACTCGCTAGCCCTAAGAAGCCCAGTAGGGAAGTGCTCACGGATAAAGTTTGGCTCCAATTTGTTCTGGCTGTGGTTTAGCGCTCTCTCTGATCCTCATGTTTATATTTTGATATATAACGCCTCGGAGGAAATGCCCATATAAGGACATTGCCTCTTCTAGCTTGGGTCCAGATCATTCCCTAAATCTAAAGACCCACAACACGATGCTACCCCCCACACTTGGTTTCAAATAAAATAGAAACCAAGCTTTTTCAGTTTTTAAAGCCAATTCAATACTCATTTTGATTCCACTTCCCATGTTGAATGTGAATGTTACTTTGATAAGAGTCCATAATAACATTTCTAGTCATAAACAGAACATGTGCCAAGGCTCTTGTTGTCTTCATTCTATGTTGAAGCCTTTTTGCTCATGACTTCCACACGCTCACAGCTTCCCCTCCCACAGAACAGCGCCATCTGTGGTAATCTGCTGTCAGTGTAATTACAGCTGTTTCCAGTGTTGTCTTTATGAAGAATGATACTTCTATTTCCTCTCTGCAGTTTTCTAGCTGCACGTTATTCCATTTATCTATTCCGCAGACTGGTCCCTCACTGTAACGCGGTTCACATTTCTCGGCCACGCTGTTTCACGGTTTTAGTACATATACTCCAACAACATCATATAACCGCTAGCTTAACCGCTATATTTTAATCGATCTAATTCAACTGAAGCCAGAGTAAGTTTGAGCCAAACTCCATGAGCATGGCCACAGCTAACAAAGCCACAGCTAACAAAGCCACAGCTAACAAAGCCACAGCTAGCAAAGCCACAGCTAGCAAAGCCACAGCTAACAAAGCCACAGCTAACAAAGCCACAGCTAACAAAGCCACAGCTAACAAAGCCACAGCTAACAAAGCCACAGCTAACCATAACCCGGACTGAGGCCGCATCAGAGACGTTTGACAGTATGTTCTTGTTTACCAGATCTAACATGTGTCGTTCTGTTCTGCAGACGCTGAGATCCACTGGTTCAGTCCTGATCCCAGAGTGAAGCAGGAAACCACAGAGAGGCCACACATCAAAGAGGAACCGTCAGAACAGCGCCTCCTACAGGAGCAAGAGGAGCTCTCAGAGGTCACCTGTGTGAAGAGGGAGGAGCTGTGTCCACAGACCACAGTCCACAGACCCAGAGAGGAGGAGACGCAGGGAGGAGCAGGAGGAGCAGTCAGCTCACAGGGACACTTCCACTCAGACACTGAGCAAAGGGACATCTCTCCTGACACTGAGGATGATGAATCCTGGGAACATCCTTCTCCTGCTCAGACACAAGACCCCACTGCACACAACTCTCTGTTCATCAGCTACGAGACTGTCCCAGAGGGACTGTCGGGGACCAGAGACCTGTCGGGGACCAGAGACCTGTCGGGGACCAGAGACCTGTCGGGGACCAGAGACCTGTCGGGGACCAGAGACCTGTCGGGGACCAGAGACCTGTCGGGGACCAGAGACCTGTCGGGGACCAGAGACCTGTCGGGGACCAGAGACCTGTCGGGGACCAGAGACCTGTCGGGGACCAGAGACCTGTCGGGGACCAGAGACCTGTCGGGGACCAGAGACCTGTCAGGGGCTGGACCTGGGGTGGAGAAGAAAGTAGAGTGTCCGGTTTGTGCGAAGGTGTTTGTGAATAAAACGGCCATGGGGCGACACTTCCGAGTCCACACGGGAGAGAAACCTTACATCTGCTCAGTTTGTGAGAAAACATTTTCCCTGCGACAAACTCTCACCAGACACATGAGAACTCACACCGGGGAGCGACCTTACAGCTGTCCAGTCTGTTCCAACACTTTCATCCAATCGGCACATCTGAAAGTCCACCTGAAACGTCACAAATGACACCTATTGTAAAACAGTCCATACCTGAACCAACCTCTCATTTGCCGGCTTGCTGGCTCGGCCCGGCCTGGCTCGGCTCGGCCTGGCTCGGCCCGGCCTGGCTCGGCCCGGCCTGGCTCGGCTCGGCCTGGCTCGGCTCAGCTCTATGCCAGAGGGAGGGACTATTTTGTACACAAATATTCATTTAAAATGAAAATAACAAGGTGTGACCTGGGTCCAAACAAAAACACTAATCTATTAATTAGGGCTGGGCGATAAAACGATAACGACACATATCACCATAGAAACGTGTTCGATGTCAATAGAAAACGAGGTCGTTTGAATGTTCGATGGTTTAACTTCACTCCGTTTGAAAACACAGGAAGTAAAGCTGAGTCAGAAGTGCAAGGCATTCTGGGGGATGTAGGCAGAGGCTGGCCTAAACCAGGACTAAACCAGGACTAAACCAGGACTAAACCAGGACTAAACCAGGACTAACAATGAGGGACACTGTGCTTGTGAACATGGTCCTCGAGCCTCAGCCCCGTGACTGTGAACGTGTGTTATGGTGCGCTGTGTGCTAACGTGTGTTATGGTGCGCTGTGTGCTAACGTGTGTTAGCCGACACGACAAATGTATTTAGGTTAAAAAAAACAAAACAACAATCAATATATATCATTTGGACCGATATGAATGACTTATGTTGTGATAACGATTTCAGCCTTATTGCCCAGCCCTACTATTAATCTAAAAGCAGACAGCTGATGGATTTGAGTTGTGTTAGTTTTATGACACAATGCAGTAGTATCGTACTCGGTTTCGAAGTACTCAAAATAAAGTACTCGTATCGGTTTTGAACAAAGTGGTGTCGTTGCGTCCCTAGTTTTTGTTCAGACAAAAGTTCTGTAACATTATGACAGAACTAGTTTTTGGATTTCTGTAGATTTTGATTGATTTGAAATTGATCAAATTTGGTTTTCAGTTACATTTAGTTTTTATTATTTAAACTTTGTATCCTTCATATTTCCGAATATCTTGCTGTTTTAGTTTTTTTTCTGAGAGATTATGTTTCAGACATGTATCCAGCTCTTGTCTCAGTTCTGTCCTGTGGAAGTTGGAACCTTCAAAGAATACGTCTAATGTCAAATATCATGTAATTATTATGAAAGGTTTAGGGCCAAAGATTGACCCCTGTGGAGCCCCTTAGAGTGTAAACAGATGGAACCTCCTCTGGCTCAGTTACTGTTTGTCACACTGACTTATGAGTTTGAAAATCTGTTTTACCGAACTTAGTGATCCTGGTGTTGATGTTGTGATATTGGCGTTTGTAAATCCAGATATGAGCCATAGAAGGATTGACCAATCAGAGGCCTTCATTCACAGAGGAACCATCTTAGCCGCCCATCTGCCCTCGTTATGGCGCAAAGCTAACGGCACGCAACAAATGCCCATATAAGGAAAGTGTCTCCAGCTAGCTTAATCTCAGATCGGCTTCTTTTGCATCAAGGCTTTGGTGATGTCACACTCGGTCAGTCCACTCCTGAAATACAACAAACGCTTTTGTCCCTTGACGTTTACAATTGAGTTTTCAACAATGTGTGAGTCCAGCCAAAATCCACAAATAATGTATTTAAACATTTAATATAAAAATCTTCTTTCCCTCTGTTTTCTCTCAAACTCTCGGTTTAAAACGCTGCAGTTGTTTTTCAGAACTGTGTCGTTGGAAATAAAGCCACTGTCTGTAAACAAACCTTTTTGTAAAGTGACGGAGTTTCTCTGCGTTTGTGCCGCTTTTGACTTTGTCCCGGTTTCTGTCGTTTATTTGTCATTGTTTCAAGAAATTATTCACATTAATTTCATTTTCAAAAATATCATTGTGCCATTTTAGTTACTTGGCAAGCAGCATTCTATGGCAGTTAACCTGGTCTGGTCCTAGTCCGGGAGTCTGGACTGGTCCTGGGCTGGTTTTGGACTGATTCTGGACCAACCTTTTGAGGACAGAGTTGAACTTTTACCTGATCAGAAGTGAAGGGACTTTTAACCATATTCTAATCTGCGTTTGTCACACAGACCTCCAGTTTTTATGTATTATTTGTGACTCAAAACTCGCCCCGTTTCCACCAGCTCTGATCTGCTCCGCTCGTATTGGGTGTGCTTCCTCTGGTCCTGTTTAACCACAACCAGGTCCTTCTTTAGTCTCTCTTGGTCCTGGTGCTATAGTGTTCTGACTGACAGCAATTGGTCTTATGGTAGCCATGTTTACTAAGAATTTCCCTGGTATACTGCCTTGTCACGATATGATACCAGATGACTAAAGTGTAATGGAAATGCAACCAGGTAGAGTAGGGCTTCACACTGTTCCCCACTGTCGCATATGGGGGTGGTAGCATTACATTTTGGGGGTACTTTTCTTCAGCAGGGACAGGGAAGAGTGTCAGAGTTGATGGGAGGTGGATGGAGCCAAACACAGGACAATGAGCTGAAACTTTAAAGATGTAAAGGAGGATTATCGCAATTCTTCTTTCTCTCCACTTTTTAAACAAAACTCTCTGGTCTTATTGACCAGCACGTATCATCGGAATGATTGACAATTTGGGGGACCTATAGTCTTGATGATCCACCCGGAAGTAGAAAATCCTCCTATATACACTTAAGCCAGAGTGGATCTATTATATGGTTCCTACGTGTTTGCCATTATCGCACTTCCTGTTTGATTCTCTGATCTGTTGTTGGTGAATCGACAACTTGGTACTCCAACTAGTCCTCCAAGACGACTGCACACGAATAAATATAATTGAAATCCAAATTACAGTCTGTTTTGTGGTCGTAAACATGGGAGTAGGCGCCCCCTGCTGGCGGACCACGCGCACTGCCTGTGTGCGGAGAGCGGAAGTCAGACACGGCGTTAGCTCCGAAGCTAAAGCTAAAAACATCAAAATGTGGAAGAGGCGAAGTCTGCTGAGAGCTGCCGTGAAGGAGCGTCTGTCTGCGGCTGTGGAGGAGATCTGCGCCCTGGTGGAGAGGAGCATAGCAGAGTATGAGGAGGAGCTGAGGAGGAGCAGGAAGGATCAGGACCAGACCCAGGACCAGACCCAGGACCAGACCCGGAGGAACCAGCAGCGCGTGTCCGGGTTTGGAGGCTCCCGCAGCGGACTCAGCGCAGGTGTGTCCCCGCTCCTCTGTCGCATCCATTCAGTTCCAAAAAGCGCTGTTTATTTTTATTGTGCAGTTTTTATTAAAGAGCAAACGGGGAAGAGATAAATGCAAAACACAAAACAGAGACAGAGTCAGAGTCAGAGTGAAAAACAGCAGCTTCAGTTCATGCACATCGGAGGAAGAGGGTTAAAGTTATTTGTTCACAGCCCGTGGGTGTTGCCTCAGTCTCAGATGAACTTCAGACAGTTTGAGGAGCTCCGCGGTGAGATACAGAAGTGCACACGGTTATGACAGCAGTATAAATGTTAGAATAAGACAGCAGTATAAATGTTAGAATAAGACAGCAGTATAAATGTTAGAATAAGACAGCAGTATAAATGTTAGAATAAGACAGCAGTGTAAATGTTAGAATAAGACAGCAGTATAAATGTTAGAATAAGACAGCAGTATAAATGTTAGAATAAGACAGCAGTATAAATGTTAGAATAAGACAGCAGTATAAATGTTAGAATAAGACAGCAGTATAAATGTTAGAATAAGACAGCAGTGTAAATGTTAGAATAAGACAGCAGTATAAATGTTAGAATAAGACATGGGTCATTCTCTGCTCATTCACAACTTACACGTGGGTCCTAAAGTCCTAAAGTTTGGCTTCATTTAGAAATAACATTGTCCTTCACCTCTGGGTCTGTTATTCACCAGTCCAGCACAATCCATTGACAATGCTAACATGCTAGCTTAAAGAAGCCCTATAGGGAAGTGCTCATGCACCACGTCTTGCTCTATCAGAACTCTGTAATAAAACACATCTCTAGTTCCTGACTCCAAAACAGTCAATCATGTATTTCTGACCTGTCACATCATTATCAGTCAGAAAAGGGAAAAAGAGAGGATCACCCTCACTCAGCCAATCAGCTCTCACTGTGTGTGGTGGCAGGTTTTAAAGGTTTTTCTTCACATCGTCAGATTGTGACATGTCTGTGGTAAATTACACAGTTACATCACAGTTGATGAAACATGTCGTGGCCTCAGCGAAGGTGAGGGCTGTTCATCTCTGTGTGACTCATGTGTCGTTCTGTTCTGCAGACGCTGAGATCCACTGGTTCAGTCCTGATCCCAGAGTGAAGCAGGAAACCACAGAGAGGCCACACATCAAAGAGGAACCGTCAGAACAGCGCCTCCTACAGGAGCAAGAGGAGCTCTCAGAGGTCACCTGTGTGAAGAGGGAGGAGCTGTGTCCACAGACCACAGTCCACAGACCCAGAGAGGAGGAGACGCAGGGAGGAGCAGGAGGAGCAGTCAGCTCACAGGGACACTTCCACTCAGACACTGAGCAAAGGGACATCTCTCCTGACACTGAGGATGATGAATCCTGGGAACATCCTTCTCCTGCTCAGACACAAGACCCCACTGCACACAACTCTCTGTTCATCAGCTACGAGACTGTCCCAGAGGGACTGTCGGGGACCAGAGACCTGTCGGGGACCAGAGACCTGTCGGGGACCAGAGACCTGTCGGGGACCAGAGACCTGTCGGGGACCAGAGACCTGTCGGGGACCAGAGACCTTTCGGGGACCAGAGACCTGTCGGGGACCAGAGACCTGTCGGGGACCAGAGACCTGTCGGGGACCAGAGACCTGTCGGGGACCAGAGACCTGTCGGGGACCAGAGACCTGTCGGGGACCAGAGACCTGTCGGGGACCAGAGACCTGTCGGGGACCAGAGACCTGTCGGGGACCAGAGACCTGTCGGGGACCAGAGACCTGTCGGGGACCAGAGACCTGTCGGGGACCAGAGACCTGTCGGGGACCAGAGACCTGTCAAGGACCAAGCACCTGTCTGGGGCTGGACCTGGATCCAGAGCGGACAGGATGTTTAAGTGTTGTTTTTGTGAGAAAGGATTCACATCTGAACTACATTTAAAGATCCACCTCAGAGTTCACACCGGAGAGAGACCTTACAGCTGCTCAGTCTGTTTGAAGACCTTTGCTCAGAAGGGGAACCTGACGGCCCACATGAGGTCGCACACGGGAGAGAAGCCGTACGTCTGCCCCTTCTGTCAGAAAGCCTTCTCCCGCTCCTCCATCCTGAACCGCCATCTGTGCGTTCACAGCAGAGGCAAACCTCTCAGCTTCACTCACAGGGAGGACCTGGAGGCTCATGAACGCTCCCTCCGGAGAGAGGCCCCTGGGGGTCCTGGGTTCATGGGACCGGGACAGGGCGTGTCCTGCTGGTCTGGAGGCTTGTCCTCTGTGCAAAGTGACTCAATGGATTCTGAGGAGAAACCCAGTTTACAACAGGAGCGACAGTTTCACCCGAATATGAACCTTCACTGATGCAAGAGGTCTGGACTCTGCCGTGCGCCGCCGTGCGCCGCCGTGCGTCAGGACAAACACAAGTTTAAAGTCAATGTGTTGAAAACTCGCGACAAACCGATCCGTGTATTTAATGGGAAATGGGCCGGTTTGAAGACCCCGCCCCTTCTGTGTGAACACTCTGTATTCAAATTTTGTTACACTGATTAATCAGAGCCTTTTTCTTACTTTAAAAAAGGGAATCAAATATTGAGTTGCACCATGTTAGACAATTATCAATGTAATTTCCTTCTTCCACCATTGATAGGAGTATTGCTCATCCTAATCATCTCTTATTCCATTATATTTTTATCCACATTTTCTACTTATTAATATATTTTGAAATGCCAAACATTCAATGCTGTGTGTTTTTCATGCCGCACTCCGGCATATTTACTTTTGATTTGACTGAAGTGCACCTGTTTAACTTAATTTCACTTGAATTAAAATAAATTATTGTTAAGATAATATTGAACATAAGTGTCTGTGTGGAGTTGGTACGTCATGTTAATGAAGAGTCTGATACGAAGTGAGTCAAAGTTACCAGACCTACACACAAACATTCTCTTCAAACCCCACACGCTGAAACACTGTCTTCCTTGTGCACAGAGAATATGTAAATAAACTTAACAACATTAAATCAAAGCCCGTGTTTATCCCACAGACTGTACATGTTTATCCCGACAGGGGGCGCTCGCGCACAGAGGCTGCGGCACGAGCAGAAGGAGACTTGTTTTTAGCCACATGCTAACGCCAGAGCTAATGCTAAAGCTAACGTCTTTATTAACGATTAAACATGTGCAAACTGAGCGAGCTTCGGTCTGCGGTGAACGAGCGTCTGTCTGCGGCCGCGGAGGAGATCCTCGCCCTGGTGGAGAGGACCATAGCGGAGTATGAGGAGGAGGTGAGGAGGTGCCGAGAGGAGGAGCAGACCCGGAGGAGAGAGGAGCCGGACCCAGGTCAGAGTTACACATGTGCTTTAATAACCACGGATTGACATCAGTATTTGTGTATGGTCTTTAATCATAGCAGCAGTCGTGTCGGAGGACTTTACACAGATTCACCAACAACAGATCAGAGAATCAACACAGCTCCTGCAATAATAACAATCACCTCAGAACCATCTGTCCACAGGGAGCGGGATGACCACTGTCCAGGCTGTAGACCCAGGACTGAGGACTGAGGCTGTAGACCCAGGACTGAGGCTGAGAGACCCAGGACTGAGGCTGAGAGACCCAGGACTGAGGCTGAGAGACCCAGGACTGAGGACTGAGGCTGTAGACCCAGGACTGAAGCTGAGAGACCCAGGACTGAGGACTAAGGCTGTAGACCCAGGACCGAGGCTGTAGACCCAGGACTCAGGACTGAGGACCAAGGCTGTAGACCCAGGACTGAAACATCCTATGAAACTAGGATTTTTGAACATCCTAACTGCACTATGTATATTTTCTAATACCCCTTGGTGTTAATATTTAACTCAAGTTAAATTCTCCTGAGTAATAATGATGTCATTTCACACGGGGGCCTCTGTCGTCACACGGGGGCCTCTGTCGTCACACGGGGGCCTCTGTCGTCACACGGGGGCCTCTGTCGTCACACGGGGGTCTCTGTCGTCACACGGGGGTCTCTGTCGTCACACGGGGGCCTCTGTCGTCACACGGGGGCCTCTGTCGTCACACGGGGGTCTCTGTTGTCAATCTGAACATTTCTTTTCAGATTCGCCGACGCAGGGAGCGTTTTCAACACAAACAGCTGGTTATGATGAAAACTCAACGCTGGAGTTTAACATCAAAACAGAATCTGAACAAACCCACAAAGACGTTTGGTGCACTCAGACCGACGCCTACACCAACGCACAGGCAGAGGGCGCCACAGGTCTGTGTCCAGTCAGAGCGACTGTCAACGACTGTCAGAGCGACTGTCAACGACTGTCAGAGCGACTGTCAGAGAGACTGTCAGAGAGACTGTCAGAACGACTGTCAGAGAGACTGTCAGAACGACTGTCAGAACGACTGTCAGAACGACTGTCAGAACGACTGTCAGAGCGACTGTCAGAACGACTGTCAGAGAGACTGTCAGAACGACTGTCAGAACGACTGTCAGAACGACTGTCAGAACGACTGTCAGAGAGACTGTCAGAACGACTGTCAGAACGACTGTCAGAACGACTGTCAGAGAGACTGTCAGAACGACTGTCAGAACGACTGTCAGAGAGACTGTCAGAACGACTGTCAGAACGACTGTCAGAACGACTGTCAGAACGACTGTCAGAGAGACTGTCAGAACGACTGTCAGAACGACTGTCAGAACGACTGTCAGAGAGACTGTCAGAACGACTGTCAGAACGACTGTCAGAACGACTGTCAGAGCGACTGTCCGAACGACTGTCAGACACACGTTGTATCCAAATGAGATTTATGTTTTGTCTCATTGAAATATGGAGAAAATTATTTATGAATGAATTGAATAAAAAGTCATTCTTAGCCGTGCGTCTGTCAGGACTGAGGAGAAGAGACAAACCCTTTTGAAGATGCTTTCACTTTGCAGCCGCCCGCAGAACAGTTCAGAGAGTTCTTTACATTGTTGTAGCGATCACGAACCTGTTCTGTTTTCAGATGCGCAGACGCAGGGAGCCGATGATTATGGTGAAAATTCGACGCTCGAGTTTAACATCAAAACCGAATATGAACAAACCCACAATGACGTCTGGTGCGCTCAGGCCGGCAGCTCAAACGGAGACCTCTACACCGACGCGCACGCAGAGGGCGCCGCAGGTCTGTGTCCTCCGCTGAAACTGGAAGGCCCTGCGCCCGACTCGCCCGAGTGCCCCGCGTCTGCCGCAGATGTGAAGCTCCAGTGTCTTTTCTGTGGCAAAAGATTTCGCACCAAATACAACCTGAGGAGACACGTGGCGGTGCACACAGCTGGTCTGAGCTGCCCAGTGTGCGCGCGCCGCTTCAGTCACCGCGAAACCCTGCGCCTGCACATGGCCACGCACAGGGGAGTAGCGGGCGAAGGGGTCGCGGACAAAGGCTGCGCACGCGGTGGGACAGGGCCCATCAGGAGTACGGGGGCCTCTATGCGCAAAGTGTACACCGGACCGTTCATGCGCAGACGCACAGGCGGCAAGGGCAGCGAGACAGTAGGGGCCTCTGTGCACAGTGGGACAGTAGGGGCCTCTGTGCGCAGTGGGACAGTAGGGGCCTCTGTGCACAGTGGGACAGTAAGGGCCTCAGTGCACAGTGGGACAGTAGGGGCCTCAGTGCACAGTGGGACAGTAGGGGCCTCTGTGCACAGTGGGACAGTAGGGGCCTCTGCGTGCAGTGGGACCGCAGGGGCCCTCGACCCGCTGCACAGATGCCCCCTGTGTGCACGCTGCTTCACTAGGCCATTCTCTCTCCAGACGCACATGCTCACGCACACCGGGGAAAAGCCCTTCCTCTGCCTGCTGTGCCACATGAGGTTCAACCGTAAATCCAACCTGAAGCGCCACATTAAAACCCACGGCCCGACAGCAATGTAGATGTTTTAGTGCCGCAGTGAGACGGACTTAGTGCTGAAGACCTGTGTCGGGCTGAAGACCTGTGTCGCGCTCTCCCGTCTCCCTGACAGAGCCCCTTGTGTTGTCGTTGGGGCTGACAGATGCTGTTGTACGGCAAAGACGAGACTATAACTAAATTAAAAAGACTTGACGTCAACATTGACAAAAATGAACTGATGTTTTGTGAATAAATAAAACACGTAATGAAAACAATCACTGATGGAAAATTGGAGTGAGCCAATCACAGCGTGGCTTGTTTCACTGTGTGTCCTCTGTCTGCATTATTGTTTGGTATTTGCCCTTTTTGATATTTTATATCATAATTAATTTTTATTGACTTGTTTAATGCTGACTGTGCAGCACTTTGTAAACAAGTGCTATACAAGTAAAGATGTATTATTAATATTTATATGATCCATCTACCCCTTTGTTCTGTAAGAATTACAAGAATATGTATGGGACCTAATTAGTTTGCTCTTTCCTCTTAATATGTATTGTTTTAAAGAGTTTTGAATTACCTTTTGCTATTTTAGATATTGTCTTTGTCTCAATGACACTTGAATTACATGTTTTGTAATGTAATCATATTTTGTATCATAGACTGTAAATATCCTCTTACACACGTTCTTTCAAACCTGGCAACCTCCACTATCTACCTCTTACTAATTTTGTATTTTATTTACGTAAATTGTATTTTATTCAGGTTACTTTAATTATATGCAATAACTCAGTCAATACATGTTGCAATGTAAATGTATTGTTTATGACATAAAAACGAGAGGAGGAACAGTCGATGCTCCGGAAGCTAATGCTGCTAAAGCTAACGAATATCCGGAAGCTAATGATGCTAAGCTAACAGCGCTAAGCTAACGAAGCTAAGCTAACGAGGCTAAAGTTCCAGAGCAACATGTGTAAAAGAAGCGAGTCTCTCCGGGCCGCGGTGAAGGAGCGGCTGGCGGCGGCTGCGGAGGAGATCTTCGCCCTGGTGGAGAGGACCATAGCGGAGTACGAGGAGGAGGTGAGGAGGTGCAGGCAGGAGAACCAGAAGAGCCGGGAGGAGCACCAGAGGAGCCGGGATGTGCTGGAGGTGCTGCTGCAGAGACACGGTGCGTGTGAAGAAACAGACACAGAACAATGTGAGAAAAGCAGAATATAACAGACAGACATTTAAGATATTTCACACACTTAATCTGGAAAAGATAATCTGGGATCCGCCAAAAAGGATTATTAGGTGGCACCTAAACATGAAGAGCTTCAACATCTGCTCTGAAACTCGAACATTGACTTTCTGGGGCTTTCCGAAACCTGGTTAACACAACTCTCCAGACTCAGTGGTCACTGCCGGAGTATAATGTCATCAGGAAGGATGGGGAACATGGCAGGGGTGGAGGTGTTCTACTCTGTTAAACATGGCAGAGGTGGAGGTGTTCTACTCTGTTAAACATGGCAGAGGTGGAGGTGTTCTACTCTGTTAAACATGGCAGGGGTGGAGGTGTTCTACTCTGTTAAACATGGCAGAGGTGGAGGTGTTCTACTCTGTTAAACATGGCAGAGGTGGAGGTGTTCTACTCTGTTAAACATGGCAGGGTGGAGGTGTTCTACTCTGTTAAACATGGCAGAGGTGGAGGTGTTCTACTCTGTTAAACATGGCAGAGGTGGAGGTGTTCTACTCTGTTAAACATGGCAGAGGTGGAGGTGTTCTACTCTGTTAAACATGGCAGAGGTGGAGGTGTTCTACTCTGTTAAACATGGCAGGGGTGGAGGTGTTCTACTCTGTTAAACATGGCAGAGGTGGAGGTGTTCTACTCTGTTAAACATGGCAGAGGTGGAGGTGTTCTACTCTGTTAAACATGGCAGGGGTGGAGGTGTTCTACTCTGTTAAACATGGCAGGGTGGAGGTGTTCTACTCTGTTAAACATGGCAGAGGTGGAGGTGTTCTACTCTGTTAAACATGGCAGAGGTGGAGGTGTTCTACTCTGTTAAACATGGCAGGGGTGGAGGTGTTCTACTCTGTTAAACATGGCAGGGGTGGAGGTGTTCTACTCTGTTAAACATGGCAGAGGTGGAGGTGTTCTACTCTGTTAAACATGGCAGAGGTGGAGGTGTTCTACTCTGTTAAACATGGCAGAGGTGGAGGTGTTCTACTCTGTTAAACATGGCAGAGGTGGAGGTGTTCTACTCTGTTAAACATGGCAGAGGTGGAGGTGTTCTACTCTGTTAAACATGGCAGGGTGGAGGTGTTCTACTCTGTTAAACATGGCAGAGGTGGAGGTGTTCTACTCTCTGTTAAACATGGCAGAGGTGGAGGTGTTCTACTCTGTTAAACATGGCAGGGGTGGAGGTGTTCTACTCTGTTAAACATGGCAGGGGTGGAGGTGTTCTACTCTGTTAAACATGGCAGAGGTGGAGGTGTTCTACTCTGTTAAACATGGCAGGGGGAGGTGTTCTACTCTGTTAAACATGGCAGGGGTGGAGGTGTTCTACTCTGTTAAACATGGCAGAGGTGGAGGTGTTCTACTCTGTTAAACATGGCAGAGGTGGAGGTGTTCTACTCTGTTAAACATGGCAGAGGTGGAGGTGTTCTACTCTGTTAAACATGGCAGGGGTGGAGGTGTTCTACTCTGTTAAACATGGCAGAGGTGGAGGTGTTCTACTCTGTTAAACATGGCAGGGTGGAGGTGGAGGTGTTTCTACTCTGTTAAACATGGCAGGGGTGGAGGTGTTCTACTCTGTTAAACATGGCAGAGGTGGAGGTGTTCTACTCTGTTAAACATGGCAGAGGTGGAGGTGTTCTACTCTGTTAAACATGGCAGAGGTGGAGGTGTTCTACTCTGTTAAACATGGCAGGGGTGGAGGTGTTCTACTCTGTTAAACATGGCAGGGGTGGAGGTGTTCTACTCTGTTAAACATGGCAGAGGTGGAGGTGTTCTACTCTGTTAAACATGGCAGAGGTGGAGGTGTTCTACTCTGTTAAACATGGCAGAGGTGGAGGTGTTCTACTCTGTTAAACATGGCAGAGGTGGAGGTGTTCTACTCTGTTAAACATGGCAGAGGTGGAGGTGTTCTACTCTGTTAAAGGCAGAGGTGGAGGTGTTCTACTCTGTTAAACATGGCAGAGGTGGAGGTGTTCTACTCTGTTAAACATGGCAGGGGTGGAGGTGTTCTACTCTGTTAAACATGGCAGAGGTGGAGGTGTTCTACTCTGTTAAACATGGCAGAGGTGGAGGTGTTCTACTCTGTTAAACATGGCAGAGGTGGAGGTGTTCTACTCTGTTAAACATGGCAGAGGTGGAGGTGTTCTACTCTGTTAAACATGGCAGAGGTGGAGGTGTTCTACTCTGTTAAACATGGCAGAGGTGGAGGTGTTCTACTCTGTTAAACATGGCAGGGGTGGAGGTGTTCTACTCTGTTAAACATGGCAGAGGTGGAGGTGTTCTACTCTGTTAAACATGGCAGAGGTGGAGGTGTTCTACTCTGTTAAACATGGCAGAGGTGGAGGTGTTCTACTCTGTTAAACATGGCAGAGGTGGAGGTGTTCTACTCTGTTAAACATGGCAGAGGTGGAGGTGTTCTACTCTGTTAAACATGGCAGGGGTGGAGGTGTTCTACTCTGTTAAACATGGCAGAGGTGGAGGTGTTCTACTCTGTTAAACATGGCAGGGGTGGAGGTGTTCTACTCTGTTAAACATGGCAGAGGTGGAGGTGTTCTACTCTGTTAAACATGGCAGAGGTGGAGGTGTTCTACTCTGTTAAACATGGCAGAGGTGGAGGTGTTCTACTCTGTTAAACATGGCAGAGGTGGAGGTGTTCTACTCTGTTAAACATGGCAGGGGTGGAGGTGTTCTACTCTGTTAAACATGGCAGGGTGGAGGTGTTCTACTCTGTTAAACATGGCAGGGGTGGAGGTGTTCTACTCTGTTAAACATGGCAGAGGTGGAGGTGTTCTACTCTGTTAAACATGGCAGAGGTGGAGGTGTTCTACTCTGTTAAACATGGCAGAGGTGGAGGTGTTCTACTCTGTTAAACATGGCAGAGGTGGAGGTGTTCTACTCTGTTAAACATGGCAGAGGTGGAGGTGTTCTACTCTGTTAAACATGGCAGGGGTGGAGGTGTTCTACTCTGTTAAACATGGCAGAGGTGGAGGTGTTCTACTCTGTTAAACATGGCAGAGGTGGAGGTGTTCTACTCTGTTAAACATGGCAGGGTGGAGGTGTTCTACTCTGTTAAACATGGCAGAGGTGGAGGTGTTCTACTCTGTTAAACATGGCAGGGTGGAGGTGTTCTACTCTGTTAAACTGGAGGTGTTCTACTCTGTTAAACATGGCAGAGGTGGAGGTGTTCTACTCTGTTAAACATGGCAGAGGTGGAGGTGTTCTACTCTGTTAAACATGGCAGAGGTGGAGGTGTTCTACTCTGTTAAACATGGCAGAGGTGGAGGTGTTCTACTCTGTTAAACATGGCAGAGGTGGAGGTGTTCTACTCTGTTAAACATGGCAGGGGTGGAGGTGTTCTACTCTGTTAAACATGGCAGAGGTGGAGGTGTTCTACTCTGTTAAACATGGCAGAGGTGGAGGTGTTCTACTCTGTTAAACATGGCAGAGGTGGAGGTGTTCTACTCTGTTAAACATGGCAGAGGTGGAGGTGTTCTACTCTGTTAAACATGGCAGGGGTGGAGGTGTTCTACTCTGTTAAACATGGCAGAGGTGGAGGTGTTCTACTCTGTTAAACATGGCAGGGGTGGAGGTGTTCTACTCTGTTAAACATGGCAGAGGTGGAGGTGTTCTACTCTGTTAAACATGGCAGAGGTGGAGGTGTTCTACTCTGTTAAACATGGCAGGGGTGGAGGTGTTCTACTCTGTTAAACATGGCAGGGGTGGAGGTGTTCTACTCTGTTAAACATGGCAGAGGTGGAGGTGTTCTACTCTGTTAAACATGGCAGAGGTGGAGGTGTTCTACTCTGTTAAACATGGCAGAGGTGGAGGTGTTCTACTCTGTTAAACATGGCAGGGGTGGAGGTGTTCTACTCTGTTAAACATGGCAGGGGTGGAGGTGTTCTACTCTGTTAAACATGGCAGAGGTGGAGGTGTTCTACTCTGTTAAACATGGCAGGGGTGGAGGTGTTCTACTCTGTTAAACATGGCAGAGGTGGAGGTGTTCTACTCTGTTAAACATGGCAGAGGTGGAGGTGTTCTACTCTGTTAAACATGGCAGAGGTGGAGGTGTTCTACTCTGTTAAACATGGCAGAGGTGGAGGTGTTCTACTCTGTTAAACATGGCAGGGGTGGAGGTGTTCTACTCTGTTAAACATGGCAGAGGTGGAGGTGTTCTACTCTGTTAAACATGGCAGGGTGGAGGTGTTCTACTCTGTTAAACATGGCAGAGGTGGAGGTGTTCTACTCTGTTAAACATGGCAGAGGTGGAGGTGTTCTAAAACATGGCAGAGGTGGAGGTGTTCTACTCTGTTAAACATGGCAGAGGTGGAGGTGTTCTACTCTGTTAAACATGGCAGGGTGGAGGTGTTCTACTCTGTTAAACAGGGTGAGGTGTTCGTAACGCAGAGGTGGAGGTGTTCTACTCTGTTAAACATGGCAGAGGTGGAGGTGTTCTACTCTGTTAAACATGGCAGAGGTGGAGGTGTTCTACTCTGTTAAACATGGCAGAGGTGGAGGTGTTCTACTCTGTTAAACATGGCAGAGGTGGAGGTGTTCTACTCTGTTAAACATGGCAGAGGTGGAGGTGTTCTACTCTGTTAAACATGGCAGGGGTGGAGGTGTTCTACTCTGTTAAACATGGCAGAGGTGGAGGTGTTCTACTCTGTTAAACATGGCAGAGGTGGAGGTGTTCTACTCTGTTAAACATGGCAGAGGTGGAGGTGTTCTACTCTGTTAAACATGGCAGAGGTGGAGGTGTTCTACTCTGTTAAACATGGCAGGGGTGGAGGTGTTCTACTCTGTTAAACATGGCAGAGGTGGAGGTGTTCTACTCTGTTAAACATGGCAGGGGTGGAGGTGTTCTACTCTGTTAAACATGGCAGAGGTGGAGGTGTTCTACTCTGTTAAACATGGCAGAGGTGGAGGTGTTCTACTCTGTTAAACATGGCAGAGGTGGAGGTGTTCTACTCTGTTAAACATGGCAGAGGTGGAGGTGTTCTACTCTGTTAAACATGGCAGAGGTGGAGGTGTTCTACTCTGTTAAACATGGCAGGGGTGGAGGTGTTCTACTCTGTTAAACATGGCAGAGGTGGAGGTGTTCTACTCTGTTAAACATGGCAGGGGTGGAGGTGTTCTACTCTGTTAAACATGGCAGAGGTGGAGGTGTTCTACTCTGTTAAACATGGCAGGGGTGGAGGTGTTCTACTCTGTTAAACATGGCAGAGGTGGAGGTGTTCTACTCTGTTAAACATGGCAGGGGTGGAGGTGTTCTACTCTGTTAAACATGGCAGAGGTGGAGGTGTTCTACTCTGTTAAACATGGCAGAGGTGGAGGTGTTCTACTCTGTTAAACATGGCAGGGGTGGAGGTGTTCTACTCTGTTAAACATGGCAGGGGTGGAGGTGTTCTACTCTGTTAAACATGGCAGGGGTGGAGGTGTTCTACTCTGTTAAACATGGCAGAGGTGGAGGTGTTCTACTCTGTTAAACATGGCAGAGGTGGAGGTGTTCTACTCTGTTAAACATGGCAGAGGTGGAGGTGTTCTACTCTGTTAAACATGGCAGAGGTGGAGGTGTTCTACTCTGTTAAACATGGCAGAGGTGGAGGTGTTCTACTCTGTTAACTGGCAGGGTGGAGTGTTCTACTCTGTTAACATGGCAGGGGTGGAGGTGTTCTACTCTGTTAAACATGGCAGAGGTGGAGGTGTTCTACTCTGTTAAACATGGCAGAGGTGGAGGTGTTCTACTCTGTTAAACATGGCAGGGTGGAGGTGTTCTACTCTGTTAAACATGGCAGGGGTGGAGGTGTTCTACTCTGTTAAACATGGCAGGGGTGGAGGTGTTCTACTCTGTTAAACATGGCAGGGGTGGAGGTGTTCTACTCTGTTAAACATGGCAGGGGTGGAGGTGTTCTACTCTGTTAAACATGGCAGGGGTGGAGGTGTTCTACTCTGTTAAACATGGCAGGGGTGGAGGTGTTCTACTCTGTTAAAAGGTGTAGAACTCTGTGATGTCTTTCATTATAATGTGTCTATCGTAAACCATCTGCTACATTGGACTTCTATGACAAGTTTAAACTTCTTCTTGATCATTTGGATTTAAACAAAGAAGTCATAATTATTGGAGATTTCACTGTAATCTGGAATGATAAGAAAGTAAAAAAAAACCTGAAACAAGTCACTGAACATTCTACTTTTAACCAGATAATAGAACAACCGACTGGAATAACTTCACATTCAAAAACATTGATAGACTTGTAAATAAACCTGAAAGAATCCTCAAAACGTTTGACTTTGTGACGGGGACAATGCGATCGTCTTCTCAAGAAAACTTTCAAAAAAACGTTTTGAAGACTCATTTAGGCCAAAACACTGAAAACCAACTTTACCAAACCTTGTAGTATCCTTTGCAATGTACCGACTGGAACGAAGTGACTCAAAGTGAAGATGTTGAAAATAGTATCTGTCTATTTCACAAGAAAATGAATGAAGTAATGTTAAACTTTACCAAAATAAACGCCATAACAAGAGAAATCTAAATCTATTACCATGGATAAATGATGAATGAAGAAACTGATGAGACAGAGATATGTTTACCTCACTGAGAAATGACGTTATTCAAACAATGCGGAAAGACAAAGCAACACTTTTTTAATTAATATTCTTTCTGAAGCAAATGGAAATCAAGAAGATCTGGCAAAATCTAGATAAATTAACTGGGAAAGATGATAAAGCAAAACAAAAAGGAATTGAGCTAAAAATAAAAACATTTCTGTGTCGGATCTAGATAAACTGACAAATGAATTTAACAACTATTTTGTCAACTCTGTCAGAGAAATGAGTTATTGTTATTAAGTTATTTCATCCTCTGATTTGAAAACAAGGTCCATTGATCCCACAGTCTTTCGTTTACGTGAAATAACAGGCCTAGAAGTTTCCAAAATTATTGGTTCACTAAAAAATTCTAAAGCCAAAGACATTCATGGTTTGGACACTCATCTTCTAAAATTATGCAAAGAGTCTTTTATTGCACCAATAACACAAATGGTTAATTTGTCACTCACTCAGGGAGTTGTTCCATCCTCCTGGAAACTGACCACAGTTGCTCCAATTTTTAAATCTGGTGACAGATATATCCAATTATCGACCAATTTCTATATTTCCAGTTGTTTCCAAGATTGTTGAGAGTTGGGTAGCAAACATTATAAATGAACATCTGAACAGTAGCTCGTCTGGCTCACAATTTGGTTTTAGAGCAAACCATTCCACTGAATCAGCAAACAGCTTCTTTATAACGTACAAAGTAAATTAGATATATATCCCTGTGTTGGAGCAGTGTTCCTTGATCTTAAAAAGGCATTTGACACCGTCAGCCATGACATTCTGATCGCAAAATGAACAGACTTCAACTTCTCGCCAGAGGCCATTCAATGGATTAAATCATATTTAGCTTCATGAAAACAGTGTGTACATATTGGCAGTGTAAAGTCATCACCCAGGATGTCTCAGTCGGTGTGCCGCAAGGATCAATACTTGGCCCTCTACTATTCTCCCTGTACATTAATGACCTCCCAAAACATGTACTAATGTGAGTTTTCAAATGTATGCAGAGGATTCTGTAATATACTCTGTAAGGAGCGTTAAGGAAGCAGGTTCCATTCTGACCTCAGCCACGGAGTAAGTAAAAGACTGGCTGCTTAAATCATGCTTGCTTCTAAATTCTAAACAAACGGTCTGTATGATGTTCTCCAAGCAATCAAAAGTGATGAAAAATTCTGGAGTTTTCTTGAGAGGGGAAGAACTACAACTTGTCGCAGAATTCAAGTATCTGGGTCTGACACTCGACTCCACTCTCTTTCAAAAATCATATGAAAAAACTGTCCAACACCGTTAAATTCAACCTTAAAAATGTTAACACTTAGTGCAGCTACAATGTTTCTCCATCAATGATTTTATCCCATACTGAATTTTGCATCACAAGTTGGTCTGTCACCTCTGTAACCAATTTGAAAATAATTGAATCTCTGTATAAGAAATCTCTTAAAAGTTTTTGACAGAAAACCCAATTCATTTCATGCATGCAATATTTTAAACAAGCACAATCTTTTACATTTTGAACGTTTGATCAACTTTTAAGTATGTATGCTTCATCTACAAAGCGCTACATGGACTAGCCCCACCTCCTGTATCGGCCTTATTCAAACCTAGGACTTCAAGTGGTCTGAGGACTAGGGCCTCCTCCAGAGGAGACTGTGAGGTCCCCTTCAGAAAAACTGCCTTTGGACAGAACAGTTTCTCTGTGAAGGCCATGAACATCTGGAACAGTCTCTCTGTGAGGGCCATGAACATCTGGAACGGTCTCTCTGTGAGGGCCATGAACATCTGGAACGGTCTCTCTGTGAGGGCCATGAACATCTGGAACAGTCTCTCTGTGAGGGCCATGAACATCTGGAACAGTCTCTCTGTGAGGGCCATGAACATCTGGAACGGTCTCTCTGTGAGGGCCATGAACATCTGGAACGGTCTCTCTGTGAGGGCCATGAACATCTGGAACGGTCTCTCTGTGAGGGCCATGAACATCTGGAACGGTCTCTCTGTGAGGGCCATGAACATCTGGAACGGTCTCTCTGTGAGGGCCATGAACATCTGGAACAGTCTCTCTGTGAGGGCCATGAACATCTGGAACAGTCTCTCTGTGAGGGCCATGAACATCTGGAACAGTCTCTCTGTGAGGGCCATGAACATCTGGAACAGTCTCTCTGTGAGGGCCATGAACATCTGGAACAGTCTCTCTGTGAGGGCCATGAACATCTGGAACAGTCTTTCTGTGAGGGCCATGAACATCTGGAACAGTCTCCCTCTGCACTTACGGGAGAGTCCTGCACTGGTCACCTTTAAAACTCAAACAATGGCTTAAAAGAAACCAGTCATGTGACCACTAGACTCTGAGCTGTTCCCTGTGCTGTCTGTATTGTAGTGTTATTTTGTATTTTATTGTATTGTTTTTTGTCATGTGTTTTCCTGCCGAGGGACCACGGATGAAAACTAGCTTTGTAGCTATAATCCAAAACATTTACATTTGTTTTATACCGATGTTCAATAATGTGCATTGTCCCTATCAAATAAATAAATAAAATACAGCTGTGTTTGGAAGTGTCCACAGACCTCTGTCCTCCCTCAGACCTCTGTCCTCCCACAGACCTCTGTCCTCCCTCAGACCTCTGTCCTCCCTCAGACCTCTGTCCTCCCTCAGACCTCTGTCCTCCCTCAGACCTCTGTCCTCCCTCAGACCTCTGTCCTCCCTCAGACCTCTGTCCTCCCTCAGACCTCTGTCCTCCCACAGACCTCTGTCCTCCCACAGACCTCTGTCCTCCCTCAGACCTCTGTCCTCCCTCAGACCTCTGTCCTCCCTCAGACCTTTGTCCTCCCTCAGACCTCTGTCCTCCCTCAGACCTCTGTCCTCCCACAGACCTCTGTCCTCCCACAGACCTCTGTCCTCCCTCAGACCTCTGTCCTCCCTCAGACCTCTGTCCTCCCACAGACCTCTGTCCTCCCTCAGACCTTTGTCCTCCCTCAGACCTCTGTCCTCCCACAGACCTCTGTCCTCCCACAGACCTCTGTCCTCCCTCAGACCTCTGTCCTCCCTCAGACCTCTGTCCTCCCTCAGACCTTTGTCCTCCCTCAGACCTCTGTCCTCCCTCAGACCTCTGTCCTCCCACAGACCTCTGTCCTCCCACAGACCTCTGTCCTCCCTCAGACCTCTGTCCTCCCTCAGACCTCTGTCCTCCCTCAGACCTCTGTCCTCCCTCAGACCTCTGTCCTCCCACAGACCTCTGTCCTCCCTCAGACCTCTGTCCTCCCTCAGACCTCTGTCCTCCCACAGACCTCTGTCCTCCCTCAGACCTCTGTCCTCCCTCAGACCTCTGTCCTCCCTCAGACCTCTGTCCTCCCACAGACCTCTGTCCTCCCTCAGACCTCTGTCCTCCCTCAGACCTCTGTCCTCCCTCAGACCTCTGTCCTCCCTCAGACCTCTGTCCTCCCACAGACCTCTGTCCTCCCTCAGACCTCTGTCCTCCCACAGACCTCTGTCCTCCCACAGACCTCTGTCCTCCCACAGACCTCTGTCCTCCCTCAGACCTCTGTCCTCCCACAGACCTCTGTCCTCCCTCAGACCTCTGTCCTCCCTCAGACCTCTGTCCTCCCTCAGACCTCTGTCCTCCCTCAGACCTCTGTCCTCCCACAGACCTCTGTCCTCCCTCAGACCTCTGTCCTCCCTCAGACCTCTGTCCTCCCTCAGACCTCTGTCCTCCCGCAGACCTCTGTCCTCCCGCAGACCTCTGTCCTCCCGCAGACCTCTGTCCTCCCTCAGACCTCTGTCCTCCCACAGACCTCTGTCCTCCCTCAGACCTCTGTCCTCCCACAGACCTCTGTCCTCCCTCAGACCTCTGTCCTCCCTCAGACCTCTGTCCTCCCTCAGACCTCTGTCCTCCCTCAGACCTCTGTCCTCCCTCAGACCTCTGTCCTCCCTCAGACCTCTGTCCTCCCGCAGACCTCTGTCCTCCCGCAGACCTCTGTCCTCCCGCAGACCTCTGTCCTCCCGCAGACCTCTGTCCTCCCGCAGACCTCTTTCCTCCCTCTGTCCTCCCTCAGACCTCTGTCCTCCCTCAGACCTCTGTCCTCCCTCAGACCTCTGTCCTCCCTCAGACCTCTGTCCTCCCTCAGACCTCTGTCCTCCCTCAGACCTCTGTCCTCCCTCAGACCTCTGTCCTCCCTCAGACCTTTGTCCTCCCTCAGACCTCTGTCCTCCCTCAGACCTCTGTCCTCCCGCAGACCTCTGTCCTCCCTCAGACCTGTGTCCTCCCGCAGACCTCTGTCCTCCCGCAGACCTCTGTCCTCCCTCAGACCTCTGTCCTCCCTCAGACCTCTGTCCTCCCTCAGACCTCTGTCCTCCCTCAGACCTCTGTCCTCCCACAGACCTCTGTCCTCCCTCAGACCTCTGTCCTCCCTCAGACCTCTGTCCTCCCTCAGACCTGTGTCCTCCTGCAGACCTCTGTCCTCCCTCAGACCTCTGTCCTCCCTCAGACCTCTGTCCTCCCTCAGACCTCTGTCCTCCCTCAGACCTCTGTCCTCCCACAGACCTCTGTCCTCCCACAGACCTCTGTCCTCCCACAGACCTCTGTCCTCCCTCAGACCTCTGTCCTCCCTCAGACCTCTGTCCTCCCTCAGACCTTTGTCCTCCCTCAGACCTCTGTCCTCCCTCAGACCTGTGTCCTCCCTCAGACCTGTGTCCTCCTGCAGACCTCTGTCCTCCCTCAGACCTCTGTCCTCCCTCAGACCTCTGTCCTCCCTCAGACCTCTGTCCTCCCTCAGACCTCTGTCCTCCCACAGACCTCTGTCTTCCCACAGACCTCTGTCTTCCCACAGACCTCTGTCCTCCCACAGACCTCATTAACTCCTGGTTATACCAGTTATTGTCACATGTTTTCTGTTTTCACGTCAGGGTCATCATCTATAATAATAATAATAATAATGCATCGGGTTCATACAGTGCTTTTCAGGACTCTCACAGACGCTTCACATGTTATTAATCATTCACTCCATACACGGTGGTGATATACTACTGTGGCCACAGCTGCCCTGGGGCACACTGACAGAAATGAGGCAACCAGCGTGTGCCATTGGCTCCTCCAACCATTCACACACACCAGACTCATTCTAATGTGGGTGAAGTGTCTTGCTCAAGTACACGATGACAGTTGGGCACTTTACAGCTGCCCCACTGTGGCACCTGGTGTCCCCAGAGGTCTCCCATCATAGTACTAACCAGGCCCTGCCCTGCTTAATCTATGGGTAAACATGTACCTCTCTGCGTCTGTAAATTTTAAAGCACAACTATAAAGATAATTATGTTATTAATGCACAATTGTGCACATGGCTGAGTCTCATATTTACATAAACTTTACTTATGTAATAATTAGGGCTGGGACTCGATTAAAAATAATAATCTAATTAATTAAAGGCTTCGTGATTAATTAATCGCATTTGAATCGGGCGGCACCGTGGCTGAGTGGATAGCACTCTCGCCTCTCAGCAAGAAGGTCCTGGGTTCGAATCCCGCTCGGACCAGGGCCTTTCTGAGTGGAGTTTGCATGTTCTCCCTGTGTCTGTGTAGGTTTCCTCCGGGTACTCCGGTTTCCCCTACCACTAAAAATATGTCCAATAGTTCTTCATGCGCCTCCTGTACTGGCGACCCCGCTCCCATCTCTGTGTGGAGTGAGAGACAAATGCCCAAAATAAAAAAAAACAATTGTAAACCGCTTTGATCTGCAGTGAAAAGGCGGTATATAAATAAAGATTACTTACTTACTTAAAGGCACACCGTGTAACTCTTGGCCACTAGGGGCGCTAGACCTGCAACTTTCACGTTTAGCGCCCCTAGTGGCCACAAGCAACTCAGCACTGTCGCAAAAGTCAACAAACAGTCAGCCGGTGTCTTTTGAGTGTGTATTCAGACAGCATGCACTGGTGTGTGTGTTCAAACTGTAGAGACATGCCTACAGATATTGAGAGACTCTGCTGTGGTCAGCCTCCAGACCGCTGCATTAGTAATCTACCACACATGGACTTCTATATCCTGGATGAGGGAGTTCTGCGTCTGCTCGAAACGTACATGGGCGGTATTTCAAGAGGGCAGCCCCGCTCGGAGCATTGCAAGTGTCAAGCGCTGTATATTGGCCCAAGTATTCATATAAAATAACTCATATGTGTCAACTCTTTAGGTCACAAAGTCCGCGGTGTGCCTTTAATTAATCGCATGTAAATATTTGTCCTGAGAACAGTGAGAAGTCATTTTTTTTCACATGGATTTTTAGTTTAAGTATTCAGTCATTATTCAATGGTAAACAACACATGTTCATTGTGGAGGATCAGACGGACTTCTTTCCATCAATAACGTTTCTGTCATCGCTTCCACACAATACAGTCTATGCTCCACACACTCTGTTCACAACAGACGCTTTTAACCAGAATCCTCTGCACTAACAGTGAGCACTAGGGCTTGTAATACGTTTGTGCATTCGAACTAAATCATCAGCAATAGCAGCTCACACACCTGTGTCGCTGCTCCTCCTCCACCAACTCCTCCTTCTCCGAGGAGTCGCTTGCTGCTCCTCCTCCACCAACTCCTCCTTCTCCGAGGAGTCGCTTGCTGCTCCTCCTCCTCACACACAAGAGTCCATAGCTCCACACACAGCGCTCTTTCACTCAGACCACTAAAGTTGGTCTATGCTTGATGTACTTTTGAACCAGAAAAGTCAGAGCTCAGTTGGCGCTCCAGTATAATCGGTCCGTCTGAAACATATCCTCCAGTGAGGAACGTTCCGCGGTGGAAAAAACACATGCGATTAAAATGCGTTATTTTTTTTAACGCACTTGTTTTTGTGGCGTTAATTAATCGTAATTAACGCGTTAAAGTAGCGCCCCTAGTAATAATCGGTTCTTTCACTTCAGTGTCGTGTAATGATAGAATCACAGAATATGAACAGCTTTGATTTTGCACAATTTGTTCTGCATTTCTCATTATTGTCAAAGCGAGACGTAGGATTTGAAGTTCTTTAGTTCAGAGATAGTTTTGTGCAGTATCTTTAGCGTGTTTCTTGTCAAAACTGCCCGAGCTCGTACCGCGAAGGAGACCTTTTAGCGCTTTTGTTTTTTCTGTTGCTGTGGAAATTAAAAGGTTTTGTCTGTTTTTTCAGATGACCCGGCTCAGCTTTTGGGTCAAGAGGGCTCTGATTTCTCGCACACTTCTGAAGCCGAGGGACCGAAGCCCGAGCTCCGTTTGCCTGTCGTGAAAAGTGAATGTGGTGATTCTGACGATACGGACGACAGCGAGGGCTGGACCAGCGCCGCGGGGCCTTCGAGGGCCGAGGCTGCGCCGCAGGAGGACGCTGCGGCCGAGTACGCACAGGAAGTTCATCAGTGCTGCATCTGCGACCGTGCGTTCCCTGAGCCCAGCGCGTTGAAGGCGCACATGGAAGTGCACCTCGAGCTTCAGGAGGACGGACTGAGCGAGCGCAGCGGCGACGGAACACGAGCGAACGCACACGTGTTGATCCACTCACAGACACTCGCCAACACGCGGCTGCAGCACAAGACTCTCCCAAAGACCCGCAAACTGTCGCAGCCGCGGCCGCAGCCGTACGCTCACAGGAGCATGCCTTTCTGCTGCGCCTTCTGCAAACGAGCCTTCGCCCGGAAGTCGGACCTTCAGCACCACACCCTGATCCACACGGGAGAGAAACCCTTCACCTGCTCCCTCTGCGACCGCAGCTTCAACCGCAAATCCAACTTGTACCGCCACTACAGGAACCACAAGAACGACCCCTGAGACTGGGCCCGACCTGAGACTGGGCCCGACCTGAGACTGGGCCCGACCTGAGACTGGGCCCGACCTGAGACTGGGCCCGACCTGAGACTGGGCCCGACCTGAGACTGGGCCCGACCTGAGACTGGGCCCGACCTGAGACTGGGCCCGACCTGAGACTGGGCCCGACCTGAGACTGGGCCCGACCTGAGACTGGGCCTGATCTCAGACTGGACCTGGGTTTGGTCGGGGACTGACCTGAGACCAGGACTGGGACTGGACAGACCTAAGACTGAGGCGGGAGAGAGACTCTTTTTCTTTCTTCTGTCTCCAGAACAAATGTCGATGTTACTTATTTTGATTTAGAGTTTAGTTTGTGCCACTGAAGCGTTTATGTCTTTATTAAAATCATGAGCTGAAACAAAAGCTTTGTGATCAATGACATCACTCTCAGGTTGTTGCTGCGCAAGTGAAGACTGGGCCAAAATTCCCCTTTACACAAATGTTCAAATGTTTGACTTCTAAATGTATAAAGTTCCTCATGACTTCTAACTGTACTGATGATAAGCAGAGTCTGTCATAGGTTCATGGGTTCATGTGTTGATGCTCTTTCTGAGACTGGTTCATTCGCAGTCGTCCCTCACTATAACATGGTTCACATTTCATACAAAACATCATAAAAAACAAACGCTGGTAACAACCTTTTGTTTGAAGTCTGAAGAAAACGTTATGGGGCTTTCAGACCGCCAACGATGAAACGCGGAAGCCCCGCTCACCAGACGCGCATTCTCTAGTTTTCAGACGCAGAGGACTTCACACCAGAACGGGGAGGGAGGAAGATGGCGGTCTGAGTGGACGCACTGCGGTTAGCTGACACAAACTTTTTAAAATAATCTTTAATTTTCGGGGTTTGCCAATACGAACACCCGCCAGCTTCACCATCAATTAACGCTGACTATTTTCACTGGGAAGATGGATGGTAATACTCAGAAAAAAGCCGGAAAAGAAGGCACCGCCAAACGCCCGCCAACAACTCCGAATAAGAGTGAGACGAAGAAAGTGAAAACCGGTGAGATGGACACTGAGCCAGAACTTTCAAACACTTCCCTGCTGATGGCCATTCAAGCCTCTCTGCAGTCTCTTATTGAGCGTTTTGACAAACAAGACAAGAAGCTTGATGACATGACTACTATAATCAAAGAACACAGTGAGAGCATTGCTTTCAATATGACAGAGATAGAGGAGTGCAAAAAACAAACGGCCGAGATGAAAAGTGCAATGGCAGCGCTAACCCGGGAAAACAATGAGCTGCGTGAGAGAGTCAAAGGTGTTGAAAGATACAAGCGCAGGTGGAATCTCCGAATTAACGGGCTGAGGGAAAGAGAAGGTGAAAATGTAAGGCAGGATGTCATCAATCTCTTATGCCGCATTTCACCACAACTTGCCCCAAAGATGGAAGAGGCTGTGGATACGGTTCATCGGCTAGGGAGAAAATTTGACAACAAGCCACGTCAAGTTATAATGCAGTTTGTCAAGCGAGTTGACCGGGACCACGTATGGAGAGCGACAAACAAGCATAAGATCTGTGAGGAGCTGAAAATACACTTCGTGGAGGACATGATAAAGGAGGACAAGCTGGCTCGGGATGCTGTGTGGCCCATCATCGCCAAGGCGAGGAAGGAGGGGAAGAAGGCGGGCTTCAAAGGTCCCTACGCGTATGTGGAAGGGAAATGGGTTACGGCTGCTGAGTGAAGATGATACTCTGAACTATTTTTTACACTTGGGTAAATCCGAAAAATGACTCTTGTTACTTGAAGTTTGCTGTTCTGCTAACCGTTAAAAGCTACCGTTTTTTTTTAGTGGTACTAGCGTGTTACTTAAGCTAATATTTTCTCAACCTAATATTGTTATTTCTATATTTTTGTTATTTTTTTAATTTATGTTGGACTTTAAAAGTCATCTTTTATTTTCTTCCTTAAACACTAGAGGTTTACAAGATAGGGTCAAGAGAAAAGCCATTTTCTTATTCTGTAAAAATCAAAAAGCTCATTTTACCTTCTTGCAGGAAACACACTCCACATCTACGGATGAACATTTTTGGAACAATCAATGGGGGGAAAAAATATACTATAGTCATGGTACCTCAAAGTCAGCTGGAGTAGCCATTTTATTAAATAACTGTACAGGCTCACTAACATCAATCAAAAAAGATGAACATGGGCATTGGATTGTCATAGTTATGAACATTGACAGCACTTTCATGATTATTGCAAATATCTATGGTTACAATTCCCCTTCCCAAAATAAGGAACTGCTTTCTAAAGTTGCTGACACTATTTTAGAACAAAAAAGAGATTATCCAACTGAAGCAATTATTATAGGAGGGGATTTTAACTGTGTGCCTGATGAATGGTTAGATCGTTGGCCAAGTAAATATGATAAAAATCACTATAATACACAAATTCAAACCATTTGCAATGATTTAAATCTAAGTGATATCTGGAGAGAAACTTATGGAGATACACAGCAGTTTTCCTGGTTCAAACCCAATGGAGGTGCAAAATCTAGAATTGATTTATGGCTAGTTAACAACAACTTAAGCCACATCATATCAAATGTGGCAATGGATTCGGCGCCAATGACAGATCATTCTCTCATTACTCTGGAAATGAAACCTCAAGTCTCCTTAAAAAGAAACAAGGGTTTCTGGAAATTTAACTCATCTCTACTATTGGATGAAGAGTTTTGTCAAACAGTGAGTGCATTGATTAAGGAAATTAAAAATGATAATGATATTGCTACACACTGTGGAAAATGGGAATTTTTAAAATACAAAATAAGACAATTTGCTATAAGTTATAGCAAAAAACTTGCTGAATTAAGGAATAAAAAAGAAAACGATCTGGTCATCAAAATAAACGTTCTATGTAATATTACATATCCATCAAAATGAACAAACTCAGAAGCATCTTGAATTCCAAAATCAATTAGACCAATTCTATGAAAATAAAGCAAAGGGTGCTTTCATTAGATCTAAAGCTAAATGGATCGAAGAAGCGGAAAAAAACTCATCATACTTCTACAAATTAGAAAAAGGCCGGCAAAGAAAAAATGAAATCAATTCATTAATAATAAATGGTATAGAATGTTCAGACCCCAAACTAATAGCAGAAGAAATTTCTTCATTCTATTCTGTTTTATACAGATCTGGTTTTTCATCAACAGACGCAGTTTCTTTTTTTAATGAAATCAAAAAATATAACACTCCTAAACTAAAAAATGAATCTATCAAACTCTGTGACTCTAACATATCTCTAAATGAATTAGATAAAGCTGTTCAGAAACTAAAACTCAACAAGTCCCCAGGTTCTGATGGCCTGACTTCAAACTTTTATAAACATTTTTGGAATGAGTTAAGAGAAATGTTGCTGGAAGTATTTAGAGAATCAATTGAAAAACAAAACCTTCCACCAACAATGAAACAAGGAGTAATAGTGCTTATACCAAAACCTGGTAAGGATAAAAAACTTATAGACAATCTCAGACCCATTACACTCCTGAACAATGACTATAAAATATTTTCTCATATATATGCTTCAAGACTAAAAGATACACTCCCCGAGATCATCAGCATGACTCAGACAGGATTCATGAGTAACCGATCAATACATGACAACATTCGTCTAGTGCTTGATCTAATTGATTATGAAGAATTTATCAATGATGACAATAGCTTGCTGCTTTTCTTAGATTTCAAAAAAGCTTTTGATAACTTAGAGCACCCTTTCTTAACACAAGCTTTACAAACCTTTGGTTATGGACCTAAATTTATTAACACCATGCAAGTATTTTATAAAGATAGAAATAGCTCAGTAGCATTTATCTTATGGTTCAACAGGTCGATTTGATATAAATAAAGGTATTATTCAGGGCTGTCCTTGCAGTCCTGGTTTGTTTATCTTAGCAGCAGAATTGCTTTCAATCCATCTAAAAAGTATTGAGACTTTGAAAGGAATTGAAGTTTTTGGTCAGGAACTCATTATTAGTCAATACGCTGATGATACCACTCTTTTTCTGAAAGATGACAAACAAATACCCACAGCATTACAAGCAATCGAGGTGTTCTCCAAAGCTTCAGGTCTATTTCTAAATTTGGATAAATGCGAACTTTTAGCACTCAAATGTGTGCCCCATAACTCTATACATGGAATCAAAGTCAAACAAAACATAAAATATTTAGGAATAAATATAACTAAAAGTCCAAAAGAGAGACATCAGGAAAATTTTGAAGAAAAACTTGCAAAATGTAAGAATATTTTTAATCTTTGGTTACAAAGGGATCTTACTATTTTTGGTCGCATCTTGCTTACAAAGGTCGATGGTATTTCTAGAATCCTTCATCCTACATACTCTTTAGCTTTGGAGCCATCATTTGTCAAAGCTATAAATCAACTAAATTTCAACTTTATTTGGAACAACAAAACGCACTACTTAAAAAAAGCGGTTTTGCTTCAGGATTATGAACATGGTGGCCTTAAGGCTATCGATTATGAATGTATGAATGGAACAATCAAAAATAATTGGCTAAAATCATTTCTGAAAAATCCAGAAAACTTTTGGAATATATTCCCCAATAATATTTTTTCATCTTGTGGTGGGTTACAGTTTCTGTTAAAATGTGATTTTGAGGTCAGAAAACTTAATATTAAGTTGTCTAGTTTTCACCAGCAGGTTCTCTTTTATTGGAAGATGTTGTACAAACATAATTTCACTCCTCACACGACTTCACTTTGGAACAACAGATACATTCTTCACAGGAACAAATCTATGTATTAGAAGGACTGGATGGACAAAAATGTTTGGTGCATTTTTGATTTGATGGACTTAAATGGTAACCTGCTCTCATATAATGACTTTAGCATGAAATGGAATTTTTTTTGTCACCCAAAACAATTTTTCTGTCTTATTAATGCAATTCCAAAACCATTCTTGCTGTTGGCTAGAGAGATTGTCGTTCATTCCAATTCAATTTCTAGGCTACCAATTTTTTTCATAGACGATCTAAATTTTTTTGACAAAAAATGTAATAACAGATTTATTAGACAAGTACTCACTAGTGAGCTTTATTCGAAACAATACAGCCGAATTCAAGATCTTAAAGAATACGAGCCATTTAAAGTCAAGAAATTACTAACAGAATATCTGAGGTATCCTATTCTTCCTAAGTCCAAAGAAATTCATTTCAAACTTCTTAACAACATATATCCGTCAAGTGAATTTTTACGACAAAGATTTAACTTTGAGAGTAATGAATGTACCTTTTGTAAAATTGAAGTAGAAACCACTCGTCACATTTTTTTTGACTGTAAATTTGTTACAGTTTTTTGGAATCAGATTGAAGAGTGGTTGGAAAAAAAGAATGTATCAGTTAAATTAACGTCATATGTTAATATTTTATATGGAATGGTTTTGGAGAGCAAATTAGAAAACCTGCTGGTCAACGCAATCCTCATACTAGCAAAACACTATATTCATAAATCCAAATTTTTCAAATCTCCTGCTTTTAGGGGTTTTATTAATGACTTTAATATATATTGCAAATCCTTAAAAGTTATGAAATCAAACAAAGCAATAGAGCTTCTGAATCAAATAAAACAATACAAATTAACTGACCCTTAAATCTGAGGTAATTTTTTTTTATTTTTTATTATTATTTATTTTACTATTATAATCAATGTGATTAACAATCATAATATATATATTTCTTTTATTTATTATCTATTTTAGTTATTTTTCTTTCTTATATGTTATTTACTTTTTATTTTCAACTTGCCTTCATATTACACTGTTTATAGATTATTTTTCTACTCAACCGAATCTGCCTTGAAAAGATTTGAATGGTTTTGTGCCTTGTTGTTTGTAAATGTTTAATAATAAAAAAAAAAAAAAAAAAAAAAAAAAAACTTCACACCAGAACGTCCTGACGCGAGCCGGAAGTAGCCGGCCGGCTGTAATGATAACAGAGCTATGCTAGCGGCTTCTTGTGTACAGATCTTCTCCAATATGCAGCTTTGCAGCGTGTCTTTGCTCACAGACATTCCACGGCCTTTATACAACAGCAGTATGTGTTCATGGAGGTGCGCCATAGGTTTTTTCATATTTTTAAACAGAATTTCCGCATCGGCGAACACACTCGAAGCAGTTGCATAAGGTCACAGGAGCATGACAACGCACAGAGTTCCCCATTGTCAACCCTGGTTTGAGTTCTGGTGAAGCCTGGTGTGGGTCCTGTTTTGGCTGTTTATGAGTATTTTCAGTCTGCTCGCTCACTCCGCTAATGTCCCCGTGACCACTTTGCTGCTCTCTGATTGGTTGTCGCACGGACGTCCCAAGGAAAGGATGAGCAGAATCCATCTCCTGTGGGCGTCCATTTTTTGCTCCTGCTCCTCCTTTATTACTTTCCCGCCAAGTCCGTGCTTAATTTGTGAACAGTCCGTTCGTGCGTGCCGAGAGGTCCGTGCGTTGTGACGGTCGAACGCGCGCCACCATAGACTTTGCATTGAAACACGACGTAAGGCATGATCCGGTCTGAAAGCACCATTAGTTCCTTGTGTGCACCGCAGTGATCAGTGCTCTCTCTGTTCTCTCTCTGGTCTCTGTAAAAAAGTAAAAACCTCCGCTCACGGAAAAGCCCGTGCAATTGTTTATAAAGTTCAAACACATTGTGTTTTTGAAATATTAATATGGGTCTTAAACGCGCTCAACCATGGCTTGGAACTATCCCCAGGTGAGACGCAGTGACGCAGCCTCCTTCGTGATTCGGTTACATCCAATTCCACCAGAAAGCCTCCTTGCTTTTTCTTCCTCTGCTGCGATCAGCTACAGCTTTGGCAAACATATATGTAACGTATTATAAGTAAGTAAGTAATCTTTATTTATATACCGCCTTTTCACTGCAGATCTGAGTCTCAAAGCGGTTTACAATTGTTAATTTTGGGCATTTGTCTCTCACTCCAGACAGAGATGGGAGCGGGGTCGCCTGTACAGGAGGCGCATGCCAGAACTATTGGACATATTTTTAGTGGTAGGGGAAACCGGAGTACCCGGAGGAAACCTACGCAGACACGGGGAGAACATGCAAACTCCACTCAGAAAGGCCACCGGGATTCGAACCCATGACCTTCTTTTTGAGAGGCGAGAGTGCTATCCACTCAGCCACCGTGCCGGACATTATAAGATGTTTTAAAGCCACTTTCGTGATGCTTTCAATGAAGATATGCGTGATAAGAATGGGAAGTGAAGGGTAAGAAGGTTGCCTTGAGGAATCGGATGCACACGAAAATCGCCTGCAAAGAAACACGGTATGCACAAACTGCGGACATCCCTGTTGCCAAATACGTTGAGAATAAGCCGCTCGACAGAGTTAGGGTTACGTCCTGTCGATGTAAATCGGATTGGGATGAAGTCTCTCACTATCACCAACTCCGCGCAAGCTGCGCATCGCCCACACAGTTTAATAACCTTTCAGCTGTTCAATGTGCAACAAGAGCTACACCCAGAGGCAGAGAATCACATGCTCATATCAAACGGAGACCTTTCAGCTGGTCAGAATGTGACTACTGTTTCTAGGCCAAACCTGCATCGAGGCTGAGGATTCATGAGACTATAGGAGGGGAGGGGGTGAGGAGAAGGGGGGTGGAGAGGAGGGGGTAAGAGAAAGAGAGGGGTGAGATGAGAAGCAGAGGGGTGAGAGGAGAAGGAGGGGGTGAGATGAGAAGCAGTCAAGCAGAGGGGTGAGAGGGAGATCTAATCAAACCGATATAAATCTGAAACTTGAAAAACGTGCATGTGCGTCTGAACAAGCTTCTGTCCATGTTCTGGAACCAAACAGATTCAGGCAAGGAACAACAGAGACCAGAGAGAGAGACCAGAGAGAGAGACCAGAGAGAGAGACCAGAGAGGGAGACCAGAGAGAGAGACCAGAGAGAATAAAAGGAGAAAGAGACTCAGGTTATGCACACATGGATTTATTATATAAGAAACAGATAATAAAAGAATTTATTATACGGCTCCTCACAGCAGCAGTAGAATGCTCCATTAATTTGAATGTAATTTCAAAACGTTCTACCGGTCATTATTTTCTATAACGGACCTCTCAAAACAATAATGACCGCTGCCCTTTGGCAACGCACTCTCTGCTTGTCTTTCAAATGCGTGGATAACTCCGCAAGTAGTTCCGGCCACTCCTGAGCTAGCCACGCTCAATCAACACACTTAAATGTTAATCGGAGAATACTTATACATATACATTCTTCACACACGTGCACGGAAATTTTCAGAATTTTCTGGTCTTGTCTTCACGACAAAAATACTATTTCTCTGCGTCAAAAAGCGATCGTGAAAAACCCGGAAGTAGTTCTGGCCGCTCAATAAACGCAAATGCCAATCAATCAACGCAATGAAATGTTAATCAGAGAGTAATTTATACATATCCAGTCTTAATACAAGTGCACGGAAGTTTTCAGAATTTTCCGTTTACGTTTTCATGACAAAAACACTGATGTAATGCGAGAAAAGGCGATCCCGAAAAACCCGGAAGTAGATACCGGCACATTTTAAGATACCGGCACATTTTCGGACACATTTGCAGAGGATCGAATTATGGATTTAGGTTAGGTTTATGTTTGGGTCACTCACCGCTTGGCCTGGTTCACACGTGTTGGCCTGGTTCACATGTGTTGGTCTGGTTCACGTGTTGGTCTGGTTCACACGCGTTGGCCTGGTTCACACGTGTTGGCCTGGTTCACATGTGTTGGTCTGGTTCACACGTGTTGGCCTGGTTCACACGTGTTGGCCTGGTTCACACGCGTTGGCCTGGTTCACACGTGTTGGTCTGGTTCACACGCGTTGGCCTGGTTCACACGTGTTGGCCTGGTTCACACGCGTTGGCCTGGTTCACACGTGTTGGCCTGGTTCACACGCGTTGGCCTGGTTCACACGTGTTGGCCTGGTTCACATGTGTTGGTCTGGTTCAACATGTGTTGGTCTGGTTCACACGCGTTGGCCTGGTTCACACGTGTTGGCCTGGTTCACACGCGTTGGCCTGGTTCACACGCGTTGGCCTGGTTCACACGCGTTGGCCTGGTTCACACGCGTTGGCCTGGTTCACACGTGTTGGCCTGGTTCACACGCGTTGGTCTGGTTCACACGCGTTGGCCTGGTTCACATGTGTTGGTCTGGTTCACGTGTTGGTCTGGTTCACACGCGTTGGCCTGGTTCACACGTGTTGGCCTGGTTCACATGTGTTGGTCTGGTTCACATGTGTTGGCCTGGTTCACACGTGTTGGCCTGGTTCACACGCGTTGGCCTGGTTCACACGTGTTGGTCTGGTTCACACGCGTTGGCCTGGTTCACACGTGTTGGCCTGGTTCACACGCGTTGGCCTGGTTCACACGTGTTGGCCTGGTTCACACGCGTTGGCCTGGTTCACACGTGTTGGCCTGGTTCACATGTGTTGGTCTGGTTCACATGTGTTGGTCTGGTTCACACGCGTTGGCCTGGTTCACACGTGTTGGCCTGGTTCACACGCGTTGGCCTGGTTCACACGCGTTGGCCTGGTTCACACGCGTTGGCCTGGTTCACACGCGTTGGCCTGGTTCACACGTGTTGGCCTGGTTCACACGCGTTGGCCTGGTTCACACGCGTTGGCCTGGTTCACACGCGTTGGCCTGGTTCACACGCGTTGGCCTGGTTCACACGCGTTGGCCTGGTTCACACGCGTTGGCCTGGTTCACACGCGTTGGCCTGGTTCACACGCGTTGGCCTGGTTCACACGCGTTGGCCTGGTTCACACGCGTTGGCCTGGTTCACACGTGTTGGCCTGGTTCACACGCGTTGGCCTGGTTCACACGTGTTGGCCTGGTTCACATGTGTTGGTCTGGTTCACATGTGTTGGTCTGGTTCACACGCGTTGGCCTGGTTCACACGTGTTGGCCTGGTTCACATGTGTTGGTCTGGTTCACATGTGTTGGCCTGGTTCACACGCGTTGGCCTGGTTCACACGCGTTGGCCTGGTTCACACGCGTTGGCCTGGTTCACACGCGTTGGCCTGGTTCACACGCGTTGGCCTGGTTCACACGCGTTGGCCTGGTTCACACGCGTTGGCCTGGTTCACACGTGTTGGCCTGGTTCACACGCGTTGGCCTGGTTCACGCGTTGGCCTGGTTCACACGCGTTGGCCTGGTTTACTGTTTCTGGGTCAGTTATGGTTCATGATTTCCTTTTTTAGCCCTTTATTAATCCGTTTCTGGGTCGAGGGCAATCAGAGCTGCACGCAGTCCCTCTGACCTCCTGCAGGGGGTGGGTCCACAGGAAGATGGCTGCTCCTTCACCGCAGATACAGCCTTGGTCTTTCAGCGGGAGCTTCAGGCAAAGTGGGGTTAAGTGCCTTGCTCAGGGACACAACCCCAGCAGACATCAGTGGTGACATGGGTTGGTTGTGGGGGGATCAAACCCACGACCATTACGTTCGATAAAGGGAATAACTTGGCAGTATTTAGATTAACAGAGTAACTAAGTAGTATTAGTATTAAGGCGTCACGGTGGCTGAGTGGTTTGCACTCTAGCTTCTCAGCAAGAAGGTCCTGGGTTTGAATCCCAGTTGGAACCCTGTGTCTGTGTAGATGTCCTCTGGGTGCTCCTGTTTCCCCTAACAGCAAAAACATGTACAATAAGTCAAATCCTCCAGCTCTGGTCCTGACCAAAGCCGAGCATCAACATCCGGAGATGGGTTCCCGGGCGCTGTTACTACGGCAACAACTGCTCCTGATAGACGCCTAGTGGCATCAGAATTTGGGTCAAATGCAGAGGAAAGAATTGCCCAACAGGGATGAATAAAGGGCACCTTCACCTTTATTTTACCTAAGTCAGTCTACAGATGTGTTTGTTGCATTTTATCAACAATTGAACCAGACTCGGTCCAGTTTAATTGAACCAGACCAACATGTTTGAACTCCCCACAGACAGTAAGTCGTATGTCATAATAATGTAATAATAATGTAATAATAATGTAATAATTGTTCCTCTCGTTCAGACTTTGTGTTGGTGTGGGAGGTTCGATCTCGGCGGAAGAAGAGATCCAAATCCACAGACTCGACGGGGCCCGGTGCAGAAGGAAGTCGGTCTGAGCTGAGGAGAGCCCAGCTGGAGCAGTGGAGAGACAGGTTCACACAGAACCTGCAGGAGGCCGGGATACTCATGGAGAAGGCATGGTTCAAATACTTTATTATAATAAAATTTTAAATAATAATAAATTTTCTTGCGTTTGAAGCTAGTATTTATTAGCCTGGTCTTACCGCACCATGGTGCTCATTTCATTTGGTACTAAGGTCTGGATTTGCTCCATTGACTCAGTTAACAGGTGAGAGGGGCTAACTCCTTTTGCAGATTGAAACCATTGGATCTGAGTTTACTGTGACGTATGTAATGAGCCCGAGTGAGTCGTTAGCATTTAGCATTTAGCCTAGCTTTAGCCATCTCCTTTGCCTCTAACGGAGCCCGTGGGGAGTAGCGCCACAATATTTACAGCGATTACATTTGCTAAACATTCCTCTTTCTCCGGATTCAATTTCTTGCTAGAACCAGAACAGATTATTTTAACATTCTTCGCCAAACTACAACCTGCTAATTTGGCGCAAACTCTTGACATCACCCACAACTAACTACAACACCCGCCTCCCCTGCTCTCTGATTGGTCAGATGGAATTAAACCGATGTAAATGCAGACACTGGGCCCAGACCCAGACGGTACATGCAGGGAAAGATATTTGACCAGAGTTTACTGATGGATAAGGCCGGGCTAAGTGTTTATCAGTGTGTGTTTGTAAAAGGAGGAAAAGGCCTGTGAAAAGAAGACGATCCACTTCCTGAAGCTCAGCGCCCCCTGGGATGTGTTGGTGTATTACGCTGAAGACCTCTGTCAAAGAGCACCTCTGCAGGTTCGTGTGTGAAGAGTCCTCTCTCTGGTCTAACAATACTATCCATTACTTTAAAACGACTGGACCTGCGTGCTAAAGTGCTAAAGTGCTAGCTTCATGGTGATGGTAATGAGTCCTACATCAGTCTGGGCGGCTCTATGAGCACTTGCACTGACAGGCTGTAGTCTCACTTTGGGCTGTGGGGGTGTACCCGGAAAGAGAATTACCCAATTATTTTGTATGGCGTCTACTTTCCTCGCAAAAAACGTCTTTACAGGATGGTCCAAAAGTGGCTCTTGGTCCAAAAGTGGCTCTTGGTCCAAAAGTGGCTCTTGGTCCAAAAGTGGTTCTTGGTCCAAAAGTGGTTCTTGGTCCAAAAGTGGCTCTTGGTCTAAAAGTGGCTCTTGGTCCAAAAGTGGCTCTTGGTCCAAAAGTGGCCATTGGTCCAAAAGTGGTTCTTGGTCCAAAAGTGGCTCTTGGTCCAAAAGTGGCTCTTGGTCCAAAAGTGGCCATTGGTTCAAAAGTGGCTCTTGGTCCAAAAGTGGTTCTTGGTCCAAAAGTGGCTCTTGGTCCAAAAGTGGTTCTTGGTCCAAAAGTGGCTCTTGGTCCAAAAGTGGCTCTTGGTCCAAAAGTGGCCATTGGTCCAAAAGTGGTTCTTGGTCCAAAAGTGGCTCTTGGTCCAAAAGTGGCTCTTGGTCCAAAAGTGGCTCTTGGTCCAAAAGTGGCTCTTGGTCTAAAAGTGGTTCTTGGTCCAAAAGTGGCTCTTGGTCCAAAAGTGGCTCTTGGTCCAAAAGTGGCTCCTGGTCCAAAAGTGGCTCTTCTTGGTCCAAAAGTGGCTCTTGGTCCAAAAGTGGCTCTTCTTGGTCCAAAAGTGGCTCTTGATCCAAAAGTGGCTCTTCTTGGTCCAAAAGTGGCTCTTGGTCCAAAAGTGGCTCTTCTTGGTCCAAAAGTGGCTCGGTAAATTCATGTGGCTAGTGCAGCTAACACGGCGGCCATTTTGTCCATATGTTCAATCCGTCACATGATCTGTTTATCGCGTCCAGGCCCAGCCGCACTTGGACCTAAACACTTCTGCTCGAGTCCTGCACAAACTGTTCATCCCCAACGTCCTGATGGAGTCCGTGCCCAACCGCCCGCTGGACTACTACACCTGTGCCTTCCGTCGGTCCAAGTTACACAGGTGTGGATCTGAGTCTGGGACCAGAGAGAAGAGCCAAAGACATGAATACATCTCTGTGCAGGTTTCTCGGGAGCAGCGATCAGGAAAGTTACTTCACGCAGACGCAGAGACATCGAGTGGTGAGTGCTGGGAATTATCTTTGTTATTATTATGTTCAAGATAGAGATTTTACCAAGTTTTTTGATGCTAGAGTCAGAGATTTTGTTTTATTTTTGGTCATTTGTCTTGTGCTGTGTGCTCCTCATTCCTACTGTTCTGTACCTTGTTATGCAACTCTGAAATTGAAAGGATCTGTTCATCTTAATCTGAAAATCTTTGAAAGTGAATTTGCATTTTCTGTGTTTGAACTGATTCTCTAATCTGTGTTGGTAAATTCAACAGTTCAAAGTCCTCCCAGATAACTCAGATTAAGATGAAGAGATCCGTTATTCGTCCCACAGTCCCAAAATAAAGTAAAAATCTCTCACTCTAGCGTGAAAAGAAGCAGTATGAAATCTCTTTGGGATAATGAGAACAAAAACTACTGTGATGTAGCGCTGTACACGGATACATTTAGTAATGGAAAGCTTGATAATTGAAATGTGATTGGTTCTTGTTGATAACCTGGTGTTGTATAAAAGAGAGCAGAGTCAGGTGATGCGTTTCCACAAAGAGAGCTTTTTGTTTCAGGTTCATGAGATTCTGGCCAGGACCGTTTATGGCAAAAGGAAGAGAGCTGAGGTCGGCGTGGACAGACTCATAAACGAAGGCGCTTACACAGCCGCGTTCCCTCTGCATGAGGTCGGTCGTCTGCAACGGATGTATGTGGAGAAAATACACACACTATACGTATATATGTATGTGTGTGTATATACTTGACAGGGGCCGTTTGAGCCTCCTGGGTTTGGGGTTCGACCCGAGGAGCTGAACCAGAGGCAGGTCCTGTATCACTTCTGGGCTCGCTGGTGCAAATGGTACAAGTACCAACCTTTGGATCACATCCGGGAATACTTTGGAGAGAAGATCGCGCTCTACTTTGCCTGGTTAGGTCTGTATTTATAGTTCTGCAGCATTGTCCACATACTGTCAATCTGAAAGTTAACAATTCTTTTACAAGTTTGGTGATAGATGGATAGATAGATAGATAAATAGATAGATAGCACTTCAGGTCCCAGCAGCAGACGTGGAGCCGCTTGGTACGAACCATTTTCTCTGCTCTGGTCCAAAGTAAAAGGCTAAAAGCTTTATTAGCATTTTTCATAAAGTTAGCATTCCTCCAGTGGATTTTCACCTGATCCACTTGGTTCGGACCATGAATCCTCTCTGCTCTGGTCTGGACCAGTGTAAAACCATGAATCCTCTCTGCTCTGGTCTGGACCAGTGTAAAACCATGAATCCTCTCTGCTCTGGTCTGGACCAGTGTAAAACCATGAATCCTCTCTGCTCTGGTCTGGACCAGTGTAAAACCATGAATCCTCTCTGCTCTGGTCTGGACCATTGTACCATCCGTATGATCCCAGATACAACAGTCTGCTCTAATGCGGAGAGCAGTGAACATTAAGAGCAGCTCTACAGTGTAATGGCACTTCCCAGAATGCACTGCTGTCTAATGGAGTGTGTCTCTGCAGGATTCTACACGGCGTGGCTGCTGCCGGCTGCTGTGGTGGGAACACTGGTCTTTGTGTCTGGAGTCCTGACCATGGGCTCCAACGTACCAGCGTGGGTTTTTACTTCTGCATCCAAATAACATGTGACTTGATCTGCACTTACACATTTACAACTGGACATGAAATCAATAACAAGATTCAGAGACTGTAAAACTTATTTTGAAATCCAGACAACTTGAACTACTGCTATCAGTTAAAGAAGTATTGGAAAAGTGAATGTTTTCTTTATGCCTTTCGACAGATTAGGGCCCTTTAATGATGACAGATTAGGGCCCTTTAATGATGACAGATTAGGGCCCTTTAATGATGACGGATTAGGACCTTTTAATGATGACAGATTAGGGACCTTTAATGATGACAGATTAGGGCCCTTTAATGATAACAGATTAGGGCCCTTTAATGATGACAGATTAGGGCCCTTTAATGATGACGGATTAGGACCTTTTAATGATGACAGATTAGGGCCCTTTAATGATGACAGATTAGGGCCCTTTAATGATGACAAATTAGGGCCCTTTAATGATGACAGATTAGGGCCTTTTAATGATGATTTAACATGAAATTTGTACCAATTGATACTTTAAGTTAATCATATGTATCTAGATTAGGGCTCTCAAACGATTAAACATTTTTAGTTGATTAATCGCACAGAAATGGTGCGTTAACTCACAATTAATTGCATTTTTAACATTCTATTTCAAATCCACTCCAATTGAAGTTAAATGAGATTATCAAATATAATGACACATTGTCATTCATACCAAATGTACTTAAATCTGTTTGCTTTTGGGCAAAACCAACATGAGCTGTTAATGAAAGTTACATACCCCAGCTTTAATTCAGCGAGTTTAGTTTAGTTTCAGGAAAAGACAGGGACACTCCTACACTGTATTTGCGTAGGTTACGCACAGGTTGCAAAGACACGAACACAACATGCAGACAATAGTTCTGTGGCGTGTTTGGTCTTATGACCATGTTACCGCGGCGCCACTCACTCACAGCCGCTCACAGCCGTGTTGTTGTGAGCGGCTCACAGCCGTGTTGTTGTGAGCGGCTCACAGCCGTGTTGTTGTGAGCGGCTCACAACCAGAGCGGCCGCGGAGGAGGCGGACTTCAGTTCACAGCAAACAGCCCCGCGGTGACGCGCGTATTCTTTTAAAACATGAATCCCCAGAGGGCCGACCTGCTCTGATGCATCTCACACGCAGCATTCTGAGTGATATTATGGATAAATGGGCGGGTCATTCGGACATGCGTTAATGCGTTAATTTTTTTTTAACGCGTTCATGAAAAATGTAATTAACGTGAGTTAACGCGATAATTTTGACAGCCCTAATCTAGATATATCTTTCACTGAAGTATATTAATTTCTGGCACCAGGAAGTCTAGACTTAGATTATAAAGGCCTCATTGTGGGACTGTGTGTGTGGAGGTGTGTCTTAATGACTGCCAGCTGTTTTTGATGATTTCACTCACTTTCAAGACCCACAGAATATTGTGTGCTATAACTTTAGGAACCAGATTCTGAAAGATTGGACTGTTTACTTTCATCAGAAAATATATGTTGGTTTCTAGCTAGTTTCGTTCTCCTGTAATCCCCCGGCGAATACAGGGAAGTTTGACAGAAATCACAAAATATTACAAAAAATACGTCAATGGCATTCAATGAAACAACCTTACAGTCTGTTTTTAAGTCACACATGTCCTGGAGAGAGGCTGAGCTACCGGTGCTCTCTCCTCTTAGACATGTCCTGGAGAGAGGCTGAGCTACCGGTGCTCTCTCCTCTTAGACATGTCCTGGAGAGAGGCTGAGCTACCGGTGCTCTCTCCTCTTAGACATGTCCTGGAGAGAGGCTAAGCTACCGGTGCTCTCTCCTCTTAGACATGTCCTGGAGAGAGGCTGAGCTACCGGTGCTCTCTCCTCTTAGACATGTCCTGGAGAGAGGCTGAGCTACCGGTGCTCTCTCCTCTTAGACATGTCCTGGAGAGAGGCTAAGCTACCGGTGCTCTCTCCTCTTAGACATGTCCTGGAGAGAGGCTGAGCTACCGGTGCTCTCTCCTCTTAGACATGTCCTGGAGAGAGGCTGAGCTACCGGTGCTCTCTCCTCTTAGACATGTCCTGGAGAGAGGCTGAGCTACCGGTGCTCTCTCCTCTTAGACATGTCCTGGAGAGAGGCTGAGCTACCGGTGCTCTCTCCTCTTAGACATGTCCTGGAGAGAGGCTGAGCTACCGGTGCTCTCTCCTCTTAGACATGTCCTGGAGAGAGGCTAAGCTACCGGTGCTCTCTCCTCTTAGACATGTCCTGGAGAGAGGCTAAGCTACCGGTGCTCTCTCCTCTTAGACATGTCCTGGAGAGAGGCTAAGCTACCGGTGCTCTCTCCTCTTAGACATGTCTCCTTGGACGGCCACCAGTAGAATGTCACTACATTTTTGCACTGGTTGGTCCCCTTTTTGTTCCCCATATCCCCTTTCCCTTTGTGATAGGCAGAGAAGCTAAAAAAAATTGAGTAAATAATAATAATAAATATAATAATAATAAACAAAAATAATAATAATAAATAAATAAATATAATAAAAAATAGATAAAATAATTAATAAAAACAAATGAAAATAAGAATAATAAAAATAGTAAATACATATAAAAATAATAATAAAAAATAAATAAATAAAAATAAATGAACATAATAATAATAAAAATAGTAAATAAAAATTACAATAATAAATAAATAAAGTTGAAGACATCTAAACCAAAATAAGGAATTTATTGAAGAGATACATAAAGATACATAAATACAAAGAATGCAATTTTTTTTTTGTGTGTGCGATTTTATCCAGGTTTGTTGTTAAATATCAGCATCAACAACACCCCTTTCCCAACACTGTAATATGCATCCTCATAACTTATTTACCTCACGACCCTTGAGACAACAGATTGAAACTAAATCTAAAAAATTGACTTTTGGCTACAAGTGTCTGTATTTACATTCATGCTTTGTTATGTTTTTTCCATTAACCGCACTGTCCTGATTGAACATATAAAACCATTTTCTTTCTAAATTCTATGTATGGTAGTAGTATGTATTCGTATTTTCTGGATGTATCCACATTTGTGTCCACGGTGCACTTTCTGTGTGATTATTCGGTGCTGTGGTCCGCCTGCAGCTCGTGTTGTAGCTGCACAAAGCCACACAGAGGCTTTTATCGTGAACCAAATCAGAGAAGAAGACTGCAGAGAGCTGATGTGAGCAGAGGAGATGGGAGCTATAAACGCTCTCTGCTGCTCCACAATAACGGCCATTAATAATGAATGATCAGTGCATTATGGAACAGTACTTTTCTATGACTTTGTCTGTCTATTTAGGGCTTGTGTATATTTTGGCTATATTTTTCTTTTGCTAAATATGGCTTGAAAACATACAATATATATATATATTTTAATAAAATAACATTACTAGTTTCACAGTTATAACTAGAACCGCAGTTATTACTAGTACTTTTAGACAACGCAATCTCCAAACACACCCTCACAATACAAAGCATACAATACATAACATAACACACATGACGTAACAACTGTCACGAGGTGGGAAGTGATGAAGGACTCAAATTGCAGAAACGTCAAAATATAAATGATTTAATGATGATAAAACAAAAGTCCAAAGGTAATAAAACAAAATCCAAAATGGAACCAGGAGCAAAGTCTGACAAACCATGGGCAAACAAAGACAATGGACCATCAACAAAGGAGAGAGGAGCACAGGGTACATACAGACACAGAGAGACACAGGTGAAAGACATCAGGGCGGGGCACACAATCAAGAAGCAGGAAACAGGAAGTCTAAAAGCTCGTGGGTTCGAATCCCGGTCGGAACAGGGCCTTTCTGAGTGGAGTTTGCATGTTCTCCCCATGTCTGCGTAGGTTTCCTCCGGGTGCTCTGGTTTCCCCTACCACTAAAAACATGCACAATAGGTCTGAATGTAAATGAGAGAGTGAATGGATGGTGTTGGGTCGGAGGTTTTGATGGTCCAGTGTGTTCTGGACACGCTTCTGTCATCACCGTGTGTGGAATGATTGGAGCAGTTTCTGACTCTGAACATTGTAAAGCGCTTTTTGTGACCTTGGTCTGTAAAATGCGCTATATAATTAAACATTACTTACTTGTATTTGCTTCCAGCTTCATATGTTTAAGAAATTACAATGTATCTCTGGTGTAAAAGAGCCGTGGTTTGTCGACAGAGAGGAGATCTGTCACAACGGGAGCCGATACCTCATGTGTCCTCTGTGCAACACCTGCAAAGCCTGGAACATGTCTGAAATCTGCCCCATGGCCAAAGTAAGAACTGCTATCTTTTTATTATTATTATTATTATGTACTTGCTGGTTTGACATGTGGTGTTGCAGGTGGGGTATCTGTTCGACCATCCAGGCACAGTCCTCTTCAGTGTCTTCATGTCGTTCTGGGCCGTCACTTTCTTGGAGTATTGGAAAAGAAAGATGGCCACTCTGGCTCATCACTGGGACTGTATGGACTTCCACGAAGAGGAGGTATCAGTTATGACTAGTACTGCAGTTATGACTAGTACTGCAGTTATGACTAGTACTGCAGTTATGACTAGTACTGCAGTTATTACTAGTACTGCAGTTATTACTAGTGCCGCAGTTATTACTAGTTCTACAGTTATTACTAGTACTGCAGTTATTACTAGTTCTACAGTTATTACTAGTACTGCAGTTATTACTAGTACTACAGTTATTACTAGTGCCGCAGTTATTACTAGTTCTACAGTTATTGCTAGTACTGCAGTTATTACTAGTACTGCAGTTATTACTAGTACTGCAGTTATTGCTAGTACTGCAGTTATTACTAGTACTGCAGTTATTACTAGTACTGCAGTTATTACTAGTACTGAAGTTATTACTAGTACTGCAGTTATTACTAGTTCTACAGTTATTACTAGTGCCGCAGTTATTACTAGTTCTACAGTTATTGCTAGTACTGCAGTTATTACTAGTACTGCAGTTATTGCTAGTACTGCAGTTATTACTAGTACTGCAGTTATTACTAGTACTGCAGTTATTACTAGTACTGAAGTTATTACTAGTACTGCAGTTATTACTAGTTCTACAGTTATTACTAGTGCCACAGTTATTACTAGTTCTACAGTTATTACTAGTACTGCAGTTATTACTAGTACTACAGTTATAACTAGTGCCACAGTTATTACTAGTTCTACAGTTATTACTAGTACTGCAGTTATTACTAGTACTGCAGTTATTACTAGTGCCGCAGTTATTACTAGTTCTGCAGTTATTACTAGTACTGCAGTTATTACTAGTACTGCAGTTATTACTAGTACTGCAGTTATTACTAGTACTGCAGTTATTACTAGTACTACAGTTATCACTAGTTCTACAGTTATTACTAGTGCTGCAGTTATTACTAGTTCTGCAGTGAACATGTGTTTATGATCTCGAAGACTACTTTGGGTTAGCGGGTTAGCGCAATTGGCTCCCGGGCCTGAGTTTGGACATGCCTGCCCTAGTGGGATAAATAAAGTGCACCTTTAAAGGTAAAGATAAGATAAACTTTATTGATCTCACAATGGAGAAATGTACAAGTCTATGCCAGTGAGGGCAGGTCCTGGCTCAAAAGTGGCCAAAATTACGTGCGCTGACATGCTGCAATACCACCCCGGGCCTGTGGGGGTGGACCCGGAATAAGAATTAGCCAATGCTAACATATAGCATTGGCAGACCTCTGGAAAACGTCTTTACAGGATGGACCAAAAGTTGTCTCTTGGCCCAAAGCTCCGTCCCACATGTGTGTCAATGCTGAGTGTTCTGGACCAGTCTAGTTTAGTTGCTGTGAATTTTTGAAGTCACTCGTTTAAATGAATGGAGCTCGTGCAGCTGACGCATGCGCAGATACGTTTTTTTCACATTTTCCAGCCCCCGCGGCCATTTTGAATCACTCCATGAAAGCCCAATCTTTGGCCCATTAGTTAGAACGGCGGAGATAGGCGTGGCTACGTCCGTTAACATATACAGTCTATGGTCTATATGCCAAATGTGACGTGTAAATTTCTCCTTTGTGAGATCAGTAACGTTTATATTATCTTTACTACTTTCGAGCAACACATTTATAAACCGGTGCGTGGATGAATCTGCAGATGCCTCAGACTCCAGTCGTCAGATGCTCCCTGTATTTCCCCTCACCCTTTTTACACACAAGACAAGAACAAAAACTAACCTTTAGAATGTCTAACCAGAGATGACATTCTTCGCTGCTCCTGAAATCGCCGCTGTAAAACGTTTTTTACGGTATATTTCAGGAGGGTCCTCGGCCTGAGTTCGTTGCCATGGCACCGCTGATGGAAGAGAACCCTGTGACCGGTGTCAAAGAGCCCTACTTTCCAGAGAAGACCAGACTGTCCCGAATGTTCACCGGCTCCATGGTCATTATTATGATGGTGAGAGGCCTCTTCCTGCGTTTGGACCAGTCTGGGCGGGTCCTGGATCCAAAAGGTCCATGAGCACGTGCACTAATACACGTGCAATAGATTCATAGATAGAAACTTTATTGATCCCTGTCGGAGAAATGCAGGTGTCCAGAAGTAGAAAAACACATCCATCCAAACAAACAAAACAAATATATTGATCATTCTAAAAAGTAATAAACAAAATGCAACAGCACTTCAGGTCAATCGCACTCCAGGCTGTGGGGGTGTACCCGGAATGAGAATTACCCAATGCTTTTGTACGGCATCTTCTTTCCTCTCAAAAATGTCTTTACAGGATGGTCCAAAAGTGGTTCTTGCAAAAGTGGTTCTTGGTCCAAAAGTGGTTCTTGGTCCAAAAGTGGCTCTTGGTCCAAAAGTGGCTCTTGGTCCAAAAGTGGCTCTTGATCTAAAAGTGGTTCTTGGCCCAAAAGTGGCTCTTGGTCTAAAAGTGGTTCTTGGTCCAAAAGTGGCTCTTGGTCCAAAAGTGGCTCTTGGTCTAAAAGTGGTTCTTGGCCCAAAAGTGGCTCTTGGTCCAAAAGTGGTTCTTGGCCCAAAAGTGGCTCTTGGTCCAAAAGTGGCTCTTGGTCCAAAAGTGGCTCTCGGTCCAAAAGTGGTTCTTGGTCCAGAAGTGGCTCTTGGTCCAAAAGTGGCTCTTGGTCCAGAGCTTGGGAGTATATTTGTTTTGGACCAGTCTAGTTTAGCCGCTGTGGACTTCAGAATGAACTCGTGAATGGGGCTGGTGCAGCTAACTCAATGTGTTTTTTCATCTTTTCCCGCCGCGGCCATTTTGAAAAAGCCACAGAAGGTAAACGTGATGTCACATTAGTTTGAACGGCAGACAAAGGCGTCACTACGTCCGTGAATATTTACAGTCTATGATTTCAACATTATTATGACTCATCCATATTGTCTTAATGCATATTGTTGATAGATGCTTTGCTTTCCCCTGTTTTCCAGCTGTGTGTGGTAATGATCTTCTTGGTGACCGTGGTCATGTGTCGAGGAATCATCAGTATCATGATGTTTCACACCGGGAGCCCAGTCCTCAGAACAGAGGTACAGAAAACATGGATCTTACCGGCTCATTCCACACTCCGAACTAAACTGTACCGATGTGTTATTTTTGGGTCAAAGACATGAAAAAGTCCTGAAATATCTGCGGTCGTTACTTCTGAATGTTCTCAGACTCTTGTGTAGTTCCTTGTTTGTCCAGTGGAGGGCGCACTACTTAAACACAGAGTCACGTCTCTAATATGAGCTGCAGATGTTTTGGACGTAACAAGTGGACAAAGTGTTACGTCCAAAACACCAGTTTGTCTGCACTTAATCAATCATATTTTTTACATAATGTATAATAATAGATTGATTCTAGTTTTATCCTCAAACATTAGTTATTAAATAGTTTCTGTCCTGGTTTTTCTTCCAGTCACAAACCTCCAACACGACACGACCTAAATATAATGTGTCCCCAAAGCATACTCTACTTTTGAAATCTCTTTACTTTAAATGGTTCTGAGCCCATCTGAGTTTATCCTTTGTATAAACTACATAGTATTAAAGAACGAGGTGAAAACATTTTTGATTCATACATTTATTTTTTTGCCGCTTGAAGTCAGATTTGACCCATGGTTCAGTTTGGCGTGGACTGAGCCTTCTTTGACTCTTTCAGGCAGGAACCATCGCAAACATCTGCAGCAGTTTGGTGAATCTGGGCCTGATCCTGCTCATGGGCCGGGTCTACACCGCCATGGCCGAGCAGCTCACCAAATGGGGTAAGAATCCATAAAAACACCTTTAACTTTAACTCACACTCCAGAAGAAGTGGGCTCTGAACTCAGGGGCAGTGGGAAAGTCATAACCAAGACCTTAGTCCGAGTAGTAATAGTACAGTAAGAATATATGTGAGACGTGATGCAAAATATGATAAAAACAGAGGTGGAGTAGTCTCTGGGTGGAGCAAGACAGGTCACAGCAGCAGAGGTGGAGTAGTCTCTGGGTGGAGCAGGACGGGTCACAGCAGCAGAGGTGGAGTAGTCTCTGGGTGGAGCAGGACGGGTCACAGCAGCAGAGGTGGAGTAGCCTCTGGGTGGAGCAGGACGGGGCACAGCAGCAGAGGTGGAGTAGCCTCTGGGTGGAGCAGGACGGGGCACAGCAGCAGAGGTGGAGTAGCCTCTGGGTGGAGCAGGACGGGGCACAGCAGCAGAGGTGGAGTAGCCTCTGGGTGGAGCAGGACGGGGCACAGCAGCAGAGGTGGAGTAGCCTCTGGGTGGAGCAGGAGGGGGCACAGCAGCAGAGGTGGAGTAGCCTCTGGGTGGAGCAGGGCGGGTCACAGCAGCAGAGGTGGAGTAGCCTCTGGGTGGAGCAGGGCGGGTCACAGCAGCAGAGGTGGAGTAGTCTCTGGGTGGAGCAGGACGGGTCACAGCAGCAGAGGTGGAGTAGTCTCTGGGTGGAGCAGGACGGGTCACAGCAGCAGAGGTGGAGTAGTCTCTGGGTGGAGCAGGACGGGTCACAGCAGCAGAGGTGGAGTAGCCTCTGGGTGGAGCAGGACGGGGCACAGCAGCAGAGGTGGAGTAGCCTCTGGGTGGAGCAGGACGGGGCACAGCAGCAGAGGTGGAGTAGCCTCTGGGTGGAGCAGGACGGGGCACAGCAGCAGAGGTGGAGTAGCCTCTGGGTGGAGCAGGACGGGGCACAGCAGCAGAGGTGGAGTAGCCTTTGGGTGGAGCAGGAGGGGGCACAGCAGCAGAGGTGGAGTAGCCTCTGGGTGGAGCAGGACGGGACACAGCAGCAGAGGTGGAGTAGCCTCTGGGTGGAGCAGGACGGGGCACAGCAGCAGCAGAGGTGGAGTAGCCTCTGGGTGGAGCAGGACGGGGCACAGCAGCAGAGGTGGAGTAGCCTCTGGGTGGAGCAGGACGGGGCACAGCAGCAGAGGTGGAGTAGCCTCTGGGTGGAGCAGGAGGGGGCACAGCAGCAGAGGTGGAGTAGCCTCTGGGTGGAGCAGGGCGGGTCACAGCAGCAGAGGTGGAGTAGCCTCTGGGTGGAGCAGGGCGGGTCACAGCAGCAGAGGTGGAGTAGTCTCTGGGTGGAGCAGGACAGGTCACAGCAGCAGAGGTGGAGTAGCCTCTGGGTGGAGCAGGACGGGGCACAGCAGCAGAGGTGGAGTAGTCTCTGGGTGGAGCAGGACGGGGCACAGCAGCAGAGGTGGAGTAGCCTCTGGGTGGAGCAGGACGGGGCACAGCAGCAGAGGTGGAGTAGTCTCTGGGTGGAGCAGGACGGGGCACAGCAGCAGAGGTGGAGTAGCCTCTGGGTGGAGCAGGACGGGGCACAGCAGCAGAGGTGGAGTAGTCTGATCATGATGCAGTTAAAAACAAATACAACTGAGATTTTAAAACTGAAACAGATTTTAATGCTTTTTTTTATTTTTATGAATGAGTCTATACTCGAAAAATACAATAAAAAAAATTAAAAAAAACCTATACGTTTGCATTATATGTCCAATTTCTATAAAATAAAATAAAATAAACAATAACATTTTTATTCATTAATGAAGTTGCAGAGACACACATTGATCCCAGAGCCATTCTCACACCTTCTTCTCTCTTTGTGTCTGATGTTTCTGTCCTGCAGAGATGCACAGGACTCAAACCCAGTACGACAACGCCTTCATCCTAAAAGTATTCATTTTTCAGTTCGTAAACTTCTACTCCTCTCCTTTCTATGTAGCGTTCTTCAAAGGCCGGTGAGTCCAACACACATCGGGACCTCGCTGCGTGATCTTGGTCGTCTTGAATCTGTTGTTGTGTGTGTGTTGTTCAGGTTTGTGGGGTACCCTACCAACTACGGCACTTTGTTTGGAATGAGAAATGAAGATGTGAGTCCAGCCCCCGTCACGGATAAAATGCATGTTAATATTTTGAGCTTTGCCTGGTCTTACCGCACCATGGTACTCATTTCATTTCATACTAAAGGTCTGGAGGTGCTTCATTGACTCCGTTAACAGGTGGGAGGGGCTAACTCCTTTTGCAGATTGAAACCATTGGATCTGAGTTTACTGTGACATATGTAATGAGCCCGAGTGAGTGAAGCATTTAGCATTTAGCCTAGCTTTAGCATGTAGCCTAGCTTTAGCCATCTCCTTTGCCACTAACGGAGCCCGTGGGGAGTAGATCCACAACATCTTTGCTTCAATGACATTTACTAAACATTCTTCTTGCTCCGGCTTCAGTTTCTTGATATTTGGATTGAACCAGAACAGATTATTTTACTATCACATTCTCCGACAAACTACAACCAGCAAATTCAGCACAAACTTTTAATGTCACCGACACGACCTACAACACCCGCCTCCCCCGGTCTCTGATTGGTCGGAGGAGATTCAACCGAGGAAACTGCAGCCACTAGGATCAGACCCAGACGTACATGTAGGAAATGACCATGGACCAGAGTTTACACATGGTAAGACCAGACGTACATGTAGGAAATGACCATGGACCAGAGTTTACACATGGTAAGACCAGACGTACATGTAGGAAATGACCATGGACCAGAGTTTACACATGGTAAGACCAGACGTACATGTAGGAAATGATCATGGACCAGAGTTTACACATGGTAAGACCAGACGTACATGTAGGAAATGACCATGGACCAGAGTTTACACATGGTAAGACCAGACGTACATGTAGGAAATGACCATGGACCAGAGTTTACACATGGTAAGACCAGACGTACATGTAGGAAATGACCATGGACCAGAGTTTACACATGGTAAGACCAGACGTACATGTAGGAAATGATCATGGACCAGAGTTTACACATGGTAAGACCAGACGTACATGTAGGAAATGATCATGGACCAGAGTTTACACATGGTAAGACCAGACGTACATGTAGGAAATGATCATGGACCAGAGTTTACACATGGTAAGATCAGACGTACATGTAGGAAATGATCATGGACCAGAGTTTACACATGGTAAGACCAGACGTACATGTAGGAAATGATCATGGACCAGAGTTTACACATGGTAAGACCAGGATAGCTTTGAGCTGGTGTTTAATGGTGTGTGTTGTGCAGTGCGGTCCTGGGGGATGTCTCATTGAACTGGCTGAACAACTCTTCATCATCATGGTCGGGAAGCAACTCATCAATAACATCCAGGAGTTCCTCATCCCGTAGGTTCTGCTCCACATTTGATGGTTGGATTTTGAATTTGAATACTTTATTTTGAGTCAAAGACATAACACTCTGCGCCGTACAGACAGCACTGTACACACACACACACGCACGCACACACACACACACACACACACACACGCACACACACACACAGGGGCCATGAAGAAGGAAGAACAAAACTAAGAAGCTAAAACTTATATTATTATTAAAAAAGGTTTAAGAAGAAGAAAATTTAAGTGCTCCCTCCATTTCTTTACTTACTGTAGATACACACATATATTAATACATATACACAAACATATACGCATACTGTATATACTCATATACATATACACAGACATCCTGCTGCATCACAGACTGCCCCGTCCCTGTGCTCCTCAGAGTCCCAGCAGGAGGCCAGTCCCTGTGCTCCTCAGAATCCCAGCAGGAGGCCAGTCCCTGTGCTCCTCAGAATCCCAGCAGGAGGCCAGTCCCTGTGCTAAAATGATATGTCCTGATTTCAAAGCATGTCTTTTGTGCCCGTCTCTGCACAGGAAAGTAAAGGCCTGGCAGCAGAAGAGAACACTGGAAAATGCGTTTGGAGGTCATGAAAAACACAAACTCCGGCCCTGGGAGCAGGATTACCAACTGCTCGAGTGTGAGGGTCTCTTTGAAGAGTATCTGGAAATGGGTAATTTCAGTTTTATACTTTACAGTTTAAGTATGACACCCTCCAAACCAAACTGTACTGATGCGTAATATTTGGGTCAATGACATGAAAAAGTCCTGAAATATCCGCGGTCGCTTCTTCTGAATGTTCTCAGACTCTTGTGTAGTTCCTTGTTTGTCCAGTGGAGGGCGCACTACTTAAACACAGAGTCACGTCTGTAATATGAACAGCTGCAGATGTTTTGGACGTAACAAGTGTACAAAGTGTTACGTCCAAAACACCAGTTTGTCTGCATTTATTGAATCATATTTTTTAACATAATGTATAATGTATAATTATAGATTGATTCTAGTTTTATCCCCAAACATTAGACATTAAATAGTTTCTGTCCTGGTTATTCTTCCAGTCACAAACCTCCAACACGACACGTCCTAAATTTAACACATGTGTCCCCAAAGTTCTATATCATTTCCTAGAAAGGTATAATTTTTATTGAAATGTTTTTTTTTGTGTCCTTGCGCACTTAACCCCACTTGGACTCGAACCCACAACCTCTACAACTGAGCCCCTGTCGCCCCCAATGTGCCGCATTGTACAGTTTATTTAGTTTTATTATGATTATCACGTTTTTACACTTGTTGTAGTGCTGCAGTTTGGGTTCATCACCATCTTCGTGGCGGCCTTCCCTCTGGCGCCTCTGTTCGCGCTCCTGAACAACTGGGTGGAGATCCGTCTGGACGCCCATAAGTTTGTGTGCGAATACCGCCGCCCGGTGGCCGAGCGGGCGCAGAACATCGGGGTCTGGTTTCACATCCTGGAGGCTCTGTCGCACCTGTCCGTCATCGCCAACGTGAGGCTGAAAAACTCACCTCTCACCGTTCAAAGCCACTCCTTACATGATCAGCACTAGATCATACACGGAATCGGGACGGAAGCGGAAGTAAACATAACAATCTAACTATTCATGCCTAAACCCCGACCCACCCTTAACCCTAACCTTAACCATCTCACTCAGACCACCTTAACCCTAACCTTAACTATCTTACTCAGACCACCTTAACCCTAACCTTAACTATCTTACTCAGACCACCTTAACCCTAACCTTAACTATCTTACTCAGACCACCTTAACCCTAACCTTAACTATCTTACTCAGACCACCTTAACCCTAACCTTAACTATCTTACTCAGACCACCTTAACCCTAACCTTAACTATCTTACTCAGACCACCTTAACCCTAACCTTAACTATCTTACTCAGACCACCTTAACCCTAACCTTAACTATCTTACTCAGACCACCTTAACCCTTAACCATCTTACTCAGACCACCTTAACCCTAACCTTAACCATCTTACTCAGACCACCTTAACCCTAACCTTAACCATCTTACTCAGACCACCTTAACCCTAACCTTAACCATCTTACTCAGACCCACCTTAACCCTAACCTTAACCATCTTACTCAGACCACCTTAACCCTAACCTTAACCATCTTACTCAGACCACCTTAACCCTAACCTTAACCATCTTACTCAGACCCACCTTAACCCTAACCTTAACCATCTTACTCAGACCCACCTTAACCCTAACCTTAACCATCTCACTCAGACCACCTTAACCCTAACCTTAACTATCTTACTCAGACCACCTTAACCCTAACCTTAACTATCTTACTCAGACCACCTTAACCCTAACCTTAACCATCTTACTCAGACCACCTTAACCCTAACCTTAACTATCTTACTCAGACCACCTTAACCCTAACCTTAACTATCTTACTCAGACCACCTTAACCCTAACCTTAACTATCTTACTCAGACCACCTTAACCCTAACCTTAACCATCTTACTCAGACCACCTTAACCCTAACCTTAACTATCTTACTCAGACCACCTTAACCCTAACCTTAACCATCTTACTCAGACCACCTTAACCCTAACCTTAACCATCTTACTCAGACCACCTTAACCCTTAACCATCTTACTCAGACCACCTTAACCCTAACCTTAACCATCTTACTCAGACCACCTTAACCCTAACCTTAACCATCTTACTCAGACCACCTTAACCCTAACCTTAACATCTTAATCAGACCACCTTAACCCTAACCTTAACATCTTAATCAGACCACCTTAACCCTAACCTTAACCATCTTACTCAGACCCACCTAAAAGTTATCCAGTCACCACTTAAGGACTTATTAGTCGAAAGTAGGATTGTTACTTCCGGTTTCGTCCCGATTCCGTTTATGATCTAGTGCCGACCCTGCTCTGAACCTGGTCCGAACCTTGTTGTGGAGATAATTTCATAAACATAATTAAATAAAAAGTCAAAGTTATGAAGAACAAAAACGTACACAAGCAGCAGTAATTACACGTCCAAAACGAAAAGTTATAATCTTAAAGCAGTTTATAATTTTTGCAGACCACTGAAGACATGTTGTGGTCTTGTGTTATTGATGGGACTGAAGTTACGTACCCCAGCTTTAAAGCACACTCGTGTCTTCTGCGTCGTCTTTTATTCATGTCTCTTGTAGCGTTTGGTGCTAAGTAAGCGTAAACACAGCGCTCCAGACTCACGGCAACATGTTTATTTAACGAGCCGTGTCCAGGGGCCCCCGTGTTCCCGTGTCCAGGGGCCCCCGTGTTCCCGTGCCCAGGGGCCCCCACTGTGACATATGTGTCGTCAAATATGTATGAGACCAAAGCGAGACGTTAGCGTGATGCTACCGTAGCTCTGGGACACATTAATTATGCTAAACTCTGGAGCACGCTAACTATGCTAATGTGGCTAATGTGGCTAAATGTCAACAGAGCAAAAGGATCATGTCCAAGGACCAGGTCTGAACCAGGACTGAACTAGGTCTAAATCCAGGTCTAAACCCAGGTCTAAACCCAGGTCTAAAACCAGGTCTAAACACAAGTCTAAAACCAGGTCTGTTAAGGTCTGAACTAGGACTAATAACCAGGACTAAAACAGGTCAAAAACCAGGCCTAAAATTAGGTCTAAAACCAGGCTTAAAATCTGTTCTGAAACCAGGTCTGAACCAGGACAAATCCAGGTCTAAAACAGGACTGACTCAGGTCTGAACTAGGTCTGAAGCCAGGGCTCAACCAGGACTAAACAATGCCTGAACCAGGACAAACCCAGGTCCAAACCAGAATTAAAGCCGCTCAAAAGCAGGACTAAACCAGGTATGAACAATGTGTGATCTAGACTATGGCAGGTCTAAACCGGGTCTCCTCCACCTCTCACCTCGTTCTGTTCTCATTAGTCTTCTGACCTCCTGCTGTGACGACTTCGTGAAGACTCGATCCATCAGCAGGTCTAAATCCGGACCAGGACTGCACTAGGACTAAACCAGGTCTAAACCAGATTTGAACAAGGACTGAACCAAGACTGAACCAAGACTGAGCCACTGAAAATTAGACCCCGATTTAGAAAGGGTGAAATCCCTAGTTTAGACCGGCTTAGTCCTGCTTTAGACCGGCTTAGTCCTGCTAAAGACCTTCTTAGTCCTGCTTTAGACCTGCTTAGTCCTGCTTTAGACCTGCTTAGTCCTGATTTAGACCTGCTTAGTCCTGCTTTAGACCTGCTTAGTCCTGGTTTAGTTCTGCATTAGACCTTGTTTAATCCGGCTTTAGCCCTATTTTAGATCTGTATTAGACCTTTAAAGACCTGGTTTAAAGACCTGCTTTCAGACCGTGGGTGGATCCGAGTTCTTGGACCTGGACCAGGTCTTGGATCCGGTCCAGCCCTTGTGTCTCTGTCACATTTTTTATCAGTTCAAGAATATTTTGAACATTTGTGTCAAATGTTCAAAATATTCTTTGATAATAATAATTCTCGTCCAATCATCAAACACTTTGGGAAGTGTCTTGCTCAATGAAACAACCACAGCTGCCCCACTGTGGCCTCCAGGACCAGTCACAGTCCAGGACCAGTCACAGACCAGGACCAGTCACAGACCAGGACCAGGCACAGACCAGGACCAGGCACAGACCAGGACCAGTCACAGACCAGGACCAGGCACAGACCAGGACCAGGCACAGACCAGGACTAGTTAAAACTAGTGACTGATCCAAACTGTTAAATTTTTGTCTTTTTTGTGGTAAAATAATAAGTGTAATACATCAAAAACACCTTGAGATTTGTTGAAAAGATCAGTGGCAGAGTGGTTAGCCTGTCCCAGGAAGCCCTTGGTCTGAACCTGGTCTAACCCAGGTCCAGTCCTGGTCTATATCTGGTTTTACACAGGTCTGTGGACCCGGTCTTTTGACTCTGATCTTGTTCTAAACAAAAGATTCTTTATGAGACTGAAACCTGAGACACGTGCACGCTCCTGCCCACATGCATGCTCCTACCCACGTGCACGCCTCTGTACCTGCAGTGTCTTTAATCTGAGATTTTTACATCACAATCCAACACTGTAGAAAATATAAGTTTTAGCTAGAGGCTCCTCCCACTGTCAGAGGCTCCGCCCAATGTCAGAGGCTCCGCCCAATGTCAGAGGCTTCGCCCACTGTCAGAGGCCCCGCCCACTGTCAGAGGCTCCTCCTACTGTCAGAGGCTCCTCCCACTGTCAGAGGCTCTGCCCACTCACTGTTAGAGACTCCGCCCACTGCCAGAGGCTCCTCCCACTGTCAGAGGCTCCGCCCACTGTCAGAGGCTCCTCCTACTGTCGGAGGCTCCGCCCAATCACTGTCAGAGGCTCCGCCCACTGTCCTAGGCTCCTATATGTCCTCTCTGACAATGTTTAGAACCAAGTTAAAAACGGTGCTGTTTAGCTGTGCATACAACTGAGGGATTTTATATTTTTATCTTTCTTTTTAATGTTCTGTGATTATTTATGATTTTAATGCTATCTTGTTTTGTTCAGCACTTTGAGTCGCCTTGTGTATGAATTGTGCTATACAAATAAACTTGCCTTGCCAATATAGTGCACCATTCCCAGTGTCAGATATTGGTGTGGTAGCATCATGCTGTGGGGCTGCTTTTCTTCAGCAGGGACAGGGAAGCGTGTCAGAGCGGATGGAGTCAGAAGTAAATTCAGAGCAATAATGATTTACAGAGGTTTGAAGTCACTGACACCTGCTGCTGTCATGTTTGACTCTGAAACCTCTGGTCTCTCTCTAATTTATCTCCGGTTTCTCTCTGGTCTCTTTCTCTCTGGTCTCTCTCATGGTCTCGCTCTGGTCTCTCTCTGGTCTCTCTTTCTGGTCTCTCTCTGGTCTCTCTCAGGTCTCTCTCCCTGGTCTCTCCCTGGTCTCTCTCTGGTCTCTCTCTAATTTATCTCCGGTTTCTCTCTGGTCTCTTTCACTCTGGTCTCTCTCTGGTCTCTCTTTCTGGTCTCTCTCTCTGGTCTCGTCTCTCTGGTCTCTTCCTGGTCTCTCTTTCTGGTCTTTCCGCCTGTAACTCCCATGTCTGTCTCCAGAAGGAGGAAATATCAAACTAAATTATGGACAGTACTTTTGTTTTCAAAGGCTGTGCTTCTAACTTCATTAATACAGGTTGGAAGTGGTTAGCCATGCTTCTAAGTTCACTAAAACATGTTTGTAGTGGTATAGTGTGATGTCATAGAGGTACAATGACATCATACTATTACAGAACTCAGAGAGAAGGGGTCTGAGTCCCTGACATTAGCATGGAGGGGGCTAAAAACAGCAAAGTGCTACAATACTCTGGTCTGTGTCCCCTTTAACCTCAGGGGGCCTATGCTTTGGGGGCCTGCTTCGGGGCCCCTGAGTCCCCCGCGCCGGCCCTGGACCAGGTGGAGTCTGTCCGGAGCGCGGAGGCGGACCCGGACTTGACCCAGGCCAGCGCGCGTGCGTGTGGCTGTCTGCGCGTGGATGTGTGAGGAGCCAGCAGAGCGGCACAGACAGAGCTGCGCGCACTCGGCTCCGGGACCTCTGCAGCGCGCTCCCTCCGCGTCGTTATGGGACTTTTGGGGTCGGAGCGAAGACGCGGAGACATCAGGGGTCCGCGGTGACGTCACAGGACGGCGTGAGACTATTTCAGTGACGTAGAGACTTTTTGGAGAGACGCGCGTGAAAGGAGAGAAACCGCGACTTTCAGGTTCTTGATTGAGCGTCAGAAACATTGGCTCCAATTAAAGCTGCGGGACGTAACTTTTCACGTACACACGCGCGGCTTGGACACGTCTCTGACACGCGCGTTGCTTTCATCCACCTGAAAAGTTTAGAGCCGCCGGAGTCACTCTTTGACGCATTGGGCTGAGCGCGGAGGTGGTATGTGTTTGAATAACTTTGATACATGTTAGATTCGTTTTTCCAAATAGTTCTGTCTTGAAATGTGAAAGAATAAGTTGAAAATAGTCAGAAACAGTTAAAAAAGTTAAAATCACATGTTCCCGTCACGATGATAAACTAAAAACACTAATTCATGACCAGAATCCTGAGTTTAAGTCGTGTTTACTCAAAGTGTTCATTACATTTCACTGCTGCGTCAGTGAAGCGTTAAAGACCCCCCGCCCTCTTTCCGCTCCCGTATACGCGCGCCCCGGGGGGTCACTGCGCGCACCCGTGAACCCGTGCGCGCGCCCGTGAGCTGCTCTTTTTATCTGCGCGCCTCCTGCCCCCGCGCGTGTGTGTGTTCTCCAGCTGCTGCCGCTTTGGACGCGCGGCCAGAGACAGCGGTGTGTTTGACGCGCGGCAGAAGGCGGTGTGTTTGACGCGCGGCATGAGGCTCGCGGACGGCGGCATGGCGGCAGGAAAAGGCTCCGAAGGCTCCGTGAAGTGGCAGCTGTGCTACGACATCTCCGCGCGCACCTGGTGGATGGTGAGTGCCCAGAGAGTGTGCCAAAGTGTGCGTAAGTGTGCCAAAGATGTGCCAGCGCGGTGCCAACTGCCGCGCGGTGCCAGGTGTGGATGTTGTACCTGTAGCAGTCCATTTGCAAAAACAGGACCTCTGTTTTAATATTTTTATGATGTTACATTTCTCCATAGTTACAGTTTTTATTTTTAACACTGTTTCTTATTAGCTGCATTTGCGTAAAAATATAGATACGTAAAATTATAAATTATATATGAATATTTTGTAAAAGGCATATTGAATTATTCTTTTTTACTCTTACAACTTGTTTGCACCTTGAGCTAAAGCACATTCCTAGTTCGGCAATAAAAATAATTCTGATTTATATTTATATTTGTAAACAACATTAATTATTTTTCTAAAACCTTAGAATTTCACTTTTCTCACCGCAGTTTCCTGTTTTTGCAAATTTGACTTTTCCTTCGCCCGATGCAGAAGGGACTGATCCGGGACCTTTAATAACATTTAATAACATTTAATAACATTTAATAACATTTATGGCTTAGTGTTTGTTTTTGCATTGTCTGTGTTTCTTTGATTCTCTGATCTGCTCTTGGTGAATCCACAAGTTTTTAAAGTCCAAAGAAACTATTGCTGCTGTGATTTAATTTTTTACAAAATTACATAAAAATGATATTATTTAAATTTGCGTCATTTCTGTCCCAAAGTTGTGACGCTGCTCCGGTTCAGCTCGTGTGGAAATGTCTTTATATTAATTTAGTTTTTGCAAATATATGTTTTTGGGCGATTCTCAAAATCCTGGTCCGAGTCTGTCTAGTCAGGTCCTTTCCGGGTGGATGTTGCATGTTCTCCCCGTGTCTTCCCACCACGGCACTAACATCCTCCTGACCAAGCCGAGCACTGACATCTGGACCCGGGTCCGCGGGCGCTGCACGGCTACCCCCGCTCCGGACAGACGGGGGTCGGAATGGGTCAAATGCAGAAGACACATTTCCACATGACGCGGACAATCAAAGAGTTATTTAACCTTTAGGGAAGATGTGAGAGCTGCAGCAGATGGCGCTGAAATGATCAACAGTTCATTCACAAACGCGCCGCACGTGCAGGCCAAGTTTACGCACAAGAAATATAGAGTTTAGAAAGTTACAGTTTTGTCTCCGCTGTTTCTTCCTGTCTCCTTCTCTCTCTCCTTCTCTCTCTCCTTCTCTCTCTCCGTCTCTCTCTCCGTCTATCTCTCCTTCTCTCTCTCCGTCTCTCTCCTCTGTCTCCTTATTGTCTCCGCTCTGTGTCCTCTCTCTTTCCTCCTCGATCCCCAGCTCTCCTCTCTCCTTGTTCTTTTTTGTCTCCTCTCTCTCTCTCTCTTCGTTCTTGTCTTCTCTATACCTCCTTCTCTCCTCTCTGTCTCTCTTCTTTCTGTCCATATCCTTGTTCTTTCCTTTCTCTTTCCTCTCTCCTCGCTCCTTCTCCTCGCTCCTCTCCTTCTCCTTCTCCTCGCTCCTTCTCCTCGCTCCTTCTCCTCGCTCCTCTCCTTCTCCTCGCTCCTTCTCCTCGCTCCTTCTCCTCGCTCCTCTCCTTCTCCTCGCTCCTCGGAAAGACCGTTAGAGTTTCAACATTGCTTTAATCTCCCCGTTTGTCCAGATTAGAATTTTACATTTAAAACAATATTTATTTATTATTTATCATTTATATATTTATTTGCGCAGTTTTTAAGTTTCACTTTTTCATCCCAACAGATTATTACACAACAGACTTTTTACTTACAGTTGTTGAGAATCGTCTCCGTGTTTCCATCTTGTTGAAGCCAATGGAAAAATACAGTTTGGACCAAAACCTCAAATATGTATTTTATTTTAAAATTAATTGTTTTTCTAATTGTACAAAAAACATCCTTTTATGAAACATTTACACACAAACTGACGAATACATTTAACAATGCGAAAAATATTAGATTTATTTGAGAATGAAAAATGGATGAGCCTATTTTAAAACCTACACATTACCTTTAAATTTATATATTTAAAGTCCCATATGTTCTGCATATTTCTTACTTGTATATAGTAATAAGCTTTATTTATATAGATTCGTAGACATTCGTTCCTGCGCGTGCTCGTCTCGCGGCCTGTTCCGGTCCTCCGCGTGCGTCCTTAAACATATCCACTGTGTGTATTTAGATAAACTGCTCTTTTATAGTTATATTTCGTGTTTATCTGTGTATTCTCTGTTGTCTCACGCAGCGTCTGGTCCTCGTTACGTCCGCGCGGCCCCCAGTCTCGGTCTCATTTACAACAATAATTAAACTTATTAATGACGTAAATTGGTCATTTACAAAACAAAAACAGAAACTCCGTGACCAAGGAGAGGTTTGAAGATATATTTAAGTGACATTCAAATACATTTTCACTCCTTCTTGAGCAAATTCTTTCATATTTTCTGCATATTTACTCGCGAGAGGAAAATACTTGATCAAATATTTCTAAGCTGTGTCCGCGTGCCCTTCATTGATTCTTTTATTTGTATTTATTCAAGCATAAATTATACATTCATAAGTATGTATAATATTCAGTATCTGTGTCTATCTCAAGAGTCTGAATTTTATCTAATCCTAAAAACAGAGAAATTCCCTGAGAGAATTTAGCCTTTTTTCTGTTCGCGTTGTGCGTAAAAATCCAGTTTTAGACCCAGAATCCTGTTCGTGTCTGAGTCATGTGTGAATCCACTGCTGCTACAACACGGAACCACCGAGAGGAGACGTGAATAAACGTTAATTTTACATTTCACGGCCGCGCGTGGACTGTGCGGAATGACGCTGCGTCGGGGAAAATGTGACTCCACTTTTTCCCTGATTTTTGTTTTGTGTTTTTATAGATGTTAATGTAACAGTTGGAGCGCGGGGTTCAGTCTGCGGTGTTTTTGAAGTGCTCGAGTCACGTGCGCTGAACATAAAGCTGCGTGACGTGGACTTTCCCCTAAACTTTATTCACTCAATTATGTTTTTATTTAGACTTTAGGACTAAAGCAGGTCTAAAGCAGGTCTAAAGCAAGTCTAAAGCAGGTCTAAAGCAGGACTAAAGCAGGTCTAAAACAGGTCTAGAGCAGGTCTAAAACAGGTCTAAAGCAGGACTAAAGCAGGTCTAAAACAGGTCTAAAGCAGGACTAAAACAGGTCTAAAGCAGGACTAAAGCAGGTCTAAAGCAGGTCTAAAGCAGGTCTAAAGCAGGACTAAAGCAGGTCTAAAACAGGTCTAAAGCAGGTCTAAAGCAGGTCTAAAGCAGGACTAAAGCAGGTCTAAAGCAGGTCTAAAGCAGGACTAAAGCAGGTCTAAAACAGGTCTAAAGCAGGACTAAAACAGGTCTAAAGCAGGACTAAAGCAGGTCTAAAGCAGGTCTAAAGCAGGACTAAAGCAGGTCTAAAGCAGGACTAAAGCAGGTCTAAAGCAGGTCTAAAGCAGGACTAAAGCAGGTCTAAAGCAGGTCTAAAACAGGTCTAAAGCAGGTCTAAAGCAGGACTAAAGCAGGTCTAAAGCAGGTCTAAAACAGGTCTAAAACAGGTCTAAAGCAGGACTAAAACAGGTCAAAAAGCAGGACTAAAACAGGTCTAAAGCAGGTCTAAAGCAGGTCTAAAACAGGTCTTAAGCAGGTCTAAAGCAGGTCTAAAGCAGGTCTCTTTAACACACACACACACAAAGACACACACACAGACACAGACACAGACACACACACACACACACAGACACACACAGACACACACACACACAGACACACACACACACACACACACACACACACAGACACACACTCTTGGTTCTCGTTGTTGTTTTCCGTCGTTCGCTCCTCTCAGTTTTTCTTGTTAATGTTTAATTAACAATGCTAATTTTTCCTGCGCTCGGTTTGAAAATAAAACCGAGCGCAGGAAAAAAAATAATAAGACAATTTTTATCTTCTTTGATCACGTTTTGTCTGGAGATAACAACAATGTAAACTGTCACTTTATTATGTCCGGTTTTTTTTTTTCAATTTCAGAAAATAAAAATATCTGAGATTATATTGATCCTTGGGGTTCTGTGGCTCAGTTTGTGGAGCATTGGCCTTTGAGCCTGAAGGTTGTGGGTTCGAGTCCACCACATGCTTTACTCTATCAACTCCCACTGATGTCTGCTGTTGTTGTGTCCTTGGGCAAGACACTTCCCCCACATTAGAATGAGTCTGGTGTGTGTGTGAAAGGTTGGTGGTGGTGGGAGGGGCTGATGGCACAGACTGGTTGCCTCGCTTCTGTCAGTGTGCCCCAGGGCAGCTGTGGCTACAGTAGTAGTTTATCATCACTGTGTTTGCAGTGTATGAATAATGACATGTCTTTGAGAGTCCACAAAAGTATTATTATTTATTTGTCGATCTGGGACAGTGGGAAATGACGGAGTGTTGTTTGGACCTGTGTCGGTTGTTTGGTGCAAGGGAAGACAGGAACAGACACCAGAATATGAGACCATGCACAACTGGTGTCTCTCTGGTCTCTCTCTGGTCTCTCTCTGGTCTCTTTCTGGTCTCTTTCTGGTCTCTTTCTGGTCTCTTTCTGGTCTCTTTCTGGTCTCTCTGCGGTCTCTCTCTGGTCTCTCTCTGGTCTCTCTCTCTGTGGTCTCTCTCTGGTCTCACTCTGGTCTCTCTCTGGTCTCTCTCTGGTCTCTCTCTGGTCTCTCTCTGGTCTCACTCTGGTCTCTCTCTCTGGTCTCTCTCTGGTCTCTCTGGTCTCTCTCTGGTCTCTCTCTGGTCTCTCTCTCTGGTCTCTCTCTGGTCTCTTTCTGGTCTCTTTCTGGTCTCTCCCTGGTCTCTCCCTGGTCTCTCCCTGGTCTCTCTCTGGTCTCTCTCTGGTCTCTCTCTGGTCTCTCTCTCTCTGGTCTCTCTCTGGTCTCTCTCTGGTCTCACTCTGGTCTCTCTCTCTGGTCTCCCTCTGGTCTCTCTGGTCTCTCTCTGGTCTCTCTCTCTGGTCTCTCTCTGGTCTCTCTCTGGTCTCTCTCTGGTCTCACTCTGGTCTCTCTCTCTGGTCTCCCTCTGGTCTCTCTGGTCTCTCTCTGGTCTCTTTCTCTGGTCTCTCTCTGGTCTCTTTCTGGTCTCTTTCTGGTCTCTTTCTGGTCTCTCCCTGGTCTCTCTCTGGTCTCTTTCTGGTCTCTCTCTGGTCTCTCTCTCTCTGGTCTCTCTCTGGTCTCACTCTGGTCTCTCTCTGGTCTCTCTCTGGTCTCTCTCTGGTCTCACTCTGGTCTCACTCTGGGCTCTCTCTCTGGTCTCTCTCTGGTCTCTCTCTCTGGTCTCTCTCTGGTCTCTCTCTGGTCTCTTTCTGGTCTCTTTCTGGTCTCTTTCTGGTCTCTCCCTGGTCTCTCTCTGGTCTCTCTCTGGTCTCTCTCTGGTCTCTCTCTCTCTGGTCTCTTTCTGGTCTCTCCTTGGTCTCTCCCTGGTCTCTCTCTGGTCTCTCTCTGGTCTCTCTCTAGTCTCTCTCTCTGGTCTCTCTCTGGTCTCACTCTGGTCTCTCTCTCTGGTCTCCCTCTGGTCTCTCTGGTCTCTCTCTGGTCTCTCTCTCTGGTCTCTCTCTCTGGTCTCTCTCTGGTCTCTTTCTGGTCTCTCCCTGGTCTCTCTCTGGTCTCTTTCTGGTCTCTCTCTGGTCTCTCTCTCTCTCTGGTCTCTCTCTGGTCTCTCTCTAGTCTCTCTCTGGTCTCACTCTGGTCTCGCTCTGGTCTCTCTTTGGTCTCTCTCTGGTCTCTCTCTGGTCTCTCTCTGGTCTCTCTCTGGTCTCACTCTGGTCTCACTCTGGGCTCTCTCTCTGGTCTCTCTGGTCTCTCTCTGGTCTCTCTCTGGTCTCTTTCTGGTCTCTTTCTGGTCTCGCCCTGGTCTCTTTCTGGTCTCTCTCTCTGGTCTCTCTCTGGTCTCTCTCTCTCTGGTCTCTTTCTGGTCTCTTTCTGGTCTCTCTCTGGTCTCTCTCTGGTCTCTCTCTCTCTGGTCTCTCTCTCTGGTCTCTCTCTCTCTGGTCTCTCTCTCTCTGGTCTCTCTCTCTCTGGTCTCTCTCTCTGGTCTCTCTCTGGTCTCTCTCTGGTCTCTCTCTCTCTCTGGTCTCTCTCTCTGGTCTCTCTCTCTCTGGTCTCTCTCTCTCTGGTCTCTCTCTCTCTGGTCTCTCTCTCTGGTCTCTCTCTCGAATCGACACGGGTCCAACCAACCATTTGTTGTTGTTGTAAATAAAGCTTTGATTGTGAATCTTTTGGCCCCTGACGTTCCGTTGCCGTGGTGACCGACCTCGACACACGGTGCTGGTACGAGGTCAGTGTCCGGACTTCAGAGACTGACTTCAGTACAAATAAAATGAAGTACTACAGACGATCAGGAAAATGTGTGAAAAATAACTTAATTTGAAAATAAATATTAAATAAACCATGTGTGAACAATATAACGAAGACTATGGAGGACCAAAACTGTCAAAATTATAAATAAATGAATAAATAAATAAATGTCACATTCTGCCAATAATTATTAAGATAACACAACAAATCATGCGATTTAATAAATACATATTATTATTATACGTTTTTTTGGTTTCAAACAAAATAATAAAGCTTTATTATGTTC